GGGAAATGTACATATCTTGCCTCTACGGATTTCGTATTTATTCGGGGGGGGGGGGCGCGTCGGTTTGTTCTCCCTTTAGGGGCATTGTTAGTGTTGTTGTTCAATTCTCGTTCTGTTAAATGAAAAAATGGGGCACACACGGGGGGAGTCAGGGGGTAAAGATTCATTTGTTGAAATTGTTGCAGCCGGGACGGCTGCGAGCTATGCGGGGGGGAGTGATGTAGGGATGTTGGAGAGAGGGCCGTTATGCATGGCAGCCTATGGGAAAGAAACACAGTGGGCGGGGCTACGTGTGTGCACAGGGAGATGCCCTCTGCGACGTCCGAGCCAGACACCCTGGGGGGGGGCTGGTTCGGCGTTACGATCCCCCGGGGCCCCACCCCTCAAGGAGGGTTGGGTATAAAAAGGGGTCGTTATATGGGCTTAGTCAGTTATGTTATAGTTAAGCTAAGAAGTCGGAAGACGTCGTAGCTAGAGCCCTGGACTCCCCCTGATCGCCGCCCTTATCAGGGCCCCACGGGATCAGGCTCGAGCCAGTGGCGTGGTCCCGTGAACCAGAGCCAGTGCTCTGGGACTCCGGGTACCGAGCCCGATTACCAGTGTCGGGCCAGACAGCCTCCCCTAGCTCTTAGTGGAGGACTCAGGGGATAGGCTATGGATAGCTAGGGGTATTCCCTGAGTTATACGGGTGAGGGGGCCGCTACCCCCTCTAGGGCTGTCCTGTACTGGCAACTTGTTAAATAAATATACGTGTGCCTCAACTCCGTTGTCAAGCGTCCTCGACGGGTACTTCACCTGTAAGAATGTTACGAATTTCATTCATTATTAATGACATTTTTGATATAATTTATATATGAAATTAATTAATTTATGAATGAATGGTATATTTTGTCAATTGTGATGCAAAGGAATCATTCATGCGGTGGGAATGCATTCCATAAATTTACGAGCACAATATTAAGCACAATTAATAAATTTTCATTTTGTACGACACATTCATACGCCAAATGAAAAACGTCACGTTCTCTCGTTAATGAATGCTGAATGTTTACGCTGGGATGCTTAAGGCAGACCAGTCTTCAATGGAAGAATACATGTACTCCAAGGTGAGTAATTGGGAGACTGTGGTGCACAATGACTTCCCTTTTGTGACTCGCGCAACAGGATCTTTAACATCGTCGTCATGGCACCTCCGATTAGTATGGTTGGCTACGTACGGTGCGAAAGAAGTTCAACATACATAGATACATGGCGAGGCGCTCGCGAGGCATGTGACAATTCACCCTCTCAGCGATTCGATGAATTGTCAAAATTCTAGATTGCTATTCGCTTAAAATAAACGGTTACTTTTTGTCTCATTTTACCCTCTCGTTTGTGCTGCTTCTCACTGTGGCTTTCTTTCCCGTCCATGCCGTTTCGTTTGCCCGATTAGTCTAAAATGCAAACTCGTAATTTAATGTAATCCATTCTCACACGTTTAATTTATTGCGTGGAACTTGAGCGGAAGAATCAACGAAAATGTTTTGTTCCACCATAGATCGGATGCCCTGTTGCATCCCTCATCCTAACACCTTACAGAAATTACTGGGCAGCCACAGGCATTGAACACAGCTCAGATAACTCACCGTTAAACAAGCATTCCATCAACTGGAAGAAATGAGTAAATATAGACGATAATTATAATAATAAAATACCTATATTATTTGGCTGAAAAGTTGACCTTCAACATTTCATTGTCCCTTCTAAAAATGCATGCAAACAAAAACAAAAACTCATATCCGCGTGCATTATTTGTGGAATCAAAGCATTGACTGCATTCAAATGAGCTTAAGGTCGGCACTCCGCTCCAGCTATGCAGAGTGACGCACTCCGTGCCGGGTCTTTCATCCGCAGGTGGCACGAGAAAGTCGTTCAAATGCACGTTTCAGAACCAGAAGACAACCTTTGCTCTTTCCAACCATTAAATTCCAATTGTCCTGTCGGCTTCGTGCCACGAGGTGTAGGCACTTCCAATCGGACAAAAATCACACAACGAGGGGCAGTGCACCGCCTTGGTTCACGTACAACGGTATCAGAACTATTTATGAACATCTCACCGGCGTGCAGTTTGTCCGCACACCCCTCGTGAGAGGTCGTTATCGCACGGCGATCAAACTGAAACGTTGAAACCTGTGAGCAGCTGAAGCTGCATCCCAGCGAATTCTTGCTCATTGCTCATGCCACTGCGGGCATGAGCCAAGAGCTCTAAGAGAAGCCCTCTGGCCTACTTCTCCACACTGGCCAGAGGTGAGAGGGCGAGGCAGGTGGGGAGAAGGGAGAAAAACAACAAACCGTCAAAAACGAGGCCTCCACCGATGGCCGAGATCGCTCACCAGCTGAGGTTTACAACCCAGCAAATGCGGAACATGCTGCTGCAGCTCTGAATGACTGTGCTGGCATTCAAGGAGTCGGTCACTCCAACAAGAAGAAGGAGTGTTGCTGACGAGGCCGAGTCAAGGCACTCCGCTGCAAGCACGTGGGCTAAGTCAGCGAGAAAGCGGCCTCGCAGCATTCCAGTGACCAAATCTTCAGTACCAGGGCCAGGAGCACCACGGATTGAGTACGGGCCGAGACAGAACCTATGTATGTACGTATGTTGAACTTATTTCGCACCAGCGTACGTAGCCAACCGTGCTAATCGGAGGTGCGGAGAAAGGACAACAAACTAACAGCAAGCAGTTCTAAAGAACGGAGTGTTCAATCTATATTTAAAAGTTGCATAGCTCCAGTGGCTTCCTAATATCGGACGAAAGAGCATTCCAGGCGGCCGCAGAAGCGCATCTGAAAGGGCGCGATTCGTGTCATCGTCTTCAAACAAGGCGGACTTCCATCCATCTCTATGACAACGGGGGGACCTCACCAAGCAGCCACACGTGACACTTTGTGATCCTGCACGGTATTACGCCAGGCCATCGAAACAGGGGACAATTAGGGTGTGACAGTCTCCATAACGGTCCCTGCAACATCAGCATTCCCTACCCCGCTCGAGAGCCTCGATCCCCGCACCGAGGTGACCGCGAGTAACCCCGAGAAACGAAGACGGTGACTGGAGGTGAGAAGACGGGGATGAGGGTAGAGGGAGGGAATGGGAGAGGGGGCCCGTAGGGATACGAGGGGACGTACAGCAGAATTGAAGGGAGGAGAGAGCTGTGGGTGAATATAAGAGAGCTGTGGATGAAGGAGGGAGCTGTGTGTGAAGGAGAAGGTGGGATAGAGGACTGGAATCCTTACGTGTCTCCGCGTGTTGGTGGGGAGAGTGCCCGCTACTCGGGGAAATTCTACGTCGCATACCCACAGTACCCAGATGCCAGGGCTATTTGGATTAAGTGGATAGGTGGTTGATTGAGCGTCTGGAATTATATGCTCTGTGTTGTGTTGCTTGTGGTGTATGCGTTGGGTCGTTGATTGCATGCTATTGTGTTCCGTTAATAGCTGTGATATAGCAACTAGTGCAGCAACTCTACCCTGTATGAAGAGTACAAATCTACTTCCATGAGTGTTCATGATTACTTTGAGTGGAATGTGTCTGATAGCGCAAGTGCTTAAGGCTGCTGAGCCTCCATATTTTTGGGTGAATATATGATAAACAGGGGTTATTATTTCGATATTTTTGACAATGCTACTCCAAAGGGGGTGTACGCCCGAAGCCGGCCACTTGATCCCTCGCCTTGACAGGCACTGCGGTCCTTTTGCCGTGACAGTGCGCGCAGTCGTCATTAATGGAGCCGGGACCATCAACTCACTTGGTCTGTGAATCCAGTTGAATCATGGGTAACCGCACGCTTTCAAATCCCGGCTCTCACCATCACCAGCTCAGTGCTCTGACACAGTACTAGTTCCTCACGCCACCCGGCCGTCTCCACGAGAAGATAGAGTTTATAATGCGTAGCTATCGCGCTATTGTCGCCAGCACTCTAGGGAAGCTGCGTGGATTTCATGCGGCTGCCTGGTGGAGGAGGCTCCGATAAAGCCGGCGCTCTTGCATTCCGTTTACTCATCTGCTCGTGTCACCTGAAATTGGAAAAAGTCAAAGTGGAATGTATCCTCGTGATAAAAATAATTTAGTGGATTTGCTATTTCCGCCATTCTTATAGTGCAAGGCCACCCCCGAAGGCGCCATCTCACAAATGCGTATAGTAGTAGGCGAAAATAGAACAATGTTGCTGTCGTAGTAATAGGTTTTTACCCTTTCAACTGGTACAAAAACTGACACCTTTATACAAGGCATCATGTTTGCAATAACCACAACACAAGCAGTCAAAATGCAAACAAAAAGAAACAACTCTGATAATGATAATGATATGCACTGTCCTTGAAGTTGATTGGTCCACACCCGAGACAGCTTTTCTTAGAGCCTAGTCTCCATTGGTGTTGGACCAGATGACGCCAAAAGGCGTACAACTCAAAAACAATGCACTATCAAAGTATTGAGAGCTCGGGATAAGTGCATATCATTATCAGAGTTGTTTCTTTTTGTTTGCATTTTGACTGCTTGTGTTGTGGTTATTGCAAACATGATGCCTTGTATAAAGGTGTCAGTTTTTGTACCAGTTGAAAGGGTAAAAACCTATTACTATATTTTGCCACTGGTAAAGGAGATGTCTCATAGTCATAACATAATAATGCTGTCGTGTGGTTTCACCTGATTAAGAATTTGGTAACGCTTGTACTTCACAGCAAGAAGGTCCACAGTTCAATTCCTGACCTGGGAATCTTTCTGCGTGGAGTTTGTACATTCTGCGTGAGATCTCTCTGGGGATTCTCCCGGTTTTCTCCCGTGGCTAAAAACATACAACAGCACTCGTTCTGGCCAAACGTCTCAAAAAAATCAGAAAAGCTCAGCAGACCCAGTAGCGTGGCTTTCCTGGGTAAATAAGCTAACCGTATTTAAAAATAAGTCAACTTTTTTTTTACTTTCTTAATGTTTTTACTACCACCACCGCCCGGTCGCGCGCGCACACCTGCTTGCGGGAGGAGTAGGCGCTCTTGCCCCGGCGATTGACGGACGGCACCGCGCCCGAGCATACGGCGGCCAGGGGCAGCGAGAGCGGCACGGCCGGCGTCGCCAGCGTCCGCGACGCGGTAGGAGGCGGCAGGAGCGGAACGGGTGCCGGCGAGGCGAGGCAGGATGGGTTGGCAGCAGCGGCGGCCGCCCCCTTGGCGAGCACGCGGGCGATGAGCGCATAGAGCACGCAGGCGAGCACCAGCGGCAGCACGTAGAACGCAGCAAAGTCGAAGAAGTAGATGGGCAGGTAGAGGTTGCGGCTGACGCGATAGCCACACTCTGTGACGTTCGAGCGCGGCTCTTCTCCTCCGCCCCCTCCTCGGCTGCGCGGGTGCACGTCGACGAGGAAGAACCAGATGAGGCAGTAGATGGCCGTGCTGCTCCACACGAGCGCCAGGATGCGCTTGGCCCGCGACACGGTACACAGCGACTGCGCGCGGATCGGGTGGCAGATGGCGAGGTACCGCTCCAGAGTGAACGCCGTGATGGAGCACGAGGACACGTTGATGCCCAGGTACTGCAGGTACGTGATGGCGAGGCAGCCCGCGTAGCCGTACACCCAGCTCTCGGCCAGGCTGTCCGAGACGTTGGGGAGCCCGGCGGCGAGCAGCACGAGGAGATCGGCGATGGCCAGGCTGCCCAGGTAGTAGTTGGTGGGCGTGCGCATGTGCTTGGTCCTCACCACCACCAACACGATCATGACGTTGCCCACGATGCCCGCGCCGCAGATGGCGAGCACGAGGGCGAGCGACACGGCGCGGTACGTGGCCGTGTAGTGGCCGGGTGGCGGCGACAGGGCCGCGAAGGTGACGTTGGCGCTCGCGTTGACCCCCGCGAGCGACGTGGCCGTGGAATTGGGAGCGAGGGCGTCCATGCCACCGGTGGGACCTCGCGGCGGCTATGGAATGAGAGAGGGGACGCAGGGGGTCGACACGCCTGCTCGAAGTGTGACATCGCGTCGGTGATCCCCCCCCCCTGGCCAAAATATAAAAGCAAGCCAAGTTGAGGTGTATGGCCCCAAGCATGCTTACTCAAGGAGCCCCAGTTCATGAAAACAAACGAAGGTGCGTCAAATATCTCGCAATTCTAATCCTAATAACAAATATAACCTTTTTTAAACCCAATTAAATCTCTCACATCCCGATCTCGTCTGCATCTCACTACATCTCTATGAAATTTTTGTCAACGTTTCTGGAATCTCGAATCCATATCTGTTGTCCCAATCTCTTCTGTCATCGGTCACGAAGTGTATTATTTGAAAGTGGAGCTGCCAAAACTAATTTCTGTTGAGGACCCCCCCCCCGTCCCCACAATGGGCCAGAACCACCACGGGTTCGCACACACCCCCAATCCCAAACTCTGCAGGTGGGGTTGGTGAATCACACGGAGATCATCATGTCATGCTTGTTATCATCATCATCATCATCACCACCACCGCCGCCGCCACCACCCATCTTAAAATTGGAGATTACGAAGTCTGTCCTTTTATCCCGTGCAATATTGCATTCAGAGAATTTATCACCTTGAAAATGATTCATACAATGAGTGCTGCACTACGTTGTGAGCAGTCAATATTCGTTGCCTGTGAGAATTACTGGCCCATGTCACATGACTGTGGAATTTCCACCAGCATAGGTGAGCACTATCTCAATACCAATAAGAGTGTGGTTACGCACAGAGTAATGATTCACTCTCCCGACGATTCAATTATCACTATTGAGGGTCGTTATAAAATCATGATTTAATTAAAATTTTAACACTGCAGCCAATATAGCGGCCTCTAGAGGTTGCATATGTCACTTTATTCCTTTAAATGACAAAATGTACCAATTATAAACATCTATTCTTAAGAATCAATCAATGGATGCATCGTTACACCCGGAATCATAATTTACCGCCTCACCAGGGCACCACGGTGGCGAGATGTTGACTACCTCGCCTGGTATGCAGGAGGTCGTGGGTTCGATCCCGACCCTGACGCTTGCTGCTGTATATTTGGAGTTTGCATGTCTCTCCCCCCCTGGTTGCCTCGACTTTTCTCCGGGTCCTCCGGTTTTTCCCTCCATATTTAGAATCGACATCATGCGTTTAGAGTATTTGGCTGCTATCAATTTCCACACGATAAGCCACTTCGTTGAGCTATCATTTGTGGCCAGGTCGCATCTGAAACAGAGCTGTATCGCTCGTGGGCCTGACGTAGTTTAAAGCTTTCAAATGATGTGAAACCATACATTAGCAATCGTCTGGTGTGTGACAAGTTGCCACAGGTTGTCAGTGCAACAGCTTCGTGCCTGATTTATGGACCAGGTCAAAGATAAAAGTGCAGCCCTGCAATTCCCGTCTCACGCCACTGCTGTTGGAAGGGCCTCCACTATGTGGCGCTCTAAAGAGCCCCGCGAAAAACGATTTGGCCTACTCTTCCACGATGGCCAGACGTCTTTGTAGAGGTGGGAGTACTCACTCTTGACCCCACCGCAGGTGACCTTCCGATCGACCCATTCATGCCTCTGGGTGGGCACTTTGCACGGATGACCTCTGGATTGCAAGTCCAGTGTGTTTACCATACATCATACATAAATGTAGGACCCATCTGACATAGAGTCTCAACGAGGCTGTAGTGGATAAACTCGTTTTTTATATCTAAAGGATTTTCATTATTAATAATGTAATACAACATCGAACCATGTTTTATTTCTGTGTTGTCATCTGTATTTTTACACAAATCCCAGATCTCATTTAAATGGCCAATGACATTCACAAATGTCAAGTTATTTCCATACGAGTATTGTTTGCTACGAATTAATAATAATTGATCATTTTAATTAAAGAACCCATCCACACGTGGGTGCAGAGAGATCGTTCACATTTTTGAGGTTTAAATTTCATGTCAATGGTGCTTCCTTTTTTTTCTACGTCCACTGGAGGTCAATGGCTCAAGTGGTCTAAGCAATAAATTTTGAAGAGGGCTCCTTTTCTTAATAAAGACAACACTGCTCTCAAGGGAAAGACCCTGCAGCTCTGGAGCCCATCCAATCACCCAGGACTTAATAAACATAGCTTAGCAACAAGGCAGTGCTGGGCGTTCGCAAAAAAAAAGTGCTTCAGTAGAACAAGGTTTTTTGTGTTGCATTTTAACCCCAGCTGAATGCCACTTCAACATTCAGAACATAGGGTGCAAGCAGCGGTGCAATTATTTGCGGACTGCGCCGTGAACTTGCTAGTGCAGAGTTTGACTCCGGGCCGTAGCTAATATCAGTGGCCAGTGATATCTGCATCAGTCTTGGGCCCCTTGCATCACCAACCCCCACTGACCAGCGTGGTGAACCATGGGCAAGCAACCCCAATGACCGACACCGAATGGAGAGGTCACAATCCAGCAGTGGATTAGCAAAGCTGGTGGTAAATTATTATCCTTTACACTCAGATTAGTGGAGATGCCGAGTAGCTGTGAATCTGAAAAACAAGCGTTTAATCCCATCCAACATTTACTCATAATCATCACCATATTTCCATGGTGGATACATTTAACGCTACGGTATATGGTAAGCAAGCAAAATGAGCTTGCTCTAATCATATGGGCATTGTCATAGCAATGTGGAATTTTTTTTTCTTGTTTTATTTAATTTAAAATTATGAATGATGCCCTGACTCGTGAGCATTTTTAATTTCGTTGTACTGGTGACAATGACAATAAACGATCTATCTATCTAAAATTACCACCAATGGCTCAAGACTTCAACAGCTTCAACGATCACTTCCCAATGCTCGTTCCATTTATAGAAGACCTTGAATTTCCTAAAGATGTAACATCCAGATGATTTATATTTATCCGATTCGATTGCTACTCACGAATAACAGTGGAAATTAGTGTCTAAAATCAGACTCGGTCCTCTCATCGGTCGACAATCAGAAATGAGTATTTGGTGCGATATGCATGCCGGTTCACATATGCCCCTGAAGCTGCTTAATAGGTGCTCGCTAACATTACTCACCTTGACAGTATATAAGGCGAAACGAGATACACATATATACTTGTGGAACGGTATGTACATACGTTGCTGTTCGTGCGCTGAGCCATCGATATTGCTATTGATTTATAATAAACATGTATAAAAAACAGCAGTGTACACTGGTAGTGTATGCATACAAATCAATAAACAATTTCGCGACCACAGAGTCTTGAAATGCGTAAAATCAACGTTTTAAAAACAACTGCGTTACATGGTGGCAGTTTAATAAAGTCTTAGAAATAATTAATCATATTCTTACATGTGACAGCACTTACACAGAGGTCATACATCATGCACAAACAGGCGGAACACGTACAGAGAGGGCCCTTCTGTCAATGCACTGCTGGATGAAGGCTTCCCCACGCTGTTGTCGGTGGCTGGGGGTTGTTGGACCATACTTCACCACCACGGTCAACGCGCCTTGGTGAGCAGAGAGGAAGTCGGTCCTAGGGCCAGTTCGCATATCACTCGCCACTGATGTTATCCGTGGTCGGGAATTCAACTCGGAGAGGGTGCATTGTGCAATGCGCTAACCAATGCGCCACAGCTCCACCCCCATATGCATTGAATACAGTATATGAAAACGTAAATGCAGTCTATGGTAACTGCGCTGAATCGTATGCACGAGATGTTGATGGATATAGCCAGCATGCACCTTGTAATCGGCGTATGTGACAATAAACACGAAACCGCTTAAGTGACGTCTATTTGCACGCACAATGGGAAATAGGAAACTTCCACATTTAAGGACGTTTTGGCCAAAATATTGTTTTCTAAATTAGTTTCACTCCTGACTGTAGGTGCTCGCTAACAGCACTTTCCCCAGCAGCCTCGGCGATACGGGGGATGCTGTGCATTTATCTTTGAAATGAAACGTCGTACAAACGTATTTCTTTCAACAGCGACCCAGGTAAGTGTCTAGTTTTCACGTTGTTTATAGTCCCTGCGACAATTTAAAGCAGACATTTATTTCAATCCCATGTAAATCGCCTACCGCCGTGCACGTATCGACAAAACAATACGTTCACGAGAGCGTTAACAGAAGCGTCGTTGTTCTTGTTACGAGACGATCGTTAATGTTGTGAATAAATACATGAAAATGTCAGGGAAGAGATAGAACTCACCTTCTAAAGTTTCCACGCAGCTTACTCTTTGCACTTCTAACAGCCTCGGGGTTGTTGTGCCCAGAGCCAAATCCAATGCGGGTAGAAGCTCTCTGTGTGTGTGTGTGCAGGGAAGGAGCTTTTAACACAGCTGGCTGTCTTCTCGCTCTCTCCCTCTCTCCCCCCACTCCAACTCCCTTACTCCCCCCCCAATCTCATCACAGCCACTCTCCTCTACCTCCACACTCTCTCAGCAGTTGAAAGGACTCTACTGCCTCTCTCTCGCTCGCTCGCACGTGAGTGATGGTGCTTTCATGCAAATATAATACCAACCCGTATTACTCTGATTACGCTGGGTTTGCGACTGCACGTGGGTTAAATTCTGTTGAATGAATGAAAACGTTTTTTTTTTCCCGTGCTCAGTCCCTGCGTCCTAAACACGTTCATTCGGGAGAAAGAAAAACTCAACGAAGGGGTGCTAAATGTGTATCTTGATCTTCAGTGAATTGATGTTGATTTAGTGAGGTATATATATTTTTTTTAACGGGAAAATTATTTAAAAAAAATGCATGGTCATCTTCTTGGTTCTTTCGATAAAGTCACGTAGAAGGGAAATAATAAAATAAAACATAATAAAATAATTCTCACGACGTTTCGGCCACAACGCAAGCAGCCGTCCTCAGGTGAAAACCAGGTCTGTAGAGGCGACAGCGCTGTGGCCGAAACGTCGTGATAATTATTTTATTATGTTTTATTATTTTATTACTTCCCTTCTACGTGACTTTACCGAAAGAACCAAGAAGATGAATCCCTGCAGTCACGAAAGCTTTAAATCGAAATTTAATGCATGGTCAGTTCATCACTGGGTCAATTCTTTTTTGTTTGTTCAGATAACTGCTGTTTATTCCACTTAAAATGGACTAAGCAACGTGGTTTAAAAGTTACCACACTCGACGATTGCTGTATTCTAATCGCCTTATTTCCTCAGAAAGGACGAAAAAATATTCCCATAAGTTGAGTCATTTCTCACACTTCTAAACGCACACGCAGCGGCAGACGCAGGTTTGACAATGCTGGTTTATTTTTTTTCTCAAGGCGGTGTAACAATACAGGGTGCTTCAACATTGTTTTTAACACTTATATGGGACTATCGTTTTTCATGAAAAAATCAAGGATAATACACTCTAACATGATAACAAATGTATGTCAATGGCTTCAAAAAGTCAAAGAGTCTTCACTTTCACTATGGGAACCTCATTTGCCAGTAAAAATATAATTGGTTTTTAACCCTTCTATCTGGCAACAAAACTGACACCTTTTTACAAGGAGTCATGTTTGCATAGACCGCAATACCTGCAGTCATAATACAAACAAAAGAACATAACTCTGATAATGTGCACTGTCCTTGAAGTTGATTGGTCCACACCCGAGACAGTTTTCCTTAGAGCCTAGTCTCACATGGGTTGGACCAGATGACGCCATCATTGTCAACACAACGCCTGGAATCTTCTCCAGGTGGTCTCCAGAGCCCGTATGCGCATTTCTTGTGGAATTGTTGCAAATTAACCGAAGTAATAACATGTCTTAGACGCGACCTGTATCTCGACTCAATGCCCCATTTTCCCGAAGCTTTCCTTGATCTTTCCGCTTTCCCTCCAGCCAATCATCGTCCCACTTTCTCTAACGGATCCAAAACGACCTCCCCGTCAATCGTCCCGCGTTTCCCACCCTCTCCACTTTGTACTTCGACCTTCAATGTCCCTGCCTCTAACCAAACCCCTTTCGGGCCCGTTAACTTACCAATCCAGAGGGGCTTGTTTTTAAATCCTTTGGTTCTTTCGGTAAAGTCACGTAGAAGGGAAGTAATAAAATAATAAAAATAATAAAACATAATAAAATAATATAATATAATAAAATAATAATTATAAAATAATTATTATTTTATTATGTTTTATTTTTATTATTTTATTACTTCCCTTCTACGTGACTTTACCGAAAGAACCAAGAAGACCTTTATATTAAGTTCACTTGCTTGCTTGCTTAGGACCGTGCAAATCTTTTGGTCGTTTTTTAACCCACTTCCCGTGATCCAATCGAGCTGACATTTTCCACACAGACTCGTTGTGCGTGACAATTAATGTTCGTGAAATTTTTTTTCCAAAATGTTACACTTTTTTGAACAAAAATATTATATTTAATTACCAATTGCTTAATGCTGCCATGCAATCATCTGACCCATAGGTGGCAGCCATCTCAAGCCAGAGAACGAGAGGACTCTAGCCGCCACGCAAATAATGTACGTGTTAAAATGTATTTATAGTGAAAAACTTTGTTTTTACGGGTTATACTTGTTACTTCCCGATTATCCGTGTCACCCGATGTCCACCGCGTCAGGTGAGTATCGTTGGTAGTGATACAATCTCTACAAATGTAAGTGGGCTTGGACAGGCCGCACAGATGTACTTCTGCGGCCGTCTGGAATGCTCTTCCTTTAGATATTCGGAAGCCACTGGGGCTATGCGCTTCTCCATCTAGATTGAAAACTCATTTCTTTAGAACTGCTTTTTGTGTTTAGTTTGTTGTCCTTCCCCCGCACCTCCAGTCATCACGGTCGGTTACGTACGGTGCGAAAGAAGTTCAACATATTATTGGAGTGGTAGCGAAAGGGTACAACACCAAAGAGGATGACCACTGTGGTGATATAGCAATGAGATCAACTCATACGATAACATCAGCTCGTGTGTAGAAACTCGATGGGGGTGTAGAATCACGGGACCACGAGGGATGATGACGAATTGGGGAGGCCTTTTCCAGCAATAAATAGACGCCGGTTGATGATGACACAGAGGTATTTGTACCCGATGCAGCTTCCATTTGAGAATTGTGCTGTCCAAAATAGTCAGAAATGAAACCTAGGTCGCCAGATATTTTTCATTAAAATATATATATTAAATGGCAGTTATTATTTAGTCAGAAAAGCCAGGCAAAGCCACTTTGCATTGAAACACGGGTTCACTTCCAGCTCGCCGTTCGGGATAACACTCAAGAGCTCCACACAGATAGATCATCTCCATGCACTATGCACATGCGAGTACATGTTCGAGCCTTGTGAACGTCTCGAGTCTCTGCAAACCGCAATGGGTGAATGGAGGAAGTGGTACAATAACACAAATGCGAAGATCGTCCCTTTACAACAGGCGTCAACGCGCTTCTGTTATTGCCAACTACAATGGAATGAGCTATTACTCCAATGTAAAGGACCGTATGGAGTAGTGGTTCAGACTGGTGTTGCGGATCGCAGGATAGCAGTTGGTGGTGTGTCGAGCGGTGTTCTTCATTGCAAGGCCCACGGGCCTCCGACAGCCCCTGGTGGCCTTGAGTGCGGCCCGGGACGTGCGGCCCCCGATAATACACCAAAAGTGAAATCGACCTCCCATCATCATTGTGCTGTCCAACCGCCAATGGTTTCAAATGTGTGGCGGCCCTCACACTGATGACGTCTTATCGACGAAAGTGCCCCTCCCCCCCCCCCCCCTGTGAAAATTAGTGAAGAATATCGGTGTAGAGAGAATATATCACGCGAATTTTTTCAAGAAATATATCAACGGGCAGGTTTTGCAACCGGTCGTCAGGGATTTAAATGTCCATTGATGTGGGTTTGCTCAATTAAAAGTTGTGTTGGCTGGGACGGTTGACATGCCAAATGAGATTGAGATAATGGAGGAGCCTGCACTTGGCTTCGTTCCGTCACCACAGGATCCAGAGGCGTGTGGATAAACAGTTGAGCCAGGAACAAAAGACAGCAGATATTTTGCTGGAGAAGGCAGTCATGTTTTGACAAATAAACCGGGACAGGACCGATCTAACGAATTTTAAGATTGTGCTGAAGGACGTCACTCCTGTAAAACAGATACCCAATCCCGTTACATTAGCAGTAAAATAGCTGATTGAAAATGAATGCAATGCTCTGAGAAAGATGGGAGTGATTGAACACCAAGTTGCTCAGCCATGCCACCGCCCCCCACTTTGACCAATCATCTACTTCATTTACTCAGAAAGTTTCGATCTCAAAGCGTTTTTCAGTAGGGTCCAAAAATTGTTGTAAATTGTGTATTTTTGTTTCAGATTGACTTCACACTTGAGTGTTTTTAAAAAAATGTAATTTTATTTTTATTAATTTTAATTTCATTTTTTACCTACGTGACTTTACCGAAAAAACTAAGAGTATGAATCCTTGCAGTCACGAAAGCTTCAAATCTAGAATTATTTTTTTCAAGTTAATACGTAGTGGATGATGCATTCCCGGGCACAATGTGGATGTAATGGAAACTACGAATGTTTTAAGAGCATACATGATTTGGGCACTTGAGGAAAACAGATCCGCAATACATCCAAAACTAAATAATTAAACAATAAATGTGGCAGCCCTCTGTAGAAAAATACACACGGCCTTCTGGGAATGCATCATTTCAGCAGCATCGGTTCAACACAACCACAATTTGGACGTTTTTTTGACATGGGGGGAGGAAAATGCGAGGTATATCGTTCGCTTTTTTGTTATATTCCCACATGGCGCTCATGATAATACTGTATTCTCTATTTTGTGGTTTTGCGTTGAACTAGGGCTATTTTGTGGTTTTGCGTTGAACTAGGACCCATATCAGAGTCCTTGCCTCTAAACATCTGGTCCATTCAAGCCTGCCTCTTCTGATGAGACACCGATAATCAAAGCCAGTGCATTTTTCTTGTGTTGAACCAATGAGGCTGAAATTATGAACTTCCAGAAGGCCGTGTGGCTGATGGAATATGAAAATACTTATTTTGTGTGTAGATTATTTCTTACTCCACGACGCGAATGATGTTATACCAAGGAAGGAATACGGACACTCTGCTTGGCATTGAAAATGATCCTGTCCACATATGACGAAAATGATCAAAGCCGAACTGTTAAATATAAAAAAAACATTCCTGCTAGAGAGTTCTTAAATTAATGCTGTTATCGCACAATGATTATTTGCTAAAAAGGATGCTGTAGAAGTGTGGTCTGATGGGGTAAAGTTTTGAGTGTATAATCGTATCCACTCGCTTCCGAATAAGCTTTTAGTTAAAATAAGTGCTGCCAGTAAAATTAAAGTGTTTGAAACACTTTAAATATATAATATAAAACACTTAAGAAACATATAATTCCGTAAACTATCCCACGTATATTTAACATTTCTTGATTTGATGTCAATTGCATTTGACTGAGACCCCCCCCCCCCCCCCCCGTCACAAGCGGAGTCATTTCTCTTGATTCTCTTAGAAACACAGCGCATGGTGTTCAAAACAAAAGCTGTGCTGTGCAAACCAAAGCTGACTTATCACCTACCCACCGTCAATGCTTATGGCTTTATGGTTCTAAATTCAACAGCAGTGCTCTCGCGTGCACTTATTGGCAATTTGCGTGCTGGTGCATTTGGGCCCCCACTCCAAAGTGCCCTCTCAGAGAGGGGACAACCACGCATTGCTGATGTGGTTCTGCGTGTGTGTGTGTGAGCCCAGGGTTGGGTGTGTTGGGAATCGACGCGGATGAACCCCCCACCCTCCCCCTATTTGCATTTGTATCCAAGCCGCGTACGTCCTTAAATGTAGTCGCCAAACGGTCTCAAGGAGCCACCCTCACAGCTGATTAGGATTCAACAAGCGGCACCTGATCCGAGACGCCACAGGCTACTCAAGCCACGCGCGTATGTTTTTTTTCTTCGAAAGATAAAGCATGCGTAATTGTTGCTGGCTTGAATGTGAACGCACACAATGACGGTTGAGTATAAATACTGCGTAGAGGGAATGGTATTACAAAAAAGGGATGTTTCAGCCGACTGACATCCATCAAAAAAGATGTATTATTTGGACTGAACCCTGCATATATTGGAGTGAGTGGTGTTTTAATAAAGTAATATCTATGCTAATGGTGAGGTGCTTGTGTGGTTTAGAGAGCGAGTGCAGGCAGTTTGGGTAGATATGTTAAGTGTAATTAATCTTCTGTCGCGTGAATGCGGACACGTTACAGATAGACAAGTAAAAGTGACGTTTATTAAAACCACGTGCATAATCGCCGAGAGGCCATATCTATGGGACTTTTTTGCCAGCCTCAAAATGGGAAAAAATAGATATTCTTGGTTCTTTCGGTAAAGTCACATAGAGGGGAAAAAATACGAGATTTTACCGAAAGAACCAAGAATATTAATCGGGAAAATGTCAAAACTGGGTGGTTTTTAACTTTTGCCGACAAAACTGGATCCCAAATGTCAAAACTGGGTGCACCCTGGGTGGCCAAAAAATTGAGTTTTGGACACTCAGGGTGCACCCAGTTTAGACATTTGTCAAATACACTTGGGATCCAGTTTTGTCGGCAAAAGTTAAAAACCACCCAGTTTTGACATTTTCCCGTGTCGGCACTACATTCGTGCCCTCATGGCGTTTGGGCGGATGCCCGAGCTCTACGACGCATGTGCGGTGTGTTACCAAGTCTCTGCCATCAACACGACATGGACCTCGGTTGCCGGTATCGAGCTGCCCATTGCCGAGGAGCTGCAACGCGACAACACCATGATGCCACCTCCTCGCCAGAAGAAGGCTGGCCGCCCGAAGAAGCGTCGGATTCGCAACGTGGCGAAGGTGGCCCATTGGGCCTCACGCGGTGCTCCTTCTGTCGCGCCAAGGGCCACAACAAGCGCTCTTGCCCGTCGAAGTAGTTATATATATGTAACAAACATGTTTTGTTCTAAGTGTGCAGCACCATACTTCTCGACGCAAACACTATCTACCGTTGTTCTACTGTAGTAGGTGTAGCATGCAAGCTGGCACACTGTACCAGTATACAAATGGCAAGTTCGTGTATGTTCGCGAGCTGAAAGTGTTACTGTAGTTGCAAGCTGGCACACTGTGCCAGTATACATATGGCAAGTAAGTGTTACTGTAGTAGCGAGCTGGCACACTGTGCCAGTATACAAACGGCAAGTAAGCGAGCTGGCACACTGTGCCAGTATGCAAACGGGAAGTTTGTGGTGCAAGGTATGGAACATGAGCCACAAGAAACATCATTTGGAACGCTCTAAATCTGTGGCGACATATGGATGAATAACGCAAGGACCTAAACGTGTACAAAATTATACATTAAATCGTACACCTTCTTCACCCAGTTTTGACATTTGTCCACATTGAACATCACCCAGTTTTGTCGTATCAAAAAGCACCACCCTGTTTTGCCTGTCGTTTTCCAAGACCACCCAGTTTTGACATTTGGGATCCAGTTTTGTCGGCTAAAGTTAAAAACCACCCAGTTTTGACATTTTCCCAATATTAATCCCCTGCAGTCACGAAAGATTTAAATTTTTAACAAAAATAGACGTTTACCCTTTCTGGCAATAATAGTGTTAAAACACCAGATACCGATTTCAAGTAATCACTTCTGCATTAGCCACATATACTTGTGGCCGAAAGGCCGATTAGACTAAACATTTTTTTTGCAGGAACATACCCGAGTCATGCTCGTATATGAAAAACAAATAGTAACGTATCAATGTGACATCTTTGTATTTTCACGTATGAGTACAAGTCATCCGATATCTATTTAATGTTTATATGTGTTGTCATTGTTCAACGAGTATAAAAAAGCCGACTTGCGCTCCGGGGAATATATTTAACACGTTTGCACAACATTGTTAACTTCTTATGAGTTGTTTTTATCTTAACTTTCCTTTTAACTGTTGAGCACTTTATGTGATTTGCTAGTCGTTTTGACGACCCGGTAAGTGTTGCAAATGAAACTATCCTTGTCTCTTTCAGTTCTCACCTTGTAAAACAATGATTCAGAATCTGTATTTAGATTGGAGAAATCCGATGAACTATGAAAATTTTGTTTTCACGGATGTGAAGTATAGGCGGGTCAGCAAATATCTGTTGTCTCATGGATCATAAAAAATGTTTGAATAAAATGGAAGGCTGAAAAGGGCATGTACATGCCCGGGCCAGAGAAACACGTGCATTGGATACACAAATCAGACATCGTATTGCCCTAAAGCAGGCTTGTGCAGGGCATGTCGCTGGCAGGGATGGCTGGTGGTCGACACCGACAGCCGAAGGATGACACCAGAGAGAATGTCCACCGCGGAGACGGAGCGATGAATCAGCTTGCATGCAGTTGCTATGCTTCAGAAGATTGTGACGGATTAAGAAAGGCTTCGTCCAGGAGACCAATGATCACAGCTGATGACGAACAATTTGAAAACAAATGACTGCAACATTGGAAAGTTTAGTTGGAAATTAACCTTCTGCCACCAAGGATGTGTGCTGCAATTCCGACTTCCTGAAACTTTCTTATTTGGGCCTATTAAACTCTGAAACATGTTTTTAATATAACCATCACCAGTTGTGCCAATGATTGCCCCCCACCGATCATTACGGTTACAAATGCGAATAAAGTTCACGGAAACACAATAGCAAACCGACGACTTTCGTGTGCAGAAACTTTAATTGAAGGCTACACTTGTTTGATAGGTGCTCGGGAAATTGCTTCGATTCTCCAGTTGTAAATTAGTTGATGTTTTATAAACTTTTGGTGCAGGAGGGGGGGGAGAAAACGTAAATGTATCTTGACGAGCTAAGTAGTTCCTGCAACCAAAGCAGCAAATGTCCAGATGATGACTCCACGTGGCTTGTTTAGTCAAACATGTACAGAAGACGAGGGGGGAAAAAGCAAAGACAACCTAAAAACGTTGCCCATCGCGGTGGGGATTACGTTCGTGAAAAGTTGCAATCGGCAAATGCGTGATCCACAAACTCGTAGAGGTAAAATGTGGTTTGGTTCACGGTTTGTAATACAATCCGCCTCCTTTTGTTTTGTTAACCTACGTTAACCCAAACATGAAACAGGAAGTATGTTGAATATAAAGTATGATTAATATGTTAGTATTCTTGGTTCTTTCGGTAAAGTCACGTAGAAGGGAAATAATACAAATATAAAACAATAAAAATTCTCACGTTTCGACTGCAACACAAGCAATCATCATCAGGTGTGAAACTCTTGGGCTACATACAAATTTTCTTGCTGTGGATTTCACACCTGATGATGATTGCTTATGTTGCAGTCGAAACATCGTGAGAATTGTTGTTATATATTTTTTTTTATTTCCCTTCTACGTGACTACAGAAAAAAACAATAATATGAATCCCTTCAGTCACGAAAGCTTTAAATCAAAATATATTTTAGTGTTCAATATACGTTGTACAGTATATTGTTTAAATAAAATGTATACAGTACTCTAAGAAAACCACCGCAACGGTGGCTGTGTTAGTGAGACATTTAGCCTGTTAAAAAACGAGAGCCACCGCCACATCGAGGGAAAGGAGCCACGGTGGCTGTTACATTGACATGCTTTTCTCTCACAATACAATGGCCACCTCCACAGCTTCGGTGGTGCCAGATTTTCTTACATTGACATGCTAATCTTACATTAACAAATTGACATGCTAATCCCTCACAATACAATGGCCACCTCCACAGCTTCGTAGTCGTGTAGGTATATCAGCTCTCCGATCTTACATTTACACGCAAATTCCATCTCTAGCCCCGCCCACTTACCCTTGGGCTACACCCATCTCAAACCGAAATAACACCTGAAGACGGAGGCTTGTGTTGCCTCCGAAACGTCGTGGTTTATATTTTACTTTTATTAATTTAAAATGTTTACCTACGTGACTTTACCGAAAAAACCTAAGAATATGAATCCTTGCAGTCACGAAAGCTTCAAATCTAGAACGAAATAACATCCTGCTTTAGCAGCTCTCCCGCTAGTTTTTTTCCTGCCTCATCAGCCTCTCCCGCTACATTTTTTCACCTGATGACGATTGCTTTATTGCGATCTAAACGTCGTGATATTTTTTATTATTTTTCTATCTACGTGGCTTTACCGAAAGACAAAGAATATAACTCAAACGACGTTTACTTACTCTGGGAGACAAGATGCTGCGTGTATTAATCCACGTATGCACCATCGCGAGCAGGGCAGTTAAAGAGTACGGTACTTGACGATGTACACAGGAATCTCGCGGCCAGCCGTAGATGGTCAAGAAACAGAGGGCACGATGAGCGCACTATGCGTTAATAAATATTCCGCTTGTGGTTAAATGCGCGGTGGGAAAAGTTTCCGTGTCGTTTCAACTGTGCACTGTCAGAACAAAGGTTGTTCCACCACTGTAGATATGAATATGGAAAACAAAAAGTGCAATCTTAATAAAAAAAACATGTCAAATGGGTATGTATGCAGAAAATATGCCGACCGGTGAACTACTGTATTTCGTCAGAATAGTTGGTTTAGAATTCTAATTCTAATGAAAATGTATAGTCATGTTTTCTATTGGAGGACCTTCACACCAGTCTCAAGAGTGATGTAAAGTCACACTTTGGATGAAACCATCCAAAGTTGCTCTATTTGACCTATGGATAAAAACACCTTTTGGAGTTCCATGTCCTTCACCTTGTTTTAACTCAGCATTGATCCATATTGTGAATTGCCAAAACACTCCATTCAATTACAATTGACTCCACAGATGTTTTTTCTAAACAATCCTTTTTAAAAAATCGTAATTTGGCACCTGCATATGTTGTAGAGTACTTGGATCAAAATAAAGAACCACGACCAATGTTGTGTTGCACCTTGTGAAGTCTTCCATCTTTCTTTAAAAGCTCTGAACTTATGCCAACCTCTATGTAAGCAGCACGATACGATATTGAAGGGGTGGGCCAGTGGCACCACAGTACTTCAATGCACTCCGGTGACCCAAGTTCGAATCCGAATGCCCAATTCAGTTCACTCCAGAAGCAATATTTCAACTGATCATGCCCCACCCTCTTCACACACCCACTTAACATCGTGGCAAAGTTTGGCCAAATGTCAAGTAACCCCCATGATTACGTGGCATGCTTTAGCCTTCATCTAGCAGTGGATTGAGGCTGACATTTTAAGAAACGATTCTGTATTATTACAGAACAAGTGTTGTAATAAGCACGAATCGTAAAACTATTCAGGAATTAAAATTATGTTCACATCACTGGCGGAGCCAATGGGGGGGGGGGGGGGTGGCACGTTCCCACCCAATGATCCCATCGAAATCCCTAATTTCGATCGGATCATTGAGGTTTATTAGTAATAAATCGGCATTTTGCGACCCCCACTGCCACTGGTGTAGCATATTATTACTTGCACGGGACTCTATGAGATGATAGGACAATAGTCAGTGTCCATAATTGGCAATAAGTAACGGTAAAACAGTTATAAGTAACTCAGAATTGTGCACAGTTGCTTATACAGTATCCCACTTCCCTGAAGGCATTCACCTTCAGCGAGCGCGATGCCGATCACACGCGGTTCGAAATCGACCCTCAATCGATGGCTGCGCCATCGCCGCACACGCGTCGGATAAAAAGCATGGGACAAGTCCTAACTATAATTTTTCATTGGAGGGATTGCCCCCCCATACCTGAAAATCTTGGCTCCGCCATTGGATCACATTACATGCACTGAATTGCACATTCAATGCATAGACATGTTCTATTTTTCAATGTATGCAAATTATTTGCTAGTAATTAACGTAGTGTACAATTCACCACGCAGGTCTCAATGTGTAACCTCCATAAATACACTTAAGTGTTGAATATATGTAATAAACCAGTCGTATACGTTACGAGAGAGAAAAAAAATCGCTGTTGAATACCAAAAATACTCAAAAATTAAGAGTATAAAACGGGGTACATATATGGGTGAACTGTAATCTAAATTGTTGGATTTGACAAAAATATGAAATTACTGGAAACCCCCAAAACATTTTCAATCTAGCTTTTTATCAGTTCCATGGACAAGCAGCACACCAGTTCCATGTGGCTTTTAGAGAGAAGCATTTTTTTTTTATGCGATGGGTAACATGCCCGTGGAATATAGAAAAACGTAATCAGCTCCTCATGTAGTCTGGGCATACGGGGTGCATAGTGGAGGACAGAGATTTTGGGACAACGGCATGCACGATCTTATAGGTAAGATTACCTTAAAATTAAAGTCGGTTAAGACGAGAACAAATTTATTTCCCACGTGATCAAATCTACAATTAGTCGTGTGGAACAATTAATACATATCATGGGAGAACATACTAATTTAGACAGCAAAAGTTTACAAATAAATCGTCAATTTGAATAACGCAAAAAGACTGCGACGACTCAATGATTTATGAGCCTATTAAGCAACGTACACAATGCTCTTCAGCGAATTGAACTTCAATTTCATTTAGACAAAACTACACCAACATTTTTAAAATCAACATTCAATTGATCAATATTAAACCAGTTTAAATCCAAGATAATTTACACAATCCAAGCATGAGGTTATAAAAAACCGTTAGAGAAATAGGATAGCATAAGGATAATATAAATTAGGATATATGACCAAGCACTGTAATAAAATCTGCTATAAGGACTCATGAAAACATACTTTTTGCATTGGGATTTTTTTATCTGGACATAATTTGTAAGGAAGAATACGTCAATGAATACAGTAGCAAATTAATAAAAAAATAACATCAATACATCGAGGGCCTGATGATGAATATTTTTGAGTAAAAGCCTCCTGTCCCTCCAGTTATTGGCCGGAGCACTTGTTCAAGATCCAACCTCGTTTACACAATGGAAATGAGTGTATAACGAAAACATTAAAAAAGGAAAACTTGAGATAACCTAAACTACTGCATGTAAAAGTCACATGAATGAAGCAGGTTTTAACTTTGCTGCAGTACAAATGGCAGATATACATGCACACGTTTAGCACTAAAGTAAAATCACCATTGCAATTTATCTTAGTACCAAGACAACTGGAAAATGTTCACGAATGTAATGTGACGTCCATTGAATGTTTTATTTACTGTATTCTAAAGAAAAGAAATACAAATTTGAAAATAGGTTTTGCTAATTTCCCAAACAAATATTCTATCACATTTTGCAGCAGGCTACAATTGAGCATAAAAAGGGGCAAAAATACTGCCTCATTTCCAAAGTTATGGTCTTGTGAACGCATGTGAATTGCCCAATTTTCTTCCCCCTCCATTGAATTTTGCAACAGGGCAGCAGGGTTAACACATTTAAACGCCAAAGCATCGGCAAAAAAGAGACTCAGAAATCTTGGTCTCCACCACAAACCTAAGCCACAGCAAGCTCCTTCCTTACATGATGTGCCAACATTTCCAAAGACACGGAACAAAAACTATCCTTAACTATCCGTAATATATAATTATTACGTGTACCATTCTTAAATTATCAGGAAATAATTTACGAGTCGCTTGATTCAACCACACCGACACTGCCTGCACACCAGCACACCTCCAACCATTAGGATGCTCCCTGCATCAGTGGAAAACTGCCAGCCTCAATTTCTTGCAGTGCACCACAGCTCAATTGTAGACCCTGCTGCTCCGGGAACACGCTTCACTCGCTCCGTTGAAAAACATTACACCAGCTGCCTGATACACGCACTTACCATTCTCTCTCCCAGTGCCAACTCCACAGCAAGGGGTACACGATACAATGCTTTTCTCTAGGTGTTTGTGTGCAGCTTTGCGCCCATTACATGATTGTGTGTGGCCGGAGGAACAGCAAGCCTTCTACCCTACTATTCATAAAGCAATGCATCGTGTACCCCTGACCTCTCAATACACCTAAAGTAGGGTTGCCCAGACTTCTCAAAACGTGGTTCCATATTCATGCTTCAGTAGCGCTGCTGGTACTGTTCATCCCAGCGGGCCTGCTGTTGGAACTGCGGGTGCTGCTGCCGGAAGGCTGGCTGCTGCTGTCTGGCCCAACCTTTCTCCTCTCCATAGCCCTGCGAGCCCATGCCGTGGGTCGGCTGCGAGGGCATTTGTTGCTGCTGCATCAGTGGCCGCTGTTGCTGCTGTTGCTGTTGTTGTTGCGGTGGCGACCGAAACATGGGTGCTTGCGGCTCCACCAAAGCCGCCGACTGCCCCTTCTGCGACACGGCAGCCGATGCCTGCTTAACGAGCTGCGATATCGCCGGACCGCTCTGCATGAGCATGTCAAGCGCCTTGCGCACGTTGGGGTTATCCAGGTCGATAGACGACGGGTTTACAGTGGTGGGACCGACTGCCGTGCTGGTCGCTCCCCCAGAGGTGACGCGCTCCTGCTGTTGCGGAGTCACCAGTTGCTGCTGCTGCGACGGCATTCGCACGCCTTGGTCCGAGAAATCCCTGCCCATGTTGCCGTAGTTGCCGTAACCACCGACCTGACCCTGAGCTCCCTGCGCAGAGGTGGTGGCGCGCGGCTGCAGCGCATCCTCCATGGGTGCGTGGCTCAACTCGGACTGCGCACCTACCGACGGCGTTCCTGGCAGCCAGCGTGAGTTGCGTCGCAGCGGGGAGAGAGGACGAGACGCCGCCACTTGCCCCATGTTGTTCGCCTGCTGTCTGCCCGCCATGTGGCCCGATGGGGGCAAGCTCCCCTGCCTCCCCATCCCCGCCGCCATTGCACCTCCACCGCCGCCACCGTTGTTGTTACCGCTGTTAAAAGCAGCGCCGGGCGCGTCGGCCGCCGCTCTGTTACCGTACGCACCTACGGCTTTGCTTGCCATGTTGGGCAGTTGTTGGTCAAGTCTCTGGTGAGCCTGTGGTGTGTTCTGTTGAAGATGGTGCATTCCAATCCCTCCCTCAGCCAAGCGTGGCGGGGCGGCTGGCTGATTACGCATTCCTGGCACACAATTGAAATCAAAATATGTGACGTGTTAAAGAGGCTACATTGAGTATTTTTTTTCTAGAAATGTGTTCTCTTGGTAGAGGAAAGCTGCTAGATGTGAAAAGGTGTAACGCCTTACCAAGTTTAGTTTCTGTACTGCAGTAATAAAATGGTTAAATTCTAAAATCACCCTTGCTGAAGGACATAAGAAATTACAAATTGAAAAATGGGAATTATCAAAAAAAACTCTAAAATAATATTCACATACCCTGAGCCAAAATGAATGCAATGCCAGAAAAAAATTACACTGAAAAACAGACCGTATGAAAACATCTTAAATTGAGCCTCTCCAACAAATTTGCTTTCCTATTTACAAACTGAATATTAAGATTAGGGCTTTAGGCAGGTAATACAACAGCTTATGTAAACACTGCAAAAATAATTTCTTCAAGGCAGAATTCAGAATTTTAGCTGAAGGAAAAAAAAACCTAGTGAGATGGGACATCTCGCTTACTCAGGTGTCCATTTAAAATGTTGATTTTGCACAATCGTTAAATGTTGCGAATGATATTCACAGGGTCTTTAACTGCAACATTACAGCATTAGGCAAAGACTGACAATGATCTACAAGAATGACTGGGTGAAAACAATTATCAAAACTCGCAACTTCGTGTAAACCAATTGTGGTTAAGTGATGCAACAATCCATCGAGCTCCTGCATGCAAGCTCATTCCATTGCTCCATCTCGGGTTTGTGTCCTCCTTTAGCTGCCACCCAATCGTTGGCCTTGACCATAAGTCATCGCCTCTTCTCCTGTTCTCTACAACCTCACTTTTCTTAAAACTGTCTCTGTGTAGACACTTATTTGTAGAGCAACAGCAGTTTTTTAATCACTGCTTGGCCAAATATTCACCTAACACGCAGTTAATATTCCAAACCCTTGGCTTGTATTTCTAGGCAGTGATTGCAAATTTCTTTGCAGGTTCTCTAATCATTTGGTCTCATCAAAAGAACCCATACACACATCAACCAACTAGTGCTGCAATGAATCATAAATTCAATTAATCAATGACAAAAAATATATATATTTGAAGTTAATTAACTGTCTGCCATTTTAAAATGGTATTTTTAAAATGCCATTTTAAAATGGCAGATGCTAGAAAGCTGGGGCCCGAGTACCAAATGGCTTATGCAATTAAAAACATTGCGTGGGCCACTTTTTCAATTTTCTCATTCCCCGCGGCATTTACGCACAGAGATTGCGTAAATATCCACGACAATGTACATTTGATATCGAGCAACCATAAGTCTGCAAATACTCTGATAGCTGCACGGAAGGAAGAGATCAGTATTTTTACTTGTGCTTGAGCAGTTGCGTCTTCTTTGTGGCTGTTGGCATTGTTGACTTTGTTAAGTTTTGTTTTTGTGCGTTGTGCTGTATGTGGTTTGAGTGTAGAGTTCGAACTGTTGTTGTGGAGTATGGTTGTGGTGGTGGGCTTTGTGATGTATGATTGTAATTATTTCAGCAGCTGGTGTGTTTGGCTGTGTTGTGAGCACTTGTAGTGAGTGTATAGTTTTTAGTTGAGGTTGAACAGTTGTAGCTGCAACAGTTGCGCTATATGGTTGTGGTTGCTTCAGCGGTTGATGTGTATGATTGTGGTTGAGTGGTTAACATATTTTTCGATCAATGCAATACATACCAACATTTATCACTTTTCTAACATGGTTAACTATTGACGAGATAATAAACTGTAACATGAGCAACACTGCTGTGCTTACCTCTGCCACGCACGCACCTTTATTGCGCAGCTCCCGCTAAATTGTGGGTTAATTTCATGGAAACGGGACACCCGGATTACCAAGTGTCCACCTCAAATGTGAAGTTCACTCCTCTCCCAAGAAGAGAAGCGGAGCTGATGCTGCTGCTGCTGCAGCAGAAGCAGCGTCCATGGGAAGTGGTGCCAAAATCCCCGTTGCAGCCGACCGGCGGGTGGAGTGGGAGTGATGACGTGATCCATAGTGAAAGCCAACGTGCCATCCACGTCTGTAAACTTCGCTTTTCTCACTACGAACTTTTCATTGCGTACACCGATCCGCGTCCTGCTTAGATTTACGCAATGTTTCTGTGCCCAGGCCCCTGGCCTCCATAACAAGAGAAACTCACCTTTGATGTGGTAATGACGATGACTTCAAGATTTCTTGCCCTCCTCAATCTTGGTAGGCTTATTGTTTGGTTTATAGATGTAATGTTATTATACTAATAACTTACAGCCCTTTGTAAATAACTACACTGTTTCGGTGATTATAATAATCAACTTGTAAAGTGTTCAAGTTATACTTTGAGTGTAAGGTTAAGTTTTTGTTTGTTACTATATGAATGGAGTGGTGCTCTTATTCATATAGTAGTTATACATGAAAATTGAAAGTTATTCTAGAGGTGGAATTCAACTTATGAGGTATTGTTAGTCTTATTTAATTGGTTTAAACTCATCATAGTATGAGCGTATGTGCAGTGTTCATATTATATAGTGTAGTTTCATAGTACATATGCTATTCTCAATAGTTTCCTCGAGTGTTCCAGTAGTGCCGGAATTAAAGTCAAGTTTCATGGCTTCAGTCACGGTTAACCCAAAATATATTTTACAATCTTCCCGGATAATGCCTTAACAATGCCTACGAGACATCACCAATGCCTACCACTTATCTGCAGCAACCCCAAGACACAAAGCACCAGAAAGAGTGCCCCTAGAGTCCCCCGCACGCTGCCACCGTACCTCTTTCGTTGAGCGCCTTTTCACGCAGAAAGCGCACTTGCTCCGAGATGCGATCCAGCTCTTCCAGGGACATGTCCTTCCCCTCGCTCAGAGCGCTGCGTAGCGACGACAGCGAGTTGGCATGCTGCGAGTAGGCCGCTGGCGCTGCCGCCTGCTCACTCGGGTACCCGGACGTGTTGCCGCGCGCGGGACCGGGCCGGTAAGGTGAATCTGTGGGCGACGCTCGCGCTTGTAGGGGTGGGGCCAGGGTGTCCGGAGCTGGTGGGGCGCGCGCGGGGGCCTGTGTCGAAAAGCTGGTTCGGAATTCCGGCACTTCCGAGAAACGGTTCGGCCGCTGCTGGCGCCGCAAGACGCTGTCGGCGCGCTCGGCTGCTTGTCTGGCGATCTCACTCCGCCGCCGCTCGCGTAGGTTGCCCATGTAAGACTCAAACTCGCGACCCACGAGCTCCATGGCCATGGGCAGAGGCGTGTCGTGGTGCTCTGGTGGAAAACGCGATGTTTATGGCGCCACATCAAAGCTACCTGGATAAAGTCAAACACTACAAACGCCACCTTCAGTGGCATCAAAACAGAGATTTTTTTTTTCTGTAAGCCCAACATAGGTTTATTCAATCTTTGTTTCCATTTATTTGAAAGGAACACAAAGGGGAAAACGATATTGCATTGCAAAAAAATACTGTCACACATTGCACCTATGGATGTATGCAAAATTATATTTTGCCAATCGATAATTACGTATAATTTGAAATTAAAACACGAACAATGCACGTGGAACAAAAAATTCAACTTCCCTATTGGGTGAAAAACATTTTCCATCATGGCTGGTGACACCAAACGCAAGTTAACATTTTGCTGTGAAAAAAAAATTAGGTTTGCACAACTTTTACAAGACCAGCGTTCATCATCAGGCCTACAGAAAGCCTTCACCAATTTCAACGATTCTCCCATGGCGGCGTGTGATTCCCTTCGCACTTTTTCCGACTTTATGGAGCAGCAAGCTAGCCGGCCACATCCACAAATGAAGCTTGCCTTTCGGTTGCCACGATGCATAAGGGGGTCGGAGGGCTTACGTTGCTTGTTCCCCTGAAGGACGTGGACGGAGCAACAGTTGTGCGTCACGTGTTGGGGCATCACGGCGATGGCGAAGGCGGAGCCTCCATTCCTTACATCGTTCAGGGCCTGGCCCAGGAGGTTCTGCGAGCTCAGCATGATGAGATCCACAGTGAGGCCCATATTCCGAGCTTGCCTTCCTATATTCTCTGCATAGTCCCTGCAACACCACAGGACCAATAAGTCAGGAATGGAGCAATAAAAATTGTGTCACATACTTAAATGAGTATTTGGTAGCAGTCATCGTCATAGGCAGTTTCTGAGTCAGTCTCTCTTCCGAACATCCACCACCGAATTCCCAAAAACTGATACTAATTTTACAGAACGCAGATGTCGTATGGGCTGAGTCTCTTTCTGACTGGGCTATCAGTTCGCAAACGTTTGATTGCAATGCGAGCAGACTTTACAAGATGCCCTCCCATCTAAATAAGAAAAAGGTATAACAAATTCATGACAATATAGATTTGAGGAGGCTCTAAGGGTTAACGTATGTGTTTATATCAAATCACCAACAATGATGTTACAGTGGGCCTTAATTCCAAACTCTCACCAAAAATGTACCTTCAATTATAGTAAGTTTTCCAATTTCAGCTGAGTTGATAATTAGAAGGAAGCATCCATCGTTAAAGTTTGGTTTTGCAATTCTGCAAAATATGATTTCTACTGACAAGTGGTTGACTACGTCAGATACTCAAAGTTCCGACCTGGACTGAGATCAAGCCAGTAAGAGGAGAATGGTGCACGGAGATGATAATTTTTAGTAATTCAAAATTCGCGATTTTTTTCAGTGTTGAAACTCCAGTCAAATAATGGTACTTAATTATTTTCCAGCAGGAATAGCTAATCCATTGCTATTTTCATATATAAACGTTCAAAAGTATCAACCATGACTTGAGTTATACTTCGTTTACGTGTGTAATTCATTTTCAGTTACGGAATGTAAAATTCTACATTTCCGGATGACAATTCCTCCAGCCTAAAGTCTCCACCTAGTGTCAATACAGCATCACTGTAAGAATATCCGTTTCCCATTACATGGGAATTGTAGCCAAATATGACGTAATCACTTACTTAATGGCAGGGTAAATAAAATCTTGATTTAAAGCTTTTGTGACTGCAGGGATTGATATTCTTTTTTCCCTTCTGCAGTCAGTATGGAGCAGATGCTAGTGGCAGATCCACACGAAATGTCACCACTCACTTTTGCTGCCGCGAAGCCACAATGACAACACAGTCCACAGGTCTCTCACTGTCGTACTGTTTTTGAATTTCATCATAGAACTTTAGGTAGAGCTCTTCACGCTTGATTTCATCTCCTGACCAAAATATAGTTAAAAGCATTTAGCGCAAGACAACTGTACATAGTTAGAATATTACAATTTTCCTCAAATTTCTAATGCTGTCTGAAGCAAGCTGCAATAATAAAAAAAAATCCTTCATCACATTTGATTACATATCTAATGCACCCTAAATGTTAATAACTGTAACATACTTGATAAATGTCATCTTAATAAGTGACAAGTTAGAACTGCAGAGTTTGTAGGGCAGAATTATAGATGGCACCAGCAAATAAAACATTAAAAACTGAACCTACTAAGTTTGTGTGTGCACGAGAAAAAAGCTAAGCACATTACATAATGCACTGTAGTCCCTTCATCTATATATATATTTTTTGAAAACTTTTTGAATAGAATTTATATCTAGATCACACACATGAAATAATAAGCTGACAGACCTGATGAAGGCATGTCTCTGGCTGGTCGCTGGTCTTCATCATCGTATGATGGCCCTCTATAAAATTAAATAAAAAAAACACCATTACACCATTTCTCACAATCCAAAACATAGCTCAAAATACCAATCGTGCTCTGTAATGAATACTCCAGTTACCTGAAAGGCGGCTCGTTCTGGTCCTCTTCACCCCACAGCGAAGTGTTGGGTCCGTTATTTCCATAGCCACCCCTGCCAGGCATGCCTCCCCTGCCGGACATGCCCCCCCTGCCGGACATGCCCCCCCGACCGGGCATGCCCCCTCTTTCGTGCATGCCCCCTCTTTCGTGCATGCCCCCTCTTTCGTGCATGCCCCCTCTTTCGTGCATGCCCCCTCTTTCGTGCATGCCCCCTCTTTCGTGCATGCCCCCTCTTTCGTGCATGCCCCCTCTTTCGTGCATGCCCCCTCTTTCGTGCATGCCCCCTCTTTCGTGCATGTCCCCTCTTTCGTGCATGCCCCCTCTTTCTCGCATGCCCCCTCTTCCGTAATTGTCCCGTCTTTCGTGCATGCCTCCTCTATCAATCATACCTCCTCTGCCAGCCATGCCCTCCCTATCGAACATGCTGCCTCTACCACCCATGCCCTCCCTATCGTACATGCCGTCTCTTCCACCCATGCCCTCCCTATCGTGCATGCCCCCTCGGTCGTGCATGCCCCCTCGGTCGTGCATGCCCCCTCTGTCGTGCATGCCCCCCCTGTCGTGCATGCCCCCTCGGTCGTGCATGCCCCCTCGGTCGTGCATGCCCCCCATGCCACCCCTATTGGGCATCCCCCCTCTGCAAGGCATTCCACCCCGGCCAGGCATGCTGCCCATCAGTGGTTTGCTGTTCATTATGTAATGGGGACCGCCATGGAACACAGGCCGCTCATTCCGCGAGGCCATCCTGTCCCGGGATGGGAAAAGCCGTGGCACCCTCCTGTCATCCCTCTCCCGCGAGGTCCTCCGCTCACGTGACCCCTCCTTTGAACGCCTGCGGTCGTCACGACGCTCCCGGCTGGCACGCTTTTCTCTGCCACTCCTTGCTGATGAGTCGCGGTGGCCATCGCGAGACGAGGGTGACCGGGACTTATCACGGGTCGAGCGGTGCCTCGAGTCTTGGCCCGATGACCGCTCAGGAGACCGCCTGAGGAGAAAGCTTCCATGCATTACCGTGCGTGCAGACGCCACCTGAAAATAAGACTTGCAAACATTGGCCTAACTTTTGCAAAACACAGGTGCTGAGCTACTGGAATTAATACATACCTGAGCATAAAGGCAAATTATTTATTTTAATGAGAAATAAGACATGCAAGGATAACTATAAAACCATTATATATTTTTAGGGACATTCTATAAAAAATTGCCATCTTTTTTAACGGTGCATGTTTTTGACATTGACTTAACTCAGGTGCTCAAAAATGCATTTAACAATCAAACAATGGTCACTAGATATATCATTCAGCTTGCTATAAAAAAACAGCAAAAAAACAAATACTGACCTCTTTGAATCATCATTTCTGTAGAAATAACAATTATAACAATGTTAAATAATATAAAAACAATTAAACATGAATCTTACCATCAGCCAAGGGAGGTGTATTCACAACACTCAATAGTAAAATTACCAAAGTGTGCATCTCACTCTTAAAATGGTGTGAAATTATGAGAATTTCCATTAAAACCTAATGGATATACACAAATGTCATCAAAACAAGTGGTGTATGAAGTGATACATATATACTGAACTATTAAACACACTTGATGCAAAAACTATTTAATGAGTGGTTTATACACAGCACTTCAAATTAAAATGGGCATTTTCAGTTAATCTTGAATGTCTTTTCTAAGGCTATCCAAAAGGGTGTCCTTCTGAAATAATATACCCAGACAATTCCACTGCAGATTTTATGCATCCGTGTAAAAATGTATTAAAGTCTGAAGTGTAATTATGTGCTCCATTAAGTAAACTGTATGTCAGAGGGGCAGAAAGGCCACTTGTGATTTGCCGACACGAATGAAGATGCTTTGTGACTCGAACACAATCAATAACTGTCTTGCAACTACACATGCAAATTTCATGTGAAAATAGTTTAACATCAGCAATGCCAGAAAGCTGTTTTAAAGATTAAAAACATTTTACAAAGATGGCTAAACCACGGATTTTTGCTTGTGATTCAATGTTTACAAAATTTAGTTTAAATGTTGAACATTGTAAATAAAATTTGACTTAAAGCTTTCGTGACTGCAGGGATTCATATATTCTTGGTTCTTTCGGTAAAATCACGTAGAAGGGAAATAATAAAATAATATAAATATAAAACAATAAAAAATTATCACGACGTTTCGACTGCAACACAAGCAATCATCAATAGTCAACGTTTTTGGGTTTAGATCGCGTTATTTATAAATGTGTCGTAACCCTCCACCACCCGACACGGCCAATCAGTAAAAAAAAGTGTCACGTTGACAAGACAAATAGTTCACTGCTTTAGCCCACCGGTGTGTTGAAGCGTGAAACAACAACATTTACAAATTTTGAGTACGACGTTTCGCTGGTAATTGCATCCAGCATCATCGGGCAATTCGCCAGAATGGTCGCGAAAGCCTACGTGTTAAAATCATCATCAGGTGTGAAATCCACAGCTATTTATATTATTTTATTATTTCCCTTCTACGTGACTTTACCGAAAGAACCAAGAATATTGTAAATAAACTAAATGTATGCCAAATTCAGATTCTTTGGGTCTTTCGGTACAGTCACATAGATAGGTTCAAAGTCACGTAGATAGGTTCAAAGAAACTATCTACGTGACTTTACCAAAAGACCCAAAGAATATGAATTCCTGCAGTCACGAAAGCTTTAAGTCAAGATTCATGCCAAATTAAATTTCATATCTTTAGGAACCTGCATAAAAATATCACATTGATAAATGGTGAGGCTCTTCTGTAGAATAATTATGTAACTTTCAGAGAAACCACTTACACATATATGAATAAGATTCTTGACAGCAAGCAACAACAAAAAAATATTAGAACAAGTTTTTCAGCAAAAAAATGAATAACATCATTTAGTAAAATTTCCAAATCACTATAGAAAGTGTGACAAGCTCCAAAGTGAAATGTGTTTCCATTGTTTGACAATATGGTAGCTAAAATTGTTAGAATGGTTTTAGTTACATGAATGTATACTTGAGGACAACACAAAAAGGCTTTCATAATTAAAAGTGAATCTCGACAAGTTATGACAGGCAAACAAGTGGTTAAATATGTACAGATGGCATAGAAACAAAAATACTTTTCAACCCTTTAAAACACATGCGTGCACACCATTCGTAGAAATGTTGGTGTTTGGGGCTGAGGACTGATTTCTTTTACCTTTTGTCACTTTTTGGTGGACTGACTTTAGGCATTGGTCTCTTTCGACTCTGAAACCACACAAATCTCTGCAATAAAATAGTGATGACAGATATTAAATAAGACTGCATGTCAACACAACAGGTAAAAAACTGAAAAAAGCAAAGTCAAATGTGGTGCAGTGGTCATAAATCACAAATACTAAGCCTGTATGATTTAAGAATTGAATGTTATAACGTGGGATGAATGCTTGTCTTAATTGGCTTACCAATGATGTTGCATGCATAACAAATTCTAAATATGTACTGTAATTTAACAAAATATATGCACTCGTTGGATTATAAATGATGGAACCTTCAGCGAAATCCATGTAATTTGGCATCAAAAATTGTCTTGAAATGAACCATCTGCACGTAACCATACCCCGCCAGTGTTTGGTAATGCAGGGTGGACATTACTCATGAAATTATCAGAGGCACTAATGAATACTTTTTTTTATGTCCTGCAACGCATTATGTACAAGAAGATACAGTGCAGTATAGCTTCTTTTTTGCTAAATATATTTTAACCATGACAATCTCTCCAAGCTTTTGTGTCAGCTGAAAAGTGGAAACAGCAAAGTATAATGTCCATAGTGCACCACACTTTGTAAAAGCACTGAATATTGCTACGTTTCACATTTTAAGAAATGACATGAAGGTATGTGGAGTGTTACCATAGTAATGGAACATAGCTGCGCATTAGCCAAAGCGATATACGGCACTCACAACTCATTTAAAAGAGGGAAAATTCTTACCAGACTCAATTCGGCAACCTCAGTCAACATTTGCAAATCATACACACAGGGTAACATTTAGAAGGTAATTAGCTGTTATTTTAGTTCATAAGTAACGGAATAATTCAATGGTTTGGCTTATACGAAACTGAAAAGCACCTTTCTTGGGTGTACAAAAGTTCGTCTGAGTCGGCTTTACATGGCATTATGAGGCGTTATAATAATCGCTTATATTTCCGTTTAATTAACCCTAATTGGTTCCAAGTCCACTTAGCGACCGATGTTGGAGTTGAGTCAAGTTCAACAGCAGTTTCCCCGACCACCATATAATAAAACGTAGCAGTGAGATGTACACAATACTAAGGTAACGTTCGTATTGCGTTTTAGCAAATCGGGGAACAACACGTGACAGCATTAAAGTGCAGTACTGCACAATTACTTTAGCTGCACCACTGCCGACACCTACTAAGGGCCATCCATTTAGTACATCCGCAAAAATCTGTCAAAACTTTAACCCCCTCCCTGCACGCATGCGTACTTTTTAACCCACCAACCCCGAATCCTATAGAACGGCCGATATTTAAACCACACAAAAACGATCAATTATTAATAGTTCTAACGTGTTTAAGCAGATAGTCCACCGCCGGACTATCTAACTCATTTGAAAGCCAATGTAGACAAATTATTATCGAGGACTTCAACCCCCCTCCCCCGTTTCCTATGCGTACGTAGATTGCCAATAGACCCCCCCCCCCCCATACGCAAGCGGTACGCATTTGGGTTAACCCCCCTCCATGCGTCCGTACTAAATGCATGGCCCCCTACCCCCTAGTCGCTCAGTTGCTGAGGATCTGACGAGATCGGAGTTGCTTTCCGACTGATTTGGTCATTGTCCGCCTTCAAGTGCCCAAGCAACAACGTTCGACAACGCAATGTCTGGAAATCGCAATTGCCCGCTGATCAAATGACTGTTGTCCTTTGGAGATGTCTTGACCGTGCATTGGTCACACACGGGATGGCTGTAACGTGCATGATGAGGAGATTTCTCTAATTTAATTATTTTTCGTTTAGAATGGGCATTTATAACGACCTTTATTATTGTATGACATGCACAAGCCCAACCTGCGTTGCCTGAATTTGCGAATGGAGTTTGTATGCGACGGATGTTTTGACGCTTCTAAGTATGTACGCAGTACTGTCAAAGCTTTAATTCTCTTATGTTTTTTCGGTAAAGTCACGTAGTAAAAAAAATATATAAATAATAGTATATTATTATTTATATTATTATTTTTAACCCAAATAGAAATATTTCTATTATACATGTTTTACCCTAATTGAAATATATATTATTTCTATTATTTTTAAATCCTAATTAAAATATATATTATTACTTATATTATATATTTTTACCTACGTGACTTCACCGAAAAAACCTAGAGTATGAATCCTTGCAGTCACGAAAGCTTCAAATCTAGAAAGCTTTCATTGTCCACTACCGTCTTTACTCAACCTATAAAACAATGCACTGCTGCACACGTTATTCCAACTGGACGAGTAGCCCAACAAAGCCCTTCCAAATACAATTTTACAAGTTACAATCAATCCAATGCTCAAAATCCGTACGTAGCAAGGTAAAAACCCTCTGAACGTGGCGTCAACGAACCGAAACCGCATCTGTGCATCGCAACAGTAGGTTATTACACATTTCCACCCGATACACCTCCTTGCATATTGATCATTGCGTGCGATTCAAACCCTTCTCGCTGCCAAAGGAAAGTTTATGTTTGCAACATTTATCGCGAAGAAGCGAGAAGACGCGAGGCGATGCGACAGGGACAGGCTGCAACGTCCGCACGAAGGCCGCGCTCGCCACCTCGGGGGGCGTTCCGATTAGCCCGCGCAGTTTGCTTTCTGCTCACCTTGATTGTCAACCGGGTCCCAACACCGTCCTCGCACAATGACAACGCGATCGCTGCACTTTTAAATTGAAATGGAATTGTTTTATTTCCACCTCAAAGGCGCTGCCGAGGCCAACGCGGTCAAGCGCTAAGATGGCGGGGGGGGTGGAGGATGTAAGAAGGGCGGGAAACCGCGGGGTTCACTTCCGGAGCGGAGTCGATTCGACTTTAGAATCGATGCATTCGATTCATTAACTCAGCCGTACTTACACTGCGGAATCGATTATACTGCGCGGGTTAAATCGGTACGGTCGATTATTTAGCCCTCGCGTTCTTCAACAGGCGGAGTCGATTCGAATTCGCGGTCCGAATCGATGAATTCGATGAATTCACTCTGCCGTACTTCCGCAACGGAGTCGATTCGACTTCGCCCTCGGTTTGATCGAATAATTAACGCTAGCGTATAGTTAGTTAATTAACATTTAACGTTTTTATTGATAATCCCGTTGGCGCAACACACTCGTCAATAACAATGCCTTAAACCAGTGGATCTTCTTAGCCTGGAGTGCACGCACCCCCTGAGTGTGCGAGATGCCCTTTCCGGGGGTGCGAGGCATGGCCAGATTTGTTTAGAAGTTAAATCATCTAAATACTAATTAAGCGCGGACACGTAAGTACAACTCACTTTGTTTCATCAAACCCTATGTATTAACATTGTACTCTTTTTAAAACGATTGAGAACCAAAGGAGTGCAATGCTGCAGTAAAGGTTTAGAACTACTGCCTTAAAAGAAAAAAAAAACGGCGACGTTCCAGGCAATAGCCCTTCATCATGTAGCAATATTTTTCGATTTAAAGCTTTCGTGACTGCAGGGATTCATCTTCTTGGTTCTTTCGGTAAAGTCATCACGTAGAAGGGAAGTAATAAAATAATAAAAATAAACCAACAAAATAATTCTCACGACGTTTCGGCCACAACCCAAGCAGCCGTCCTCAGGTGAAAAACAGGTCTTCAAGAACAGGATCTTCAAGACCTGTTCTTCACCTGAGGACGGCTGCTTGCATTGTGGCCGAAACGTCGTGAGAATTTTATTATGTTTTGTTATTTTATTACTTCCCTTCTACGTGACTTTATCGACAGAACCAAGAACATGTAGCAATAATTGCACGTTATAATATATCATATACGTATTCTATACAGTATTATGCTTTTCTTAAGTTTTGCTGGCTGGCTGGCGCGCGGACACGTGTGCGGTGGTGACGTCACCCGCACCCCCACAGCGTTGAGCCGGGTTCGTGCGTGCTGGAGGAATCCGATGAGCTTTAAAGCTTTATTTCACAGTCGTCCAGTCGGGGTGGGTCAGATCGTTACAACAACAATACAAAAACACGATATGAGTACAAAGTATAGAACACGTAAACAAGTCACTTTAAATATATATGAATAAAACTAAACGTTTGTTTTTATCTTACCAGGTAAATCCAACTGAGGTATTGGCTTATTTTTCAGAAGCTACCTTCTGACGAGCCAGGGTTATGGCACGTTGACACCCATGGGAAGCGAGTTTCACAACATTTGTGTGATTTTCACTTGCCCAAAGGCAATCATGATCTCTGTAACCTTCAACATCGTCATCAGTCAACGTTAAAAAAAATACATATAACTGGTATAGATCAGAAGTATTCCAATGGGGAAAATTAACTCTATATCATCATCATGGGACCTCCATATCACTCAGCTTTAATTTAAGAAAATCATTACAAGACTACACGTACCAACAACTCCACCTACTGCGAAAACTTTGCAGGACCCTTTTGGAAGAGTTATGACTTGAGTCTTTCCTGGTTCAGCAAGCAGAATGCCACATGTCATGCAAAGCATGCTGGAAGGACCACGTTTTTACTCACAATAGCACATGTTACTGTTTGATGTGTTTTCATCATTTACAGAAAGTGTTAGAATTGGGTCAATTTATTTCAAAGCACGCTGCTCACGATACACAGAAGCTATCATTCACTCACTATCACCACTCCTCCGGGCATGCTCCAATAATTGCCAGCAGATGGCATCCTCGGCCAGATAATTTTCACGCATTTGTAACCACGAATTCTGCGAGATTTGTCGCGTTAAGAAGCCTGGGACCCAAATCCATAATCCTGTACAAAGCCGTTGAGCCGACTACCAGCCACCAACCCAGTATAATGAAGATACACGAAGCAATGTTTTACTAGTCAGTTCGGTCTCGTCAGATCTTAGAAGCTAAGCAGCGTTGAAGCAGGATAATACTTGAATGGGAGACTGGCTCGGAAAACCAGGTGGTTGTTGGCTTGGGCTACAAGGTGGCTCGGAAATGGCAGGACAGTATACAATGAATATTACAATCTGTACAAACCTTTGAGTATTATCCCATCGATATGCCAGAGTTTCTCCGGGTTATCTGGGTTCATCTCACTCCAAACACTCATAAATGAATTGGCCATATACTGTATCTAAATGAAGGACCCTCAGGGTTTTCCGGGTAAAGTGCATTATTAGTGTGCGCAAACATAAATTAACCCACTGACGGATGAAAGCCTCCCTAAGATATTCTTAGTTTTTTTCGGTAAATTCACGTCGGTAAAACATCAAAATTTATGGAAATAAATTAAAATAAAACAAAAAATCACGACGTTTCGGAGGCAACACAAGTCTCCGTCATCAGGTGGGACCGTCACAGCCGAATTAGCTGCATCAAGTGAGGCAATGATTCAAGATGTAATCCCTTATAAGCAAGTTGAAGGGGGGAGGAGAGGGGGGGGGGGAGCTCATCAGAATGTTAGTACAACTCATCGGGAGGGGGAGGGGGGGCCAAAAAATTGAACGAAGGCTTGGACGCGGTTGCTGCTGCACACGCCAACACAATGGACAGAGGGGGAGGGGAGGTCTGATACACATGATAGACAAAAGAACGAAATTGCCCATGTTTATACCAATGCTGGCTGAACAATGAAGAGGGTACTGTTAAAAAACAATACATTGCCATATATCACGGTCCTCCGGTGTAACTTATGAAGCGTGGTTATTGTACACTAATCACTTTTAGAACACATGAAATTCTGCCATTCAGAGGCGGAGACTGACTCGGGTTGCCGCAATACCTAACAAATGTGGTCGACGATCATATCGTTCGTTTTACAACAATATCGTTGCAAACAGTTCTCGTTGAAACCTTCTGCAGCCAGACCACCAAGATTGTACGGCTTGCCAAAGATACATAAAGAAGATACACCTCTTCGTCCCATTGTCTCTACTATCAACTCCCCCACTTACAAACTGGCTCGTTTTTTGTCCGAAATCCTACGGCCTTTCACTGGAAAAACCACCTCTGCAGTACTAAACTCTACTGACCTGGTATCGACAATCAAGGGGATTGCCCTGTCCCCAGACGACCTGCTTGTCAGTTTTGATGTGGTTTCCTTGTTCACCAAGGTACCTGTGCCTGACACCATCGCAATCATTGAAGACTTGGTTCATCAAGGACTGAATGCTGGGGTACCCCCCCTGGTGAGACACTGCTTAACCAATACATACTTCACCTGGAATGGAACCTTCTACAAGCAAATTGAGGGCACCCCAATGGGCTCCCCCCTATCTCCGGTTGTAGCCAACATCTTCATGGAGAAATTTGAGACGGACGCCATCCAGACTGCCACTCTACGCCCGACCTTATGGAAGAGGTACGTAGACGACACTTTTGTCATCTGGCCACATGGCCGGCCTGCTCTAGACCAATTTCTCGACCACATCAATTCCATACACCCAGCCATCAGATTCACCATGGAAGTCGAAAATGATGGCAAGCTACCCTTTTTGGATGTCCTAATCAAAAGGAGACTTGATGGTTCAATGAGCCACTCTGTCTACAGGAAAGCCACCCACACGGATGCTTATCTAAAACCGGATTCCCACCACCATCCATCTCAGAAGAATTCCCTCATCAAGACTCTATATCATAGAGCCCAATGCATCTCCGACCATGAACACATTTCCAGTGAACTCAAACACGTACGCCAAGCTCTTAAGGCAAATGGTTACTCCGACTATACAATCCGCAAAGCCATCACTCCAACCATCAAGAAGGATCCTGTTGAGGAGCCTTTCAAGACCATCACCTTACCCTACATTGCTGGGGTCACAAAAAAGATCTCCAAAATCCTGATTAAACACAAGATCCAGGTCCGATTCAACACAGTACATAAAATCCGTGATCTGGTACCGTCTGTAAAAGATGTGGTTCCAGACATACAGTACCCTGGCGTCTACAAACTAAGTTGCCTCTGTGGTAGCAGTTACATTGGGGAAACCAAACGACATGTCTCGGACCGCATCCGTGAACATAAAGCTGACCTGAAACACGGTAGGACTAACACCTCAGCCGTGGCAGATCACTGTTACAACTCAGTGGGCTCACATGATATTGACTTCTCCAAGACAGAGGTTCTCTGCAAGCCATCTGGCTATCATGAGAGATTCGTTCATGAGGCGATCCACATATACAAACACAGAGACAACTTTAACCGAGAAGATGGATTCTGGCTCAGCAATCATTGGAAGGACGTAATAAACCATTTCGATACACATTAGGGTGTGTAGAATAATACATAGTGTGATATTAAATGTATAAGATATAGGTTGGTTTACAGCAATACAGTATATAATTTAATGTTGGGTTTATCTATGGCAGTATATAGTACGGTATATGCTCGTGTGATGTAAGAGAATAAGGTTTAGATGGAAGCATATTATAGAATTTTTACGAGGTAAAATTGTAATGTATTACTTGCTGTTAGTAACTCAGCTTATTATAGAGTATAGTAAGTATACTGATGGTGCGATGCAGTTTATACTTTAGTTTTTTATGTAGTTTATACTTTAGTTTTCTACGTGGTTGTTGAGTAACTGCAGCTACATATCATTAACATTCCTTTCCTTTGTTACTGCTAATCCCTGCACCCCCCTTGGTTGCTGCTGATCCTGCATAATGCATGGGCATAATATGACTTTGACACCCCCCCGCCCAACGCCTACGCATTTTCCATGAATATGCTAAATCCCTCTTCACATGCACATTCTTTTTGTTAAGGCGCTCTTCAACCCCCAATGCAGCTTATATATAAGCTCCTAGTTTGGTAGTGTCTCATTCTTCACCTGAAGACGGCTGCTTGCGTTGTAGCCGAAACGTCGTGAGAATTGTTTTATTATGTTTTATTTTTTTTATTATTTTATTACTTCCCTTCTACGTGACTTTACCGAAAGAAACAAGAAGATGAATTCCATTATTCTAAAACATTTCGATTCAACGATTTAAAAGAAAATGCTTATTGCTTGCAGCAAATCACCCGTTAAAAGAAATGCGCAATTCGATTGCAACAACGTACGCGGCGATAATCGCATATCGTTAAAGTCACGACGGCGTCGTGCAACGCGCCACGTGACCGCGCTGTAAAAGACGTCACCCGCCCCTTGTAAACAAAGATCACGTGGGGGGGGGGGGGCAAGCGGTGTGACGTCACGTGGGGGGGCAAGCGGTGTGACGTCACGTGGGGGGGGGGCTTGCGGTGTGACGTCACCGCCCGGGCACCATCTTGCGCGGCTAGGCCGTATCGGAGTCGGAGGCGTCGCGCGCGATGGAATTACCCGCCTAGCTCCCACCTCTAACCCTCCACTCGCGTCTTCCTCTCGCAGTAAGAGCGCCTTTCGTTTCGTCCACCCTTCACGGCTCGCTCGCGTCGGTTTTAACGCCCGCCTCGAACATCTCCCGCCAGAGTTTCGTAACGGCGGCGGGCTGCGGCCTAGTCAGTTGAGCGCGATTCGATTTGATACAGCGCATAGGGAGGGGGTGGGGGCAAGGGGCGTCGCGATTGGCGGAGAGTCGCGATTGGCGGAGAGTCGCGTCGCGATTGGTCGAGCTCGGGGTTGGCCGACCAATGGGTGACGGGGCGCCGGCCGAACCGCTCTGGGAAATGCATTTGGGTGGATCTTGTGGCACCTTTCCTGAGTGAGTGAGGACGACGCGAGGAAGAGAGAGAGAGGCCGTTTTAGGGGACATTGGGAGAGAGATGGGTTGAGGGGACATGCAGTCAGGGCCTCGTGTGTGGCATCTGTCCTGAGTGAGTAAAGACGACGCGAGGAAGAGAGAGAGAGGCCGTTTTAGGGGGCATTGGGGGAGAGATGGGTTGAGAAGACATGCAGTCAGGGGTTCAGTGTGTGGCATCTGTCCTGAGTGAGTAAAGACGACGCGAGGAAGAGAGAGAGAGGCCGTTTTAGGGGACATTGGGAGAGAGATGGGTTGAGGGGACATGCAGTCAGGGCCTCGTGTGTGGCATCTGTCCTGAGTGAGTAAAGACGACGCGAGGAAGAGAGAGAGAGGCCGTTTTAGGGGGCATTGGGGGAGAGATGGGTTGAGAAGACATGCAGTCAGGGGTTCAGTGTGTGGCATCTGTCCTGAGTGAGTAAAGACGACGCGAGGAAGGGAGAGAGGCCGTTTTAGGGGACATTTGGGAGAGAGATGGGTTGAGGGGACATGCAGTCAGGGCCTCGTATGTGGCATCTGTCCTGAGTGAGTAAAGACGACGCGAGGAAGAGAGAGAGGCCGTTTTAGGGGACATTTGGGAGAGAGATGGGTTGAGGGGACATGCAGTCAGGGCCTCGTATGTGGCATCTGTCCTGAGTGAGTAAAGACGACGCGAGGAAGAGAGAGAGAGGCCGTTTTAGGGGACATTGGGAGAGAGATGGGTTGAGGGGGCATGCAATTGGGGGTTCGTGTGTGGCATCTGTCCTGAGTGAAAACGACGCGAGGAAGAGGGAGAGAGGCCTTTTTTGGGCCCATTGTGAGAGAGAGAGAGAAAGGTGGCGAGGGGAAATTAAATCGTGGCACTAAACGGCGTTTCACTCGGTTGAAACTGCCGGTGAGGCGGGGGCCCGCAGCGTTGTGGGTGTGGACCGTTGTCGGAAATCCGCGTTGTTGTTGTTGTTGTTTGCTTTACGTGGTTTGCCGGGCCGTGCGATTGTTGTTGTTAATGTGCAGGTCGTGACTACGCGCTGCCCGGTAGGAACTTTGTCGGCTCATGAGCGAGCGCCCCACCCTGTGTGTCTATATCCGCTGTTGTTAAACAGAGAACGAAATACGTGACCCCCTCCCCCCCCACCCTCTTACCTAAACCCCAGCGTCTAGTGCAGACGGGTAACACACCACTCCGGACATCCCCGGGGCTGTCTTCCCACGTTACTTCAATTTTCGTTCATGTTAAAAAAACAAAGCAATACTTTTTGAGTAACGCGAACGCACTTCCGTTGTGACCCACTTAAGGTCGTGGTGCAAGGTGCGCTCATCCAGTACAGGGATGTCCACCACAAGGGAACACAACAGGTGTCGTGGGTCTGGCAAAGATACGGTTCGGGAGTCGTTAAGTTCACAGGATGCGTGGTGCCAGTTGCTAGTTTGCTACATTTGCGTTATAGGAATAGCTAGTACTAGTAGTAGTGGCTGATTGGAAATGTCTTCGTGTCGAACTATTTGGCCTTCTGGTGAGAGTTAGGAGTAGAACTACGAGTGACTGGCTAGTTCGGGTTCATGTGAGTTGGGCTTGCTTGTGTTTGGTGGGCTGGTGAACTCTGCCTTGAAACTGCTGGCTCTTCTATTGTTAAGCTCTACAGTGCGATTTTTCTACAAAACGATACTGCAAGCCACAGCATATTTTGTTACCTGCTGGGAATTTCCCGTAGGCCTTACCAAACATGAATTGTCTGGAATGTAGTTTGGGTATTGTCATAGGATACTTCTACTGTCCTGTGATAATGTGTTGTAACGTCTGAATGAGCCGATTCAGTCTATCACTCCTCAGATATAGAATACATTAGTGCCATTTTGCATACAGTCTAAAGCTTTGGAGAAGCTGGCCTTCTCATCTGAATGTGGAATTTGCATCGTTCGTTCACGGCACCCACTGAATATGGACACCCCCCCTCCCATGCTTGAGCATAAATATTCTCTTCAACTAATAAATATCAGTGTGTACTGTAATGTACCGTGCAATGTGCGAGTGGCTTGCACCCAACTCAAACAACAACTCCTTGGCTTCCACAGACTCATCAGTTTGTTTAGTGCTGTTGTATGAGCACTTACATTTGGAATGTGAGTTCAGATGTCTATCGGGAGGTGCAACTAAGCCCATCATATCTTGAAATGAAAACCACTTAACAAGTTGACAGTGGCCATCCGATATTGAGACTAGCCTCTGCCAAAGAAATGTGGAATTTCCACTGTCAAGCTCAGGGCACCACCCCATAGCAAGCATTGCTCCTTTGAGTTGGGGGGGGCTTGTTGATTTGACTTTTTGTTCCTGGCTATTTTTGCCCGTAAGACTAACAGCGTGTACAAAAGTTAAACAAAACTTAAAAAGGATATTCTAGGCTGGATCATCCAAAAGTGGAAAAATATTATTATACCTTGTTTACTTTGGACTCGTATACCTGCAACATCTCTGGTCAGAGTAGTTGTGCTTTAAAGAGATGAAAAGTAGAAAATATTTTTGTCTTTTCATAATTGAATGCTCCCTTTTTATATCAGTTTTAACCCTTTAGAGGTTAATTCTGCTTAATAATAAGAGACCTTGTGTGAATTGTATTTCCTCCCGTGGTGTCAAGGGGTCCACTCTTGTGTTTTTGCTTTGCACAAGGATCCATAAATGCGAATCATGTGCTGAATGCAGGACTTAGGAGGCTAAAAACCTGCAGCAGATGTTACGCTGGCAGCTTTCCACATGTTTGAGTCAGCAAATCACACTTTTGGAAGAGTAACGCAATCCTGTCCTCCTTTTATACAAACGCAGCTGAGAGATATAACATGTGCTAACTGATCAAATACAATAATCATGATTCGGTCATGTCATAAATCAGTATTGGAGTGGCTCTCCTCCATTGGCGAGGGGATGAAAATTCCAGATTCCTTTGGTTCAAGACATTCTGTCTCTTTGGACTTTAACTTTTGACTTCCATGGTGTAGTGCTCCTTTATTCCGGAGGGATGGCGGGTTGAGTCATCCCTTGACTGAAGTGTACATTTGTAAATTAAGTAATCTATCCACAACCCTACCGGGCCAATATCCCTATTGTTGATGATTTCTACCACTAAGAACGTTTGGTAAACATTTAGCTGTGGTTAGTGTCATGCAAGCATTCTGCATTGCTTTATACATCTCTTTGGGGAATATTGCTCAACATGACATGACATGCAGGTACTGCAGGGAAGGTTAATCAGTCAACACACTGTCATGCCTCGAATCCAACATCACGGCTGGGATGCGATGATTATTTATTTTTGATAGAGCGCCCTTTGTACCAGGGCGTCGGAGCACTTAATACACGATAAATGACTTGCATCACATCTCAACTGAAACATGAAAGAGCACCCCCAGTGGCAGCTGTTCACGTGTGGCACAAGGTTATTTGGCACCTGGCTCGAAGTTGGCATTAGTCTGCCAGTCAGGAGCGACGATTGGTATCTGTAATCCCAACTGAGTAATCTGTGGTTAATTGTTAGAATTTGGACCATGATCCCAGCACACCGTTGTCTAATTTCGAATTCTGTGGGGATCTTCAATGTCCACTGTGAAGTGGACGGAGCGTGGTATTTTATGGTTAATACATATCAGGGTGGCCTGCTGGAATCAAACCGCGAACATCTGCAACAAGTGGCGAACATGCTCCCTCTGGGCCGTGTCACTATTGATAAGTTGAAGGATCCTTGTCCCAGGGCCTATCTGGCGTGTTGTTTGGTCCTGAACAGGGCCGTTGGAGTGGATTGTGCTGTCGCTCTAGAAGACCGAGAGATCGATGATCGATATTAGGTCGCCACGTTAATGGCATTCATCGTGATTTCTCACTTTACAGAGTGGTCCGTGCAAAGGCTGCCATCTTCCACTCCTGAATGTGAAATTGTAGTTGTTGCGCTGCATCTGCATCAGCCACACGAAAGAAGAACTACTGATCACACTTATGGGAATGCGTGTTTCCCCAGGCAGCCATGGAGACGTCGGCCGGCTCACTGGTGACACTGGTCATCAAGGCACCCAACCAAAAATATGATGACCAGACCCTGGAGTGTAACCTGGACTGGACTGTACACAGGCTCAAGTCCCACATCAGCGACGTGTACCCTGGCCATCCGGTACACAACACATGCCCTCGCGCATACTGTGTGCCTTATAAGTGTGGGTCTTCGGTTGATGCAGCGGCTTAAGTCGTCCCGCACCTCCGATTAGCACAGTTGGCTACGTATTGTGCAGAAAAAGTTTAAGATACTTACATACACGTCCCATTTCCAGGTTATCTGATTCAAGGTAACCCTGTGTATTAAAGTCTATCGCCAAATCACCCGGAATGTTCTCAAATTCTTGTTAGATATTGGAGGTGAAGTGTGGTGGAGCCTTTATAATGCTGGATGGCTGACCACCATGCACCATAGTTTGGCATAGGTGACTTTGGGACTGTGCTTTGTGGTGGTCAGCAGAGGGTTGTAAAGAAAAATAAATTGTTGTGCTGTGCATCTGTGCTCCCCACGATCACCATCCTGCACTGACCACCATGGTGAAGCATGGTCAAGTCACCCACAACCCATAGAACACGCGGAAGCTGTCATCCAACACTGGATTGATGAACGAGCTGTATTGGTACATGTTTGTCAAAAGTATCTGCCAACGAGTGGGGCTGTTGGTCCAGCATTTAAAATTTATATTCATAAGTTCAGAGTCCACTGAGGAAGCAAATTAGCCTGTCATATTTCCATGATTGATATATAGCCAGGCGTGATTGTAGTTTTTAGAGGCTGTCTACCACCGTGGAAATGTGAAACTTGCACTGCTGGCTCAAGTGCCTCCAATGGACATAAGTACCACTCAAAATAGACTTTTTTTTACTTTGTTGTATCCAACGTTTAGAACATATTTTTTTAGATGTTTCAATAAACAAATCTGAATATTGCATCTTTAAGCCATCATTTGCAAAGTACACGTTACATCTCTGTGCCATATTTTTGCATGATTTGTACAGTCTACACTTATAGTCTGTTGGTTTAGCCAGTGAGTTTCGCTGATTAAATCACGTGATTTTTCTTTTGTCCTTTAGTAACCCACTGTCGATTTTTACTGAAAACCCCTGTGTTGGATCATGACAGTGGCTCCCTTGATCTCGTAGAAGCTGGATTGTTTGTACCAACTTGATAGCGATGAACTGCTCGTAATTCATTACAAACTCTTTGCCGTCAGAGCAAAGGCTGACAGAGCAAATTGTTTGAACAAGCTAAAATTTCGTGTGCTTGCCGTGTCCAGTCTAGATAAACCCAGCTGCATGCCATCATACAGTATCTCTAAACATTACAGACTGACTTTTGGATGATTTCACATGTCTTCAGGGCATCAAGGATCAGCGACTCATCTACTCTGGGAAGCTGCTGTTGGATAACCTGATGCTTAAGGATGTTCTGAGGAAGGTAATGCTGGACAGGGGTTGGTATCTGTAATGTTATTTTTTTCAGTTATGTTTTCTAGTTTTAGCCTTGTTGTACTCTTGCTGGCACACAGCACGAAGCATCTGCATAATTTCATCATCCCAAACAGAACAGAAAAATTGTGAAAGCTTTTCACAATTTGCAATGACAATTGTCTGACGTATTGTTATATATAATACACTAAAAACTATTTTTATTTTAACCAGGTAAGGCCCACTGAGCTATATAGCTCTTTTTCAGGCGGGACCTGGCAACAAATAATAGCTCAACAAAGTGGCTTATCAAGTGGAAAAATCCACGCGACCACGGGGAGAACATGAAACTCCACCTATGCAGGCGTCAGGGTCGGAATCGAACCCACGACCTCCTGCATACCAGGCGAGGTAGTTAACATCTCACCACCATGGTGCCCATCTATTGAATAGATAGCCATTTAATTATGTAGTTAATATTAATGGGGTCTAACCTATTTTAGAAATGTATACAAAGTAATTTACTGTGCTTGATGAGAATAGAGATATTTTAATTATACTCGAGAGTCTTATGATACATTTTCTTGGAGAACACCTCCAGATGTCTCAAACCCCAGTCCTTCCTACAGTTTGCCAATATTCGGGTGCAGAAGGCTTAAAATTGGTTAATTTGCATTTTGATGGAGAAGATTGGTAACCCTGAAAAATAACACTGTGTTAGGTGACAAATACTGGAGATTGAGAAGAAATACTTAGCATATGAATTGTGATGAAGAAATTGATGGTTACAATGAATGCACAATCGTTTTCCAGGCCAATATTTCTCCTGTCCTCCACATGTTTTAGTATGACGAGTTCCACACGGTACATCTGGTGTGCCCTTCATCGAGCCCCCCAGCCTCACCACGGCCCTCCAACCAGCCCGGCTTTGCACAGGTGAAGCTGCTTACGTTTAATAATGAACACGTATTTTCATTTTGGACACTCGGCGCCATCTCATAACTGCATTTGCATCTGGAAGCTTGTTCCCCTGCTGTGCAGCATTGAAGCGACGGCAGCAAGGTGCAGGACACATGAGTCTTGGTGGGATGAAAATACATAATGGAGAAGTTTATTCAAGGGCAGAAGCAATGGGAATGCTTCCTGACCAAAATTCATACCTAGTTTCTAAACCTCTGGTCTATAAAAAAAAAGCCATTCGTGATATAGCTACTTGAGAGTACCCAAAGTGCAAGTGTCGTCACTGCATTGTCAAGTATACAGGTTATTATATGGATGTTTTACAATCGTACTACTATGAAAACTACATGCCTTGAGTTTCCTGGCTGGCTTGTGGCTGGCCTCCACCACCCCCACACAAACTCTATTGCTACTGGCACTGAAGAGCTGGGAGTCACAAATACAGAGAATTGAAAACGGTTAATTTAAAACGTTTCACTTTGTGCACCTATTAATGTAATTCTTTCACCAGAATATTCTTGAAATCATAGAGAATATAAAAAAACACTCTAAATACATATCATGGTACAGGATTGTGGGAACAATCTAAAATGACAGCTGTTTATTATTTCCATCGCAGAGTAACAGGTTCTCTACAAGTATATTTGAAAAGCAACAGTTGGCCGTAGAACTACTGCTGGTAACACATTATTTGCTCTGGCATTTAGACAAATTAATGGTAACTTTAATAACACTCATGTCAAAGGAGTCTTAACACTACTTTATAGCAGAGTTCGGCATTGGGATGCTGAACCAGTTAAATTTTAAGGAAGGATTCATATGTGGGAGGAAACTGGAGTACTGGTTGAAAACCTTTGCAAATGAGAGGATACAACTCGAAGCTCCAGACAGGCTCACAAACCACACGTGTATTTGTTAGTCTGTTTCTAAACAGTTGGAAATATGTAAATATATTACATCAACTCATCTCCACAATATCAACCAAACTCACATTTGCAAGTTTAGTGGGTAAAGGTTCGTTGTTTCAAATGTGCACCTGATATGGGTAGGGTTGTTTTCGTGGCCACAGTTTGTGGGTGTTGTTGAAGGGTAATGGTTTGTTTTCAAGCTATTGGGTGCCTACTGAAACCACTTGGCAAGATTTGCCCAATAGTAACCCCACGACTCTAGAAATAAAGCAGTGGGAACAGAGCCATTTCCTACGCTGTGTTTATTTAGTGTCCTGACAATTATTTAATTTCATGATGAGCTAAACCCCTTTTCCCAGTAGTAAATTTTGCCTGTTGGGGTGAATGCCCTTAAAACACAAATACTTGGATGCCAGTATTGACATTTTAAATGGATTGTTGGAGTGATGGTATTTAGAAACAACAGTGTAGTTCTGCGTGTTAGACTGACTGTAAAAAAACTTGGCCCTGGTTACTTTCCCTATTTTGAACGACTACCAAATCGTGTTGTGCCCTTTGGTTATGTAATACCGGCCACAGTTGTTTATTTAAGATAGATAAGATTTTTTCAGTTGCGGTCACAAAGCCCAGAGCTTTATTTGCACGTGTTGATGCTGAGCTAGTTTTCACATAGTCTATGGTTTGATTCCCGTACTAATCTAGGGATTTTCCAAAGCATGCCAGCTTCTGCATGGTGGACATCAAAGGTCTTGTGATGTAATTTTTGAGAGTAGGGTTGTGTGGTGTCACATAGCCAGGTTTCTAAAGTAATCAATCGCCCACAAGTGCCATAACATTGGTGTACAGTTTACTGTCATGAGGATCAACCATCCATCTCTGCTTCAGAAATAATTTCAACTGTTGAGTTTGATCAAGTGGCTGTCTGATTGTAACTGTCATCGTTGCTCATTTTTCTTGGGACTTTGGAAGCTGTCGGAGACGATACGCAGTGGAGCGGCATCGGCCTCTGTCCCCACCCGGCCGAACGTCACCACCATGCCCTCCTCCCAGAGTGTGGGTGCCGACGGGTTAAGGCAGCGACACGTGGTCATGCCATCGGCCTACCCACCTCCCGTCTACGGTGTACGGTGAGCCAGTGTTATACTCACTGCTGGGGATGCTACGTAATCCGATGGTCATTGTGCTTGCTATTTTTTTGCAGAGTGTGCTTTTCTCATATTGCTGAAGCTGTCTTTTCCAGCAACCTTTTTAACATGTACCCCGACTCCACCTTTGTGTTTGCAGGGACATGGGTCAGCCTGCCGTACCAGTGTTGCCTGCCTATCCCACATACAGCCCCCACTACATCATGTGGTTGCAGCAAATATATGCTCAGCACTACTACACGCACTAGTAAGTAACTGCTTGCTGCGATTCATTGTAAAACAAGTCTCATTATTCAAATTAATAGTTGACACTGCTCAGTAATATTGGTGGTCTTCAGAAAGCGGTCAATACCACATTTCTATGGTAGAGATAACAGAACTGTCCACATAAAGTGTTTCAATATTCATCACTCTTGAATTACACCATATTGCAAAATGCCAACTATTTGTACAAAAACAGGTAGTTATTTATCCAGAAAAGCCTCAGAGTCTCAAGACTCGTTTTCAGGAGAGTCATGCATTTATATGTTTGGCCGGTTTTATTCAGCCTATTTCATGTATGACTGTTTGGTATATAGGAGGAAATTTGGTGACTGCATTGGCATGTTTTGCCAATGCTATTCCATTCACATAAAGGCGAGATACCATTCAATGGTTCACACAGAAGGATTCACAAATCTTCTTTCTGTACTTTCATCACCTGACCAACTTGCAGTTCAACTGCTTTTGGGGAATCTTGTATATCTACTTAATCCGCCAACACTTGATTGAAAGTGCTTTATAACCGACATGAACCGCCAAACCTGGCTGCTTTATTGACAATATGTACAGCCCTTTTTATCAATACAGTACTGATTGATGTTCTCCCCATGCCGTTGGGGCTATTTGACCCTACTTCACCCTGGTCAGTGAAGTTTAGTGAAAGTGGGGTGCAAATAATCTTGGAACATAGTACAGTACAACAATAGATATTGCTGCATTGCCCTCGGCTGACAGCATGCCATCGCAGCAGCCTACAACGCCTCTTTTGCAACTACATGCAGGTCACCCTGTCAAGTACTGTCCAGGCTTAACTGTACTCGGTGTCCTAGATCTCACTATAGGGGTGTTTTCTGCCTCCGTTGTTTACCCACGTTCAGCCAAGCTGCAGTGAGCGCCGCTGCCGGAACGGCGCTCAATCCTGGCGTCATGCCGGCAGTTGGCGGTGCAACCCCCGGCCTTCCAAACCCGCTGGGCGCGGGCAGCCTCCCCAACCCGCTGGGGGCCGCGGCAGCTGCTGGCGGCGGCGGCGCAGGTGGCGTTGGTCGAGGCGGAGGGGGCGGAGGTGTGGACGGGGCGCCCGTCCCGGCCAACAGGGACATCGGCGTGGCGGCGGTGGCGGCCCGCAACGAGGGCGCCAGGCCAGCCAATCAGAATGCAGTGCTGATGAACGCGCAGGGGGGTGCCGGGCCGGAGGAGGAAGAGGAGATGAACCGCGACTGGCTCGACTGGCTGTTCACAGCGACACGCACCGCCGTGCTGCTTGGAATCTTCTACTTCTACTCGTCGCTCGGCCGGTTCCTCATGGTGTCCGGGGCGCTGCTGCTGCTCTACTTGTAAGATTTCAGGCTGCTTTTCACTCTTCAGTTTCTTCGTTCCATGTGGTGGACGGTACAGCTGTACTCGAATTGTGACGTTGGACGGGCCTCGCTGTTTTGTCATGATTTTTTCGTGCAATTGTAATGTCACGTACATTTTAGTTCGATGATGTTGATGTTACATCACTATAGCAGTATATAAATGCACCCTACTAAAAAAAGTATATTTTTTTCATTAATGAAGCCTCAGATGTATGTCAGACAGCTGAGGATGCACAGCCGAGGTGTGTATTTGCATGACAAGAGTAACTTGTTTGGTTTCACTCTTCCATTAAGCCATCGAAGGCCATAACCTGGTATTGCATGATGGCCGGATGGATTGGAGATTTTAAAGTTACTGACATTACCGCGCTCCAACTAAAGCAGCACAAGAATGTTGTTAGCGGATAATTGCAGATTAAGAAACTCGCCAGAATGCTTACCATGAGTAATGAGTTGAGTAATGCATATTGAACAAATACATATTCATAAAAACGAATGAGTGGCTGGGCGTGGTACTGAAGCGATTTCCTCTGCTCGCTGGTCCCCACAGGTACCAGACGGGCGTCTTCCCATTCCAGCGCGGTCCGGGTCAGGCACCTGATCAACTCGGTGGGGATGGTGAGGAAGACCTGGCCCAAGAGCTACAGGAAATGGTGAGTGAGAGAGCTTGGAGGTGTTGGGGAATGACGTGATGAGATAAAGCCTCCCACAGGCCAAAGGGGTTGCCGGTAGGTTTATGAATGCCTATTTTTGTGACGTTTGTGTGCTATCTCAAAAGTTGTGCGGGTCTTCTCTGGGGTCTGGATTCTGCCTACGATGCTATAAAATACATCAACGTTTATGGGCCTAATATTAAAGCAGGAACCTTATGTAAAATAATATTGAAACGCGGTGGTTACAGGGTAAACACGTCGTGATGTCGCCTTGCCAGGTTACCTACTGTTTTTGTTTACCTTTTCCAGTTCATATAAATATGTGCCTCTTTGAATAAGTATTTGTTTGCTTTACATTTCCACATGATAAGCCACTTATTTGAGCTATCATTTCTGGCCAGGTCGCTTCTGACAAAGAGCTCTAGGTCAGTGGGCCTTACCTGGTAAAATAAAAATAGTTTATAGTTTCTGATGTGTCCTCTCGGGTATATAGACCTCTGTCTCTTTGAGAACACTCTCACACCAATGTGTTGTTCGTACACAGGAGCGCCGCATGGACGAGGGGATGGACCTGGGGGACACGGAGAGCTCAGATGACGACAGTGCCTTGGAGGCAGACGAGCCCAGCTTCACCACTTCTGCCTGGACCTTTGTCACGACCTTCTTCACGTCCCTCGTGCCGGAAGGCGCAGCCGCCGTGCCCAACTGAGACTGAATGGCTGCCATTCATCCCTCCTGCTTCGTCATGAACGTTTTTTCTCAAGTGGTGGTTTTTTGGTTGTGGAAACTTCAACGCCCGCTGCATTGTTAAGCTGGCACCATCCCCTCCTGCCATTGCATCTTACTGAATCGAGCTGATTTTTTTCTTTTCTTCAAGTTGTTTGTGTTTTTTTTTATTAGCAGTGCAATTTATTCAACAAATCATCTCCTGCTGTGATGGACTGACAGCCGTTTCTGCTGCTAATGCTTGTTTTAAAAGAAACTCTGATGTTCCCAACTCGTCTGCCGAAGGGAGCTTTCAGTCTGTGATGGAGACGGGCGTGCATTCACTGGTCTTGCACCACAGTGGGAGAATGAATTTACCGGATGCCACTTCTTAAGAGTTCTGTTCACACAGATATAGCGCACTTTGGACTTTACTGGAGCACCGCTGGGTTTTTGTTGCTTTCGTGATGTTTAGATGAGGTCATTTTTTTTCTCCTCCGCCCCCCCCCCCCCCCCTGTGATCCACGAAGAAAGCGTGGGAAAATGACTCCCTCGCTGAAAGTGGTGCTATCAATAGAGGGCTGAAGAACCGTTATTTCAACAGGAACACCACAGCCCCTGTTAATGTAGTTATGTAGTTATACAGATACTTTCATATGCCAGACACCAGCAAGTGTGGTTAAAGGTTAAGGGTGACCGTTTTATTTGTAACGACATTTGTGCTGCTGCAGCATTCTGTCTTGTTCCATACATAAGAAGATCCAGCCTCTGCCAAGTTTCATCTCACGAACCCAGTTTTGCTATTGAAAGCGAGACCGGTGAATGTAAGATCGATAACGTTACATTCCCCAGAGCAACTGCACATGAGCATTATTGATTTGTGCCAACCAAAGTTGGTCTCATACCAGAATAGAACAGCCCATATAATCTAACTACAAAACTTTAAACTCTTTCACCAACACTTATTGTAGCAGTTTCTACTTGCCTTCCAACTTTGCTCTGGTGGAATCCAAATTTGTGAAAATAGTTTCTTGTCTATGGTTTAAGTATATTTGTGGGGCTTTGATGCTGGGCAGAACACACGGATTCCTGGCAAGCCTTGTTGCACATCATATAATGGTCTTTTTCCCCATACTTAACCAACCTTTGCTCAAAAACCGGGATCAAACCCAGCAGTTCTGGTCACGGGGCTCTCGTGATCTCACTGACCAATCGTACGAATCGCGCACGAGTTGTGACATCTCCTGACGTTAAAGCAAACACGGAACGAGGTCAGCCACGGCATGGCTGCTGCACAAGGACAAATGGGAGCGGTGGTTGCACACGAACGACCGATTAAAGAAGGCACTTGTAATTGTTTCCATGTATCTACAGGTTACCAGCAGCACTGTGTATGGAGCAGATGAGCAAAGGGACAGTACTGTATCAGTGACGTTTCAATGCACTCTACAATGACGGAGGACCGTTGCGCTGCAAAGAGCGAAAGGTTGCTGGGGTGGTTGTTTGGTTTTTGCGTTCAGCGAGCCATTACACAAAGGCACAAAAGAACTGAAAAAGGCAGCGACGAAAGACAAGCAAGTTCTCCGATCTTCAACAAAGGACTTATGATATTGATTATATACTGTACGCATCTTATACATGTACCCGAATATATGTGTACCATCACAATTATTTTCTTGTCTAAATAGCTTTATAATGTAAAAATGTCTTTAATTAAAACAAATACTTCCTTGCACTTTGTCGAGTAATGTCTGCGGCAGAGCTATATTTTGCAGTTATTACCGAACGCGTGAGCATTGTATCTTGTATCGGCCCAAAACACACCACTTATTTCTTAACGAGGCTGGAAAGTTCGTGTGAAGGAGCAAGCTGCTCGCTTTTGTTGGTTGTGAAGTACAGTAGTACTTTAGCAAACATTACTGGGTAAGACAACATTTTTCCCCCACGAGTGGGAATTCCCGTGGCTAACCACACCATGGCGAGGCATTTCGTTCATTGGTAACTGGGTTGAGGCAACTTGGATTTACATTGTAGCACCTGGTTCTTTGCATATGCCGACAGCGTGTCAATAAGCTACCAGTAAAGCAACCGGTACTTAAATATGATGTATGGGTGCAACTCCTGTTGGTTCATATGAGCAGCATAGACCAGGTGTGTTCAGGTAGCCGTATATGTTGCCTCGTGGTCCCAGTGACTGGAACAGTCGTTTTGTGTGTTGCTGAGCCAATTCAGGAGACACGTCGCCATGTAGCCAGTTTGAAAGTGGCCAACACGTCGGCTTTGAGCAATAAAGTTTTATTTCCAACGTATTCTTGTCAATGTCAACCGTGAATGCTTTGGTTTGTGATCCCGCTCGAGCTTGGCTGTGCCTGTCGAGGAGTACGTTATACTATTCACTCGTATTGTAACAGTTGGTCCAAATGTGCATTGGCGCTTAATATTGCTTCGGTCAGGGGTTTTTTCTCGTAAAGTTTCTGTGGGCCGCAATTGAATTGACGTGTGGTGGTGGGCCAGATTACATTATTTGTCACCTGATTAGCACGGTTGGATACCTACGGTGCAAAACGTGTTATACATACGGGACTTAATATCCGTCAATGTGACCACAAATGTGTACCTTGTATTTCCAGGTTTCTCATCTCGCATTCATCTCGTAATTCTCTCTCTCATGTTTATCTCGTATACAGCTGTCATGTTTATCTTGTTTGTCTCTGTTTTATCTCACTCGTCGGTATATTTGTCTTGTCAGCCCATATCTCGCAGTGCACCGAGTGGCTTGCAATTCTAAGGTTGCTGGTTAAAGAATCCTGCCTTTGATCATTTAATTCCAAACTCTATACTAATGTCAGCCCTGCGTTCGTCATGTAGGTCTATGACAATTCCATGTTCCAGTGCAGTTTGCGTTACTTTACATTCCCTGCACAGAGTGTTTATCGAATGTTACTGAAAATATGTAGTTATCGGCTAGTATACTTAATCCAACTTAAGTAAAAAAAAAACTAACAAGAGTGGTTGTGTTTTCGTGCACTCATTAGTAACTGGGTTGAGCAAACTTTGTTCCACTTCAAAACTCAATTCAATCGCGTGGCTGCCCGGATTCGAATCAAGAACATCGGGGGTGCAGGACTCCGTGCTGTAACCCCCACGCTTCTGGCCCTGCTTGAAATAATTGTGTTTTAAGTAGGAATTCATAACCGAGTTGAGACTGTAATGTTGCTGCACCACATGGGAACTCAGTTTAATCTTGGTTGAGTGAATATGAAAACCAGCATAGTTGTGTTGTGAACACAATCCGTTACTGTCTTTGCAAAGTGTATTTAATTAATATTCCCTGCAGGAGAGACATGTGCTTTGCACTAGCATTATTAGTAGCCCATGGCTTACATGCATTTCTGAGTAAAGCTTGTGCTCATGTCTTTTGCAATCGTATTTTTGAACTGAGCGATAACCTAGCACTTGAACCCAGAACTCAATGTGCCTCTGCTTTGTCCCTCAAATGACCCGTGGTGTTTGCTGTTTTGCCTGACAGTGACCCAATAGAAAGCATTGCCCAGTCACTCCCAATAGCCCACCCCTTTCCTTCCCCCAGTCCCCACTTGATTGTAATCGCTTTGCCACATCCACAATTGCCGTCGTATAAAATCAAATGTAACGTATCCCAACCGAATCGAACAATGGGTTGTCGCTCGTCTTCATTGGTGACTGCTAGTAGGATAAATTCCACGTTCTTCTGGTGGGGGGAGATATATCTATAGTCTATGACCATACCACTAAGGATGTAACTGATTCTGTCAGATCTCAGAAGCTAAACAATGTTGAGCGTGTTTAGTGCTTGGATGGGCAACCAGCAGTCACGAACAAGTTGCCAAGAGGGCTTGTGAGATGACGCTGTGGGCAGTGCACAAACATGAATCGGGCAATGTTTTCGCGTATTTTCCACGCTTTCGCCAACCTGCATTGACCACGTTGAAGTATAGTCAGATAACACACGACTCTCAGGCGTGGGGGAAGTCCTCATCCAGCAGTGGATTGCCAATAAGGGATGTACACGTGGGGTATAATTCATCCATATAACCACCGCCGTTGGCTTTCCGCAAATAAGTCTTCACGAAAAAACGTAATTGTATACAGCGCCATTCACACAAGCCCACGCTAAGCACTTTATATTGTTGCATTTAATCTCAAAGCGATTGCGCCCTGCACACTACCCCACAGCACTGCGCTAACAAACCGTTTTGTCATCCATGCGACCACATATTCCTCAAAATGTTGCATACGTTTTGTTCATAAATATGTAATCCCTAATTGTGGCGTACATATCGTCCGTTGGAAATGACTAAACTTTGCGTTGCTCCCATATGTAATCTTTTATTTTGGCACTCACCCCATGAGTGGTCGCAGCACGTGACGTCTAGAAATATCAATCCCATGCTTCTCCCTTGCTGTAACCTCCCCCCCCCCACACACACAACTAAAACCGCCCAGCCCTCTGGCCAGCACATACAAATCGCCCTCCAGCTCACAGCCGACTCATCTTGTCTCTTTGTCTCCCGGCTTGCTGGCTGCCGTCCCGTATCCCTCCTGCAAAAAAGCCAAATGGGTTTCTCCAGGCTCTGTGTCGTGCTCGCTGCGGTCTCCCTCTGCTGCTGCGCCGTGCCCTCGTTTGCATCATGCAAGAACGAGACGCGTCAAGACGAGTCGCCTGGCTTCGTGTTTAGAATGACGAAAGCCGCCACCAATTTCCGTGAGTTGTCTGCGTGTGCGCGCGTGTCGGGGGAGCGGTGGTGGAGCGGCGAGCGCGCTGCCCCACGAACCTGGCCACCCGAGTTTGACTCCCGCTCACGGCGCAAAAACAGGATTATCTGAGCCGGTCGTGGGCCTCCACTAGGTCGACTCGGCCTCAAACGAGTTCCTGGTGTGAAGTGTAAACATCGCCGCTAGGGAGACAAAGGCGGCCGGGCGTGGTGCTGGCCACGCCACCCACTCGTGTGGCCGTGCCGGTATTCATAGGTGCTCGCTAACAGCACTTGCCCCGACAGTTCGTTAAGGCTGTACGGGGCATCTCTGTCTTTGTAGGTGTGCGTTGTCTCACGCGCTGTGCATGTGCGGGTGTAACAACTTCGCCGCGTTCGTTAAAGGAATGTTAAGACTGGGAAAATCAAAACTCAAGTAAATTTGCGCTTTATTTTTTTGTTGTACGTGCAGAGACAAACTCTTGGCCTCAATAGATATGCAACGGCTGCACTGCGCACGAATTAGCTCTGCATGGCAAGGGTTCTGCTGTTCTCCGTTATAATGTTTGCGGTGATGTAAGCGGCAGAATTGTTCATCCGGGTTGATGAGAGTCCCGCTAAATTACAACCTTCATGAATTGAGAGAGGATGAAGTCAACAGATATCTATGAAGAGTCGCGATGGTTTCATCGAGTAAAGTTTTTAATATATATGTGCAGTTTGACACGTAGGCTTTCGCGACCAAAATCATCCACAACATGGGTTTTTTTGGGTTAGATCGCGTAAATATAAATGTGTCGTTAAACCCGCCACCACCACCCGACACAGCCAATTAATTGTAATTATTGGCAAAACGTCGGACTCGGATTGTAAATGTTGTGGATTTACTCTCCAACACACCGGTGTGCTGTACTAGTAACGAATTGGCCACGTTCTGTTAACGTGACAACCCTTACTAGTTGGCTGTGTCGGGTGGTGGCGGGTTTAACGACACATTTATATATTTACGCGATCTAATAAAAAAACTATATTATGGATATATGTACACATGTAAATAATGTTTTTTTTTTATTACAGTCTACTAATAAACAGTTAACAGCTGACTCTCAAATGGGAAGTGCATATGTAATGAGGAAACAGAATTGGACATAATCAACGTTTTTGGGTTTAGATCGCGTTATTTATAAATGTGTCGTAACCCTCCACCACCCGACACGGCCAATCAGTAAAAAAGTGTCACGTTGACAAAAGACAAATAGTTCACTGCTTTAGCCCACTGGTGTGTTGAAGCGTGAAACCACAACATTTACAACCTACGTGTTAAACTGAGAATTGGACAATTAGTATTGCGAATGTTATCAGCTGAGGGTGCATTCAATTCACTAAACCGCTTCTCTGGTTACATTTAGTCGGGGAATAAAATATGTTTGAGTGATTGATGCTGCGTTGGCAGCGGTGCACAAGCTCAACTTGGAAAAAAAAACTCTTCAAGAACACTGTATCCTGAAAAGGAAAATATGCAGGGTGCTTAAAAATGTTTTAACACTTCTGAGATTTTGCAACAATAGACTCTTTGACTTATTGAAGCTATTAACATACATTTGTTATCATATTACAGTGTATTGTCCGTTCTTTTTCCATTAAAAACGATAGTCCCATGTAAGTGTTAAAAATATTTTTGGAACAACAACAACCGCCATTTGCCACTAAGTGGCGGTGACGTCACCACGACGCTTGTGCCAGGCTATGTGCACGTTGAGGCCACGTGAAGTGTCGAAACGCCCGCTGGCACGAGGTCACGGGGCAGACCCAGATGCCAAGGGTCGACTGACTGGAAGGATGCACCACCTGTGCCCTCTACTGTGCCAAATTGTTGTGCTTTAGCCACCTGGCGCTCCGCTCGTTATTGTGAGCGTCGCTCCTCCGCCCTCCGTTGTTGTTGGAGGGCGACTGCCCAGTAGCGTCCTTCACGGGTCTCCTCCACAGAGGCCGATCTTGACACCACTGGTACCAGTCATCGGCAAGTCCACTCAGCTCCACATCCTCCTGTACCACATCACTCCGTCTCTTCTTTAGCCCGTGCCGCATCTTTCAGCCTCCCATTGTATCTGTACCAAATGGAAATTCCTCCGGTACAACTATTGAAGAATTCACGAACTACGTGGTCTAAATAGATTTTAAATAATGTGGGAGCCAGAGGACATCCCTGTCGCACCCCAAGGTGTACAGGGAGTGGCTCCGACTCCCAGCCACATAGTTTTACCCGGGCCCGCTCACCATCATGAAGGTCCTTAATGATCGTGAGCAGAGTGTCAGGGACTCCGAAAGCACGAAGAGCAACCTAGAGCCCAGGCCTACTGATGGTATCATAGGCCTTGACCAGGTCAATCAAGCAGAGATGTAGGCATTGGAATTTCCTACATTTCTGCTGTGGCAGACAGACAGAAAATATGGCATCTGTGCAGGACCGCCCTTTCCTGAAACCGCATTGGGGCACCGCAAGCCTCTCCTCAGAGTGCCTAGCAAGGTGATGTTGAATAATCCTTGCCAGGACCTTTCCCGGCACACTGAGGAGTGAGATGCCCCTGTAGTTGTTACAGTCTGTGTGGTCCCCACTTCTTGAAGAGAGAGACCACCAGGGCATCCTTCCATTACAAGATTAACATGAACGTTGGTAAGTTTTTCAATACACACCCTTTTATTTTCACTCAAAAGTAGAAAATACATTATTTTGACATCAATACAAATTTGATGGGCTGAATATAAGTAGATGTTTTCCATGCAATACGTTTAATTTTCTTCATGCATGTCATCCACTTTTATTGAGCACATCAAATTTGATTAATTCTGGGGTCAAAATAATGTATTTCCCACTTTTGAGTGCAAATGAAAGTGTGTGCATTGAAAAACTTTCTTTTTTACCCTAATATTTTTGTTTTCCTTCAAGGCCGTGTTATTGGCGAACGTGCTTGAGTGTTTATGGCACAGTTCAAGACAACCAGACAGCTTAAAACTTTTTTTTTTTGCAATCGCCTTCGGCAAACTTTCACCGTGACAGCAGCACTCTTAATAACGACGCCAGATTGGGTCATCTAATGATCGACGTTCTGCCACTCGACGATTCCCCTTATTGAGGAAAGCCCCGTCGTGGGCTCTTCTCTCTTTGCTCCTCCGCACAGTGAATGAGGAGATCATCGAGGTGATCCAAGTGGTCCTCAAGAACACCACGTTCCCCAGCGTGCAAGACAACTCTCCCATCCCCTTCATCGGCACCGTCTACTACTCCCTCACCGAGTGAGTGTGCCCGCCCTCCGGAACAACCGGCGTGGAGAGAGGCGTTTTTGTTGTTCTTCTTCTTCTTGGTTCTTTCGGTAAAGTCACGTAGAAGGGAAGTAATAAAATAATAAAAATAAAACATAATAAACTAATTCTCACGACGTTTCGGCCACAACGCAAGCAGCCGTCCTCAGGTGAAAACCAGGTCCGTCGAGGCGACAGAGTCTGAATGAAACAGCATACGACTTTACCGAAAGAACCAAGAAGATGAATCCCTGCAGTCACGAAAGCTTTAAATCGAAATTGTTGTTATTTGCATCGGTTTCATTTTTGCTTGATACCTCGCAGAGAACGCGTCCCAAATGGACAATAACAGACGGCTGGCATTTTTCGAATTAGAGACAGCTGTCATTTCCTGCCCTGCTCCCCCCCCCACCCCCGCCTCGTATGATCCATGTCTTCCTACGCTGCTCTTCGCCATCGTTCAAATCACTCTCCTTCTCGAATCACCTGTGGATTGGTTTGCCCGTGCCCAGCTCAGTCCAACGCTACTCCATTAAATATTAACCTTTGGCTTGTTCTAACCCTGCTCCTCCGCGTATGGCACCACCTCATCCCTTCCTGCGTTGCACTTCCACTCGTTGAGCTGCTGCGCAGCAACACTTCAGTTATTTTAAACTCTTTATCTGCCCTTGGCATCATCATCATCGTCCTTTATACCACATCAACCATGCAAGTACACCTTGAGTCGCCAGAGCGAAGCGATGTCTGTAAAACCACGACACAGGAAAGGGACTGAACACCAAATGCAGTCTTCCCAAGTAGTACAATATTGACTTCCCACCGGTGTTATCCAACTTTTTTTTCCCTCTGGCGACCCCCCCCCCCCATTCCCTGTGCCCCCCGCCCCCCAAGCACACCTCGCCCTGCTCTCCCCACCCAGGTTACCCAGGCCAAAATACACAGAGAGGTCACATTACCCACGCCTCCGGTCAACGCGGTGTCCGTAAGGCGTTCGTACCGTGCCGTCTTCAACCATGCTTCGTTTTGTCACCGCCACGTTGCGCCGACGTTCCCTGCGGCAAATTCGAAATTTATCCTGCACGGTATCCATGCCGCAGCCTGCGCCCCCCCCCACCTTCCCCCCTGAGTGGGTGCGACCCACGTGTTGAGAAGCTCTGCAATATACACGGCGCACGAGAGAGCAAGATTTGAAAAATAGAAATAGTGTGTTCTCATAGACAGCCACGACCAAGCAAATGAAAACGTGAACAAAAAACCAAGCGAAATTAAAAAAAAACGATTAAACCAAATAAGAAATGGCTCAAACAACAAATGAGTCCATTAGGTCTGCACATGTCAGACCACAGTCGCGACTTGCCAACCAAGCCAAGAGATTCATCTTCTTGGTTCTTTCGGTAAAGTCACGTAGAAAGGAAGTAATAAAATAATAAAAATAAAACATAATAAAATAATATTTTATGTTTAATTTTGATTATTTTATTATGTTTTATTTTTATTATTTTATTACTTCCCTTCTACGTGACTTTACCGAAAGAACCAAGAAGATGAATCCCTGCAGTCACGAAAGCTTTAAATCGAAATTCAAGCCAGGAAACCTTCACAGGAGGCAGCGGTGGAGTGCCAAAAAGTTACCACTCATTCATATCAATCGGTCCCACGTGCCCATGGGTCGGCATGACTTTCAAAGGAGGAGAAGAGCCATTTCCTTTGTTTTTGTCTTTCACCCAAATAGTTTCAAGTGCCGCATCACGCGCAGAGCTACTTGAACACACAGACACAGCAGCAGCAGGTACTACAGCAGGTTAAAAACACATTGTCACTTAAATACACAAAATAGGTGATGAAATGAATTGCTTCTAGATTTGAAGCTTTCGTGACTGCAAGGATTCATATTCTTAGGTTTTTTCGGTAAAGTCACGTAGGTAAAACATCAAAATTAATAAAAATAAAATAAAATAAAGATCACGACGTTTCGGAGGCAACACAAGTCTCCGTCATCAGGTGGGACCGTCACAGCCAGGTTAGCTGCATCAAGTGAGGCAATGATTCAAGATGTAATCCCTTATAAGCGAGTTGAGGGGGGAGGAGAAGGGGGGGGGAGCTCATCAGAATGTGGTACGTTCCATTCATTGGCTACCACATTCTGATGAGCTCCCCCCCCCCCCCTCTACGTTAACTTATACTGGTAGGAACCTCCTGGTTACACCAGCCCACAGGGGATTATTGTGTCCGTCGTGCAGGGAGGGGCTGGGTGGGGAGGGAGGGGCTGGGTGGGGAGGGTGGGGCTGGGTGGGGAAGGTAGGGTTGGGTTGGGCGGGGAGGGTGTGGAGGAGCTGGGTGGGGAGGGAGGGGCTGGGTGGGGAGGGTGGGGAGGGGCTGGGTGGGGAGGGTGGGGCTGGGTGGGGAGAGGCTGGTCACCCCGTGGTGCCCTTATAAAACTCAACGTTTAACCTACTCACGCCGGCTTGTGCCCACCCTCACAGTCGGGCATATTTGCGGAATACACCACGCCGCCGTTGACCCTGGCCATTGACCGAGCAACCCAACGTTCCTACCAGCTCCCTCCGCAGGAATGTGTTATTAAAGTTTTAAGTTTTTTGTTTTGTTTTGAACAGCTGCCCGCAATGGGGGGTTAGCCAAAGAGCCGCAAGGGGAAACCCAAAGAGCCGCCAGGTTGTTCCGGAGCCGCAGGTTGCCAACCCCTGAACGTGACCAGGGTGGGACTCTCTCCGTGCCCCCCCCCCCCCTCTCCTCTCCCTTGTGCTTGCAGTCTCCGCATCACCAACACCGCGGTGGCGCAGAGCGAGATCGTGCTGCTGGAAGGCTACGGGTTGTCGTTCTACGGCAAGGACATCGAGATCGTGGTGCAGGGGAAAGTCTCCTACGAGTACCGCTCCTGGCTGTGAGTGCATTTTGTGATCTCGCGAAATTTTTCAAGGGTTGCTCATTGGTGACATTCTAAGTGATACGCATGCCGTGTCAACCCATACGCTTTACCCGTATTCTTGTACAGGGAAATTGAGATTTCAGGTCGATACGGCGTACGGCCGTTTGAATACGGGTAAAAAAAATTGTCTATTTTTTTGTGTTTCTCCTTTGTGATGGGACTTTGTAGGATGAACGTTGAGATGTATAAGGGGCACGGGGTGACCACTAAGGTCTGAACTGGTCCGTAATAAGGTAGGGCACTGATAAGGGGTTGACAGGTATGCAGTTGTAGCTCGTCAGATACCTCCAGTCTAAATGAAGAGTCTGAATGTTTAGTTTAACTTCAGCCACACCAGGAAGGGAGGATCCTATTGAGGGTCTCGTACCTCCGATTAGCAAGGTTGGCTACGTACGGTGAGAAAGACGTTGAACACACACATTTTACAAACAACGTCTCTTTTCGATTTAAAGCTTTCGTGACTGCAGGGATTCATCTTCTTGGTTCTTTCGGTAAAGTCACGTAGAAGGAAAGTAATAAAATAATAAAAATAAAACATAATAAAATAATTCTCACGACGTTTCGGCCACAACGCAAGCAGCCGTCCTCAGGTGAAGACCAGGTCTGTCTCCCCGACAGACCAGGTCTGGACGGGTGCTTGCGTTGTGGCCGAAACGTCGTGAGAATTATTTTATTATGTTTATTTTTTATTATTTTATTACTTCCCTTCTACGTGACTTTACCTAAAGAACCAAGAAGAAGAAAACAACGTCTCTTTTTGCGAGGCAGGTATGGTTATGCCTCGACCGATAACGACGGCTGCATATGCTGTGTGTTGTTTCAGAACTTCGTACGTGTCGAACAGGACCATACTGTTCACCGTCTATACCAAAACATCGCTCAACATCACCTCCCGCATCTGTGAGTACTTGAAGGCCTGCGGTATTTCAAACAACATGCAAGAAAAAAAAACGTCTTTTCTCAGCACTCGGCCTCTGTATACAGGGTGTTTCAAAAGATGGACCCAATTTCAAAGCAGTATATTTCACGATGCCAACATGTTACAATTACAGAAAAAGTTACAAACTGTTTAATGATTTATCAAGTTTTACTAGCCATTTTATAAATGCTCTATGTGCCCTCCACCTGCTGTACAGACAACATCGAGACGATAGTTGAATTCGTCCCAAACGCCTCTCAAAGTGTCTTCTTACACTGAAGTCACCGCTGCTGTGATTCTGTTTTTGAGGTCATCCAGATTAGTCGCTAATGGTGGCACAGAAACACAGTCTTTGACGTATCCCCACAACAAAAAGTCGCAGGGTGTGATGATGTCTGGGGATCTTGGGGGCCAAGAGTGTAGCGCCAAGTCTTGGGGTCCCGTGCGACCTATCCAACGTTGAGGCAGTGTGTCTTTTGCGAATGACTGAGGCTAGGGGCTGTTTGTGCGCTGGCAGAGGCATCTAACGGTAATCACTCTATGCCCCGCCCTGTCAAGTGGTAAGAGTTTCATTCATGGGCGGGTGGTGGTGGGTTTAGTGACACGTTTATTTATTTACGCGATCTAACACTAAAACAGCTGTACTGTATTATGAAAGCTAATAATGTTACGTCAACGCTCTTTAATGCTCGCCGACTCTTGCCCGATTTGCCCGCTCATCAACGGGAATGGTTTTCACTCTTGCCCCTCACTCCCCCTCCCCCCCAGCTTCCCCCAATGGGACGTTCTTGATCGAACCGCCCTCGTGCCATCTGCACATCGACGATCTGCAGTTACGCCTCGCCAAAAACGAAAAGTGAGTGGGCTCCCCGTGGCACGCCAGAGATTCCCACCATCCGTAGCTACTACGTTGCCCTTTTCTACTTTTTGATTTTTTTTTTATTAACCCGTAAAAACAAAGTTTTTCACTATAAATCCTTTATATGCGTGGCGGCGAGAGTCCTCTCGTCCTCTGGCTTGAGATGGCTGCCATCTATGGGTCAGATGATTGCATGGCAGCATTAGGCAATTGGTAATTAAATATAATATTTTTGTCCTAAAAAGTGTAAAATTTTGGGAAAAAATGTCACGAACATTAATTGTCACGCACAACGAGTATGTGTGGAAAATGTCAGCTCGATTGGATCACGGGAAGTGGGTTAAAAAACGACCTTAAGATTTGCACGGTCGTAAGCAAGCAAGCAAGTGAACTTAATATAAAGGATTTTAAAATGTTTCCAGGTGTAAGGCCCACTGAGCAACAAGTGATAGCTCAACGAATTGGCCTAAATTTTGATTTAAAGCTTTCGCGACTGCAGGGATTGATATTCTTGGTTCTTTCGGTAAAGTCACATAGAAGGGAAATAATAAAACAATATAAATATGAAACAATAAAAATTCTCACGACGTTTCGACTGCATTTCACACCTGACGATGATTGCTTGTGTTGCAGTCGAAACGTCGTGAGAATTTTTATTGTTTTATATTTATATTATTTTATTATTTCCCTTCTACGTGACTTTAACGAAAGAACCAAGAATATGAATTGGCTTAACACGTGGAAACGTATTGCAGCCAAATACTCGAACCTCACGTTTCTACATGTGGAGGTAAAAACCGGAGGACCCGGAGAAAAGTACACGCGACTACTGGGAGAGACACGCAAACACCAAATATACAGCAGGCGTCAGGGTCTGGATCGAACCCACGACCTCATGCATACCAGGCGAGGTAGTTAACATCTCATCGCACGGCATGGGGGTGCCTTCCCCGGGGAGGTGGGTTATCAAAGGGCGGCAGGGCTACGGTGACATTACTGGATCTGGCGGTGATGCTGGGACGCTGCCGAAGTTGGTCCCCTGCCGTCTCGCCGTGGCGGGCGACGCTCACGTTGTCCGTTGTTGCCATGTCCCTGCAGCCTCGGCATCCAGTTCCTGGGAGACATGTTGACCATTCCCATCCGCCAGCTGCTCCGCATTCAGGTGATTCTTGCACTCACCTTTCATCGTCTTCATCATCATCATTGTCATCAGCGTGACCATATCATCAAAGTCATTGTCATCATCAGCATTATAATCGTCGTCGTCGTCATCATCATTGTCATTTTCATCGTCATGATGATGACAATATTGTCATCACCATGAGCATGATTATCCTGACAGTAAGTATCCTCATTGTCATCATCAGCAATATCATCAACAGTAGTGAGAGCAGAAGTGGCATTCTGATTATCATAATCGGCAACAGTGGCATTATCATTGTCATCTACAAGAAATCATATCTTATATTTATATATCACGCCTTTATCCAAGCTGCTTTACAAGCGTTATGAGTGGTACAGTGAGGGTAGATAAAGGTGATATGTGAATAGCGATGGGTATGGGGAGGTAGGTTCGTGGGTACGGGAATTACGGGGGTACCCAGGGATGGTGGGAAGGATGGGCCAGGGAGAAGAGGTGGGTGTCTTGAGAGGGGGGGGGGGGGCAGAAACTCGACAGGGAGGAGGGTGCTTGCTTAGTGTGGAGGGGAAAAAGAGTGGACATGGGATTGTGCACAAGGAGAGGGGGTGGAACGGTTAGGAGTAGGAGAGACCAGCAACACTTTTCGTGCACACGTGGTCACGCAAGTATGACATACACCGCAATGACAATCTAACTTTGTCATCCGTTTAATGTCTGTGGACATTTTTTTGTTTTACTAGGTTTGCAGTGAACTTCGAAACGTCGGCAAAGAGCTCTCTTTTCGGTTGCAAGCGCAAACAGGTAAAAAAAAGGAAATTGTTACAGTGGCAGAAAACACTACATTTGGAACTGCACAACCCTATTTGTAAACCCACTGCTGGATAAGGGCCTCCCCAGCGGTGTTTTGACCATGTACCGAGCCATAGAGTCTGTTAAGGACTTATCAAAAACAACATCTGGCCGAGTGGCGATGTGCATAGAATGTCCATGCAGGGGCCAACTCAGCCCATCATCTCTACAGGTTTAATAAAAATAATGCCACGATGAAAAGTCAATAGAGGACTTCCTATGAGAAAGAAATAACTGGTCCTTGACATGGTAATAAGTAATTTCCAGCACTGGTAATAATACCGCACCCAGTACACCACATCCGGGCACCGCGGTGGCAAGATGTTAACTACCTCGCCTAGTATGCAGGATGTCGTGGGTTCGATCCCAACACTAACGCCTGCTGTATATTTCGAGTTTGCATATTTTCCCATGGTCGCGTGGATTTTTCTCCGGGTCCTCCGGTTTTTCCCTTCACATTCAGAATCAACATGCGTTTAGAGTATTTGGCTTCTATAAATGTCCACGCGATAAGCCACTTCGTTGAGCTATCATTTTTGATAGCCAGGTTGCTTCTGAAAAAAAATGGGCCTTACCTGGTAAAAAAAAAAATTAAGTTCATAGTTTTTTTTTTACCCAGTATACATTTCACTATGCCTGTGGGCACTAATCACGTTGCCTACTCCAATCTGCCAGTGAACCTGGGCAGTATTCAAGTGAGAATTCGAGCCCTGCCCACAGCAATGAATCTGGTTTTGTGGCACGAACAAAAACTCTTCGGGGAACCGTTTGCACCACCCCCCGTTGTCTCGCGTCGCAGACAAACTGACCCTGGACGACAGGAACGAGCTGGACGTATCGCTGTTATCGTGTCCCCTCATCACGAGGGACTACATGGAGACGCGGCACAAGGTACAGGGGAGGCCGACCGCCGACCGGTGGCGTTGCCGCTGACCGCAGCGGTGACCGGCCGTTAAAGGCGCTGGCCCGAGCGGTGCCTTGCACTGCCGTTGCCAACCGTTCTAATGAGGAATTGGCTGCGTCTCTTCTGCTAGTTTCACGCGGCACTGTGGGAAGTGATTTGCGTGGATTCCATATCGTCTCGTCTCTGCTGCCCACATCGAGAATGGTGCCACCTTATCAGGGCATATTCCAACTACGGAACAAAAAGGACATCTTTCTCACCACCATCGTCCATACAACTGCCTTAACGGAAGCACAAACAACAGGCCTGTGTCCTATTCAGAGCAGATACGTAGAACACTCAGAAATGCTGTGATTAATGCTTAGGTGCTGGAAGTTTGTTCTCAATGTGGTGCCTTGAAAACACTGAGATACGTGTAGATAGTTGGCACCATTGCACATGATCTGACTGGGCTCTGCTGTGGTTGGAATGCTTGATACGTGATTGTGAAGATTGCAAATCAGCTTGTCAGCTGACTGTGTCCACTATCTCTTCAGGGGTGATAAGATGAGCACCACTTTTTGAAAAATCAACATTTGGTCAAATTGACCTTCACCATAGCAATGTGGAATTTACACCATTTATCTAGGGCTGCCCTGTTATTTGTTTTTGTTAACTTTCACTTTGTTGATGATGATGATGATGGTGAAGATGATGATAATACGAATTATTACATAACCCTTAAACAAACTGCTGGACAAAGGACTTCTTGTGGCACGCGGGTCTCGGGGGTAGTTTGACGACACTTCACTACTCTGGCCATTGCTGACGTGGTCAGGAGTGAATCGAAACCACCTCGCAACCTCTCCCTCCTCCGCCCGCTGGCATTGCAATGCGACCATCGGTTCATCCGATCTCCCACACGCAGCAGGCCCTATCTCCATCCGTTCTTCCACATGCAGCAGGCCCTATCTCCATCAGATCCTCCACATGCAGCAGGCCCTATCTCCATCAGATCCTCCACATGCAGCAGGCCCTATCTCCATCTGATCCTCCACACGCAGCAGGCCCTATCTCCATCTGATCCTCCACATGCAGCAGGCCCTATCTCCATCAGATCCTCCACATGCAGCAGGCCCTATCTCCATCCGATCCTACACACGAAGCAAGCCCTATCTCCATCCGATCCTACACACGCAGCAGACCCTATCTCCATCCGATCCTCCACACGAAGCAAGCCCTATCTCCATCTGATCTTCCACACGCAGCAGGCCCTATCTCCATCTGATCCTCCACATGCAGCAGGCCCTATCTCCATCAGATCCTCTACACGCAGCAGGCCCTATCTCCATCTGATCCTCCACATGCAGCAGGCCCTATCTCCATCTGATCCTCCACACGCAGCATGCCCTATCTCCATCCGATCCTCCACATGCAGCAGGCCCTATCTCCATCTGATCCTCCACATGCAGCAGGCCCTATCTCCATCTGATCCTCCACATGCAGCAGGCCCTATCTCCATCTGATCCTCCACACGCAGCAGGCCCTATCTCCATCCGATCCTCCACATGCAGCATGCCCTATCTCCATCCGATCCTCCACACGAAGCAGGCCCTATCTCCATCCGATCCTCCACACGCAGCAGGCCCTATCTCCATCCGATCCTCCACACGAAGCAGGCCCTATCTCCATCCGATCCTCCACACGCAGCAGGCCCTATCTCCATCCGATCCTCCACACGCAGCATGCCCTATCTCCATCCGATCCTCCACACGAAGCAGGCCCTATCTCCATCCGATCCTCCACACGAAGCAGGCCCTATCTCCATCCGATCCTCCACACGAAGCAGGCCCTATCTCCATCCGATCCTCCACACGCAGCATGCCCTATCTCCATCCGATCCTCCACACGAAGCATGCCCTATCTCCATCCGATCCTCCACACGAAGCAGGCCCTATCTCCATCCGATCCTCCACACGAAGCAGGCCCTATCTCCTTCAAATCCTCTATACGCAGCAGGCCCTATCTCCACAGCGCTTCATCATGGAGTTTTGACAAAGGCCGGTGGTTCTCTGACGGTGGTGGCACCGCTGGTGCCGTGCGTTACGCGCGCAGGGCTGGATGATCCACAGGGGCGAGGTTCTGGGGCGGAACGGCAGCAGCCTCTGGCCGCCGCTCGACTCGGTGCCCACGGAGCGCATGATGGGCATGCGCATCGCCGAGAGCGTCCTCGAGTCCCTGGCTCACGCGTTCTTCCAGGAGAACCTCCTCAAGAACTTCACCTGGGACGACGTGGAGGTGCGCGTGTGCTGTGTGCGCATGCTGTGGTACGTGTCTGGGAAGTTGGGTGAGGCTGAGGACCACAGCCAGGCCCGGACTGGCCATAGGGCAAATGCCTGGCGGGCCGGTCCATTCCGAGAGCCGGAGGGCCGGTCTGTGTGGGGAAATCGCAAATGTGATCAGAGTAAAAAAATATGTATCTATTTTATCACCTCAAATGTGTACGCTTCATTTCTCATTTACGCTCTCAGTTGCCATGACGTCCCCATATTCCGCAGCTCCAAAAGATTCTTCCTCACCGGCCCATTTGTTTTTTGGACCCAACCCAAATGGGTCCAATGGGCCACTGTGTGTCTACAAATGCCTGGGCCGATGTTTTGTCCCAGTCCGTTACTGACTACAGCTGCTACCGACCGCGTGACAGAGAGTGTTGTGGCGAGAGTTTCTGCTCCACACACCTGATCACCTGGGTTTGGTTCCCAGTCGCGGGTTATATCAGCGGCGGTGAATATCTGAAGCGGTTTTGGGCCACCGCTAGGTTCACTTGGCCTTCGATGAGTACCTGATAGAGTGCGTAAACATCATCGTTCGGGAGACGAAGGCGAAAGGGCCTGGTGTGCCTGCTAACAGCACCTTTCCACAACAGTATGTTAAAGGCTGTACGGGGGATCTTTGTCTTTGCGACATGACCCCAGCGACCCAGGTTCTATTCCTGGCCATGAAACACATCATCAGTGGCATGTGGTATCTGACCTTGTCCTGGGCCTCTACTAGGTTGACTCAGCCATAAATAATTAACTGGTGTGGTGTGTGTGTGAACACAGGCCCCACCGTGTAATCTGCTGTGCTGGCCTAAATAGGTGCTCGCTAACAGTGCTCGCTAGGCGTTCGTCGAGAGTTTGGTATCCGATGGGTCAATCCATCTGCACGGGGATATTACTGGGGGTGGCTTTGTCACGGTAAACTATATTTAAATTCAGACTTAATTAAAGCGTTAACTGTAAGTGGATTTGTGTAGATTTGCGTGTGATTGCTTGCTTAGGCAAATATCAGTAAGGATGCGAATGCGTGTTTATTTATGGTTGCAATTGTTTATTTCCATGATATATTAAATATGTCAATGTATAAATGTCAGTACAGTGTAACTAAATAAAAACCTACGGTGTAACTGCCATTGGCCAAGCATCCGAATGTTGAAAATTAAAGAACTCAATTGGGATTTACACACAGCAGCAAAATCGGTTCCTTACTGCGAAAAACTTAACAGGTCCCTCCTGAAATTAGAGTTGAGACTCAGTGAGACTTCCCCGGGTAAACAGGCGTAGTGATAAAAATAATACTGTATCCTTATTATATGCCAAGATGTCAAATTTCACGAACACAACTGTAATTTTTTATTTATTGCAGGAGGTCTTTGGTTCAACATCAGATACGACTGGATTTTTGGAGTTCTGCAAAAAGGTAATGTGTTACGTAACAAATAATTAAGTATACTCTGCGTGTATGTATGTACGTGTAAGGGATGCATGCATGTATGTGTTTGGAGCGCTAGTGTAGCGTTGAGCGCAACGGTTATCACGCTGAGCTACGAACCCGGTGATCCGAGTTCGACTCCTGCTCACGGCCACCAACACCAGTGACGATTATCTGAACCGGTCCTGGGCCTCCCCTAGGTCGATTCAGCCTCAAATGAGTACTTGGTGTAGTGTGCAAATCATTGCCACTTGAAAGACAAAGGCGGGTGGATGTGGTGCTGGGCACCCACCCCCTCGTGTGGCGTGTCAGCCTTCATAGGTGCTCGCCAACAGCACTTGCCCCAAGAGTCTGTTCAGGCGAGAGGCAACCCCAATTAGGAAATAAATAAACACTCCCCAGGTCTAATGGCTCGTGAGTTCGAATGGCATGCCCGGCTCTCATTGGCATTGTCACAGCAGCAAACATACTGCGCGATGAACCCGGTGACCCGCGCTTTATTGCTGGCCACGAATAACATCAGCGGCGACTGATTTCCTACATGGTCCTGGATCTTTGTTTATTGCTGTTTGTGCAATATAACCACCCCAGCCATTCTACAATCATGAGCGAATGACCATCACCTTTGGTGCCTGTGACCAAATCACCCATAATATGCACTATCTCATCAGACATTGAAGGCTAAGCAGGTTCGAGCCTGGACAGCGCTTTGATAGGTAGCCACCGTATATACTCTTAGTTCTTTCGGTAAAATCACGTAGGTAAAAAAATGAAAATAAAATTAATAAAAATAAAATAAAATTATATATATTTTTTTTATTAATTTTAATTTCATTTTTTACCTACGTGACTTTACCGAAAGAATTAAGAGTATGAATCCTTGCAGTCACGAAAGCTTCAAATCTAGAGCCACCGTATACGTGTTAAAATAAAATCGGTGTACTGGGCTGCCGCAAGGTTACGTTGTGGGCAACAGAGGGCAGTGCAGCAGGACCCATTGTCGTACTGCTCTATTCTCCCACGCCAATACTCCCCCGTCTTCAACTCAACCCCCTGAGCAGCGTGGCGATGTCTGGCGAAACAACCCACGCGAATCGGACGCTCGTGTGTGGAGGCTCTCATCCAGCAGTGGATTTACGAAGCACGGCACGCACGTGTAGCCATTCTCTCCATGTGGTGACTTTGGCTCGGTCTGCCTGGGGCAGGTGCTGGTCCGCACAGGAGGCAAGGACAGTCTGGAGCAGACCCTGCTCACTGTGAGTAGCCCCCGGCCGCCCAAGCTGTCGTGCGAGCCGGCGGGCATCCACCTGTCCAGCACCATCAAGGTGGACGTCACCCAGGACGGGGGGCCCGTCCTGTTCAGCATACAGCTGGTGAGGAGGGTGCTGCGGTGGCAAGATGTTGACCGCCTCGCCTGGTATGCAGAAGGCCGTGGGGTTCGATCCCGACCCTGACGACGCCTGCTGCATATTTGGAGTTTGCATGTCTCTCTCTCCCCGTGGTCGCGTGGATTTTTCTCCGGGTCCTTCGGTTTTTCTCCTCCACATTTAGAATCAAGGTACGCTTAAGGGTATTTGGCTACTAAAGGTATGTATGTGTATGTACTTTGAACTTCTATAGCACCGTGCATAGACAACCGTGCTGATCGAAGGTGCAGCTCGTGCCGGGGGAAGAGGAATCCGGCGCGTCACTCGTGGGCAGGGCTCTGTGTGGCTCGACCGGGACACGTGTTGATCTGACGGACAGGAGTCGCTGAGAGAGAAAGAGAGAGGAGATCGACACTTGGTCACCTCCGATTAGCACGGTTGGCTATGGTGTGAAAAAGGTTCAGCGTGCATACGTACGTGCATGATCGATGGTGGTGAATTTGGTGATGAGAACAATTGACCGGCGTGGTTCAGTTTGGTTAAAGAACCAACCGTGACCGACAAGGCATGGAGACATCTTCATGTAGCAGTGGCTGTAGAAAGACAATGATAATGATAACAGTGATAACGGATGATAACTGATGATAATGGTGATAATGAGAATGATGATGAGTAAGATGATGATGCTGATAATGGGGATGATGTTGAAAATGAAAAAAAATTACGATGGTAATGGTATCAATAACGATGCTCATCATATAGTATACTTTATCTTGCCATCAAGTCTCTTATGCAAGGGTGACCTTTTACAAAGATAATGATGATGGTGGTGATGGCAGAGATTGTAACGGATGGTGACATCGATGGATGGATAGCAATGTTGATAATAATCATGAATTATAATTGGAGTGGTGACATTGACGATGATAGCATTGGGATGATGCCAATGATTATGTTAATGACAGTTACTTTCTTAGTGTTGTTCCATTCATCGCAACGTATGAATCCAGCGTTTTCTGCGAGCTCGGCAGGACACCCGGCGATTGCTCGCGAGTTCCCTCCGTCGACGGTTAATTTTTCTCCGTCCTAGTTCATCAAGACGATCTCCTTCGCGCACGCCATCACCGACGGCAGGAGGATCAACGGAACCGTGGACACGTAGGTGGCGCACCGACGCTCTCCCCCCCCACCTCCTCCTGCCAGCTGACCACACGGTCGCTGCACGTGTGGCTGGTCCCCTACCAGCTCGCCGTCGTGCGCTCGAGACGTACCAAATTACACGCACACGCACGTGGCCTGTCTGCATTGAACACGCACAGACACCAACCGTCGGCATTTCCCGAAGACGTGCATTGCGGCCCTCTTGGTCTTAGATCAACGTTTGAGCACTTTGTGAGCGACCGACTGCAGCAGTGGTGGTGAGCACTACGTCGGCACCACAATGCACTTCTTTGGCAAATGCTGATGGGTATTTTTTTTTCTCTTGCACAATGCGCACAGGCAGCGTGCTTTTTAAGACAGTTTTGCGTCTTGTTTGAACCTTGCGCGGCTTTACAGCCGGCACTGTTAAATTGTTACGCTGTTTTTTTTTTTGTTGAACCCAACACAGTCGTCAATAACACTGTGCGTGGCCTTTTAAATGAAAAGTATAATCATCGTAAAAGTATATCATCGGCAACGTTTCGGGCACTGGTCCTTCTCCACAGCGCATCGAAAGGGCCGATGTTTCCCGCGGCCAATAGGGAAGTCCAGCAGATGGCGTGGGGGATTCACGCTCTCCCCGGCCTCCGCCGCGTGTCTTGGATGAGCACTCTTCCCTCGAGCGTTTAAGTGTCAGTGTACTCAAAACGCGTCTGACGCAACATGCAGCGTCCGCTTGCAATTGCGATGATGACGATTAATGTGAGATGCAAGTTGAAATCTTACCATACGCACACGACCGCACGCGCATGCACGCACCTGCACGCGTGTGGTCGTGCGGTCACGTGAACGTATTGGCTGCACGTGTGATGAGCCACGTACGGCAACATTGCATGCCCGTCACCAATTGGATTTGGAAGTGGGGTCGTCGGATCACATATCTGAAGCCGCATTCATAACAGAATCAGTCAGGGAGAGTACGGTTGTTAAACGATAATCGGTAGCTAGTTTGAGAATAGATTACAGATTCAGAAAGTCAGGAGTTCGTGAGTTCTATCCCGGACCCTGTTGATTCTCTCTTCAACACACCAGTGGGCTAAAGAAGTGCATTATTTTGTCCTTTGAAAAACGTGACACATTTTTTACTCATAATCAACGTTTTTGGGTTTAGATCGCGTTATTTATAAATGTGTCGTAACCCTCCACCACCCGACACGGCCAATCAGTAAAAATGTGTCACGTTGACAAAGACAAATAGTTCACTGCTTTAGCCCACCGGTGTGTTGAAGCCACAACATTTACAACTTGAGTACGACGTTTCGCTGGTAATTGCATCCAGCATCATCGGGCAATTCGCCATTCTGGGCAATTCGCCATTCTGGCGAATTGCCCGATGATGCTGGATGAATTTACCTGCGAAACGTCGTACTCAAATTGTAAATGTTGTGGCTTCAACACACCGGTGGGCTAAAGCAGTGAACTATTTGTCTTTGTCAACGTGACACATTTTTACTGATTGGCCTTGTCGGGTGGTGGAGGGTTACGACACATTTAGAAATAACGCGATCCGACCCAAAAACCTATATTATGAAGTATAATTGGAGTCCACGTGATATCTCTCTCCCCATGGTGGTCGCGGGGATTTTTCTTTCGGGTGTTCCGGTTTTGCCCCGCTCCACATGATTAAAAAAAACACGAATTTAGATTATTTGTCTGCTACTACAAATTCCCACAGGCCGATAATCATATAAGCCACGATGACGAGCTAGCTTGTGGCCGGGTCGCCTCTGAAGAATAGCCCATATCTCAGTGGGCTCTACCTGGTAAACGAAATAGTTCAGTTTCGTTAACGCTGCACGCGTGCCGTATTACGCGGAAGCAGATATCGTGTTTTATTTTTCCAAGCGGCGGACGCTAATCCACAGTGACGGCGCGTGCTGCGTGTGTCCTTCTTTCTGCAGGTTCCGGGTCAAGAGCATCGACACGAGCATCCTGACGCCCGAGGTGCGCCAATGAGATCCCTCTGCCCAATTTGACCTCTTAAGAACCATATTCTTGGGTTTTTTCGGTAAAGTCACGTAGGTAAAAAATTTAAATTTAAATTAATAAAAGTAAAATAAAAAAATAAAAATCACGACGTTTCGGAGGCAACACAAGCTTCCGTCAATCGTGCTGTGACGGTTCCACCTGAAGACGGAAGCTTGTGTTGCCTCCGAAACGTCGTGATTCATATTTTTTTATTTTACTTTTATGAAGTTTTATTTTTTACCTACGTGACTTTACCGAAAAAACCTAAGAATATGAATCCTTACAGTCACGAAAGCTTCAAATCTTCTCTTAAGAACCCGCGGGGCATTCCAGAGCACCGCTTGAGACAGCCACCGATTTTAGCACGAAACCCGGCAAGCGACGATGGGTGTCGCACCATCATTAGACCTCCTTTGCCAGTACCAAAATATAATAATAGGGTTTTTCCCCTTTTTTCTGGCAACAAAACTGAAATCTTTTTACGAGGATTTATGTCTGCATTAACCACAATACTTGCAGTCCGCGTCCCGCTGCGCTGTACAAATACGGGGGAGACATGCAGGTCGAGAGAGAGGGTGCAGAAGATTTGTTTGAGTTGTTTGAGCTGGGAAGCGAAGGAGTAGAAGAGTCTTTAGGTCGGAGAGAGAGAGGAAGTCGAGATGACGTCATGGTTGAAGTGTAAGTGAAGACACTGCATAGGTTAGAGACGATCACAGTCATAAGCGGATATTAGTGGATTTACCAGGTAAGTGTTGTTGATTGTTGAATCTAGACAGATCAAGACATGAATCAATCACTGACCGGGATTTTCCCATTGCGAGTGGCACACACTAACCCCAGCCCAACCCGGCTGGATTATTGATTCATAACAACGGTAGCCTGTTATGCATTCAGTACTGTTATGAGACGGCGTTGATGATGCATTTGGTGATGATGATTATTATTATTTGCGCTTGTGTACCGCTGCCAACGCAGTTCGTTAATATTTTCGCAATTTTTTTTTTTATAATAATCTAATGTCACCGGTTGTCGTTGACCATCATTGAAAGCGAGGAGAAACAACGGGAGCATTTCTCTCTTTGCTGAGAAATCCATAAGTTTTTACAAAAAGATATCGGTGGTTGTGTCGAAAACCCGCGCCTCGGTTCCGTACATGATGGAACGCTGTTCTCGTGTCTGAGCGCAGGAGCTGGCCACTTTTCCAAAACTTTTGAGGAATTACGTGAAGACCGTAGCGCAGGAGGTCGTGTTGGAGCGTACGTCGTGCCGCCACCACCATGGCCACCACTATCAGCACCATCATCGTCATCATCATTGTCATCGTCGTCGTCATCATTTTCATCGTCCTCGTCATCATTTTCATCGTCGTCATCGTCATCATCATTTTCATCGTCATCATCATCGTCGTCATCATCGTCATCATCGTTGTCATCACCATTGTCATAATCCACAACAACACCATGGCTACCAAAAGGGTTTGAAAGTATTGGAGCAAAATTCCAAATGAGGCCTCCCTCTGAGGCCCCCTCAGCCCTTAATGAGGCCCCATGCTGCCCCCCCCCCAACTGCCCCCCACTCTATGGTCCTGAGCTACACAGCATACATGCTAATTATCACCACCATCTTTTTGGTTCTTTCAGTAAAGTCACGTCGAATGGAAATAATAAAATAATAAAAATAAAACATTATAAAATAATTATTGTTTTATTTTTATAAAAAAAACATAATAATTATTTTATTATGTTTTATTTTTATTAAAAAAACACAATAATTATTTTATTATGTTTTATTTTTATTTTTTTTTATTTTTTCCATTCTACGTCACTTTACCGAAAGAACCAAGAAGATGAATCCCTGCAGTCACGAAAGCTTTAAATCGAAATATCACCACCATATTTATCGATGGCATCATCATCATTGCCATTGCACGATCACCCACATCAACAGCAGAGCGTGCACACTATTTGCCTTTCACCACCACTCTCAAGACGACCACCGTCGTCAACACCACCACGGTGTCAGCGTGAACAAGCGCGTCTCTACACAAGCGCTGCATCACCAGCGGCGGTGGTGTTGGAACTCTTCGTGCGAACACGACACCGCGATTCCGTTGCGCTATCGGCTCTGTGCGAAGCGTCGCCGTTATTATCGTTACCGACCTCTCGTGACGCCCTCTTGTCTAGGTTTTGAACGGGAGGTTTTAGACTCCATAAACCACAACGGCATGGACGGCATATTGCTCGTCGACCCGGTCTTCAACACTCAGCACGTACGTGAACCCTCAACCGTGACGCTCTCGTTGCCATCACTATCATCACGCATGCATACCGTTAAGCATTTGAGAGAAGGATTATATTCTTAGGTTTTTTCGGTAAAGTCACGTAGGTAAAACCTGAAGACGGAAGCTTGTGTTGCCTCCGAAACGTCGTGATTTTTATTATATTTTTTATTTTACTTTTATTAATTTTATTTTTTTTACCTAGGTGACTTTACCGAAAAAACCTAAGAATATGAATCCTTGCAATCACGCTTCAAGCTTCAAATCTAGAAAGAAGGATTATAATCTAGCGGGTATATGACAAGCTAGCCCCCTTGAAGGGTATAATTTTAATACCACATATATGACTTTCAATACTATCTGTCATCCTCACTATAATGAGAGAGATTATATTTTCGTGCTTGGAAACTGACAATACACTAATGCGACGCGACCGCTGTGAATGCACAATGAATATTTATTCCACGAGGCTGTGAAAGGTTTCACGATGTCCGTGACTTACCGGCTGGCTTCTGGTGTCTCACAGGGTTACCTGCAGCTGGAGACGAACATCTCCATTGAGGATCACTTCTTTGCGAGGATCATCAAACAGAAGATTTACGGCTGAGCCTGTCGGAGGTCACGTGTTGATATCCCAGGCGGCATAAGGTGGGGGCGTCGCTCAACGTGTTAGAAAATCAGTCGCGGTCAATAGCCCCGTTGATCTGCCTCGCAAAAAGAGAGACGTTCGTATATTTGTGTGTTCAACTTCTTTCACACCGTACGTAGCCAACCTTGCTAATCGGAGGTGCGGGAACCTCAATCGGTTCCTCCCTCCCCATTGTGGCTGAAGTTGAACTAAACACTCAGACTCTTTATTTCGACTGGAGGTATCCGACGAGCTACAACTGCATACCTGTCAACAGCCTTATCAGTGCCCTACCTTATTACAGACCAATTCAGACCTTATTGGTCACCCCGTGCCGCTTATAAATCTCAACGTTCATCCTGTAAAGTCACATAAGGTAGAAACACAAACAAAGCGGCACATTTTTTTCCCTGCACAGGAATACGGGTAAATCGTATGGGTTGACAGGTATGCAACCAATGCCATTGATCACTCATCCTGTACTGCGTTGAACTCGTGATGCCATGACTGGCCCACAGGGGCGTCCAGGTGAATGCAAGTGGCTCCCTTGTGCACTTTCTTTGCCCTCCACATTTAGAATCAGCATGCGCTTGAGACTATTTGGCCCCTATAACTTTGCACGTGATAAGCCACTTTCGTTGAGCTATCGCTTGCGGTCAGGTCGCTTCTGAAAAAAAGATCTGTAATAGCTCAGTGGACCTTACTTGGTAAAATAAAAAAAATAGTTTAGTTCAAGTTCATCCAAGTTCATTTATTAGGTATAGCCCTGTGAGCCATTCGGATCTTGAATCGGGTGCAACCGCAACAAACAAAAAACAAAAACACGAACAAAAAACATCTTAAAGTGAATATGTGACTAAGTGCAAACAGAAATTCAAAGAAAAGACAGCTAAATATTGCAGAAAAAAATCACCGTACACCAACGCTGTGTGCAAAAATCCCAGTGGGATGCATTGAGTGAGAAAGCAGGCCCAGGGGGCAAGCCTCCTTGCTGCCGCGTTAGCCGAACGAGGCTGTGGTAGGGACCTGGGCCCATTGAATGGGGCCGGTGCCAATGAGGTCTCTTTTGCAAAGCAGACAACGGTTCATCTTCTTGGTTCTTTCGGTAAAGTCACGTAGAATGGAAATAATAAAATAATACAAATAAAACATAATAAAAATAATTCTCACGACGTTTCGGCCACAACGCAAGCAACCGTCCTCAGGTGAAGACCAAGTCTGTCGGGGAGACACCTGAGGACGGCTGCTTGCGTTGTGGCCGAAACGTCGTGAGAATTATTTTATTATGTTTTATTTTTTTTTTTTTTTTCCATTCTACGTGACTTTACCGAAAAAACCAAGAAGATGGATCCCTGCAGTCACGAAAGAAGCTTTAAATCGATATACAGGCAACAGTTGTTGACGTTTCCATCATGGGGTACGTTACGACCCCGCGAGTTACTCAAGCGCAATATTCATGGCAATCATCGCCCCCTGCTGTGACAATTTGGCAAGAGCCACAGGACATAGACTTTCCTGGATTAACGAGCGTAATAATAATGATGATGAAGCTTTTATAAAATGTATTGTTGTATTGTTATATAATAACAATACAACAATACATTATAAAGCAATAACAATGTATTGTTATTGCTTGTATTTAGAACATTCACCGTATATGTGATTATTTTTTATATATTTTATTTATGTTTTGTGATACGATATCCATCGAGGCAGGCTACAAGTTGTCACCGCTGCGAGCTATTCCACATTCCTATGGCGGGGCCAGTGCATTCTTCAACGAACTACCACCGATTTCCCACCACGTGTGGTGCAGTCTCACCAAATTGTGTTTAATTTACCTGACCTCAAAAGATAATGATGATGAGTTAACTATCACCAAGAATACGCCCAAGACTGTTTCGTGTGCTGTATAATGATTAAGTACCCTACTTGTTAGAAAACATATACACAGTAGCATCATTATCGTTATGTATACACCAATATGCCTTTAACCAAATCACTCTGTGCATGTATGATATTTTCAGATCTCAGAAGCTAAGCGGGGGGTTGATACTTGGATGGGAGACTGCCTGGCCAATACCAGGCATTGTAGCCGCTGGCTGCAAGGTTGCCAGGAGGTGGCAGTACAGCAATTTTATTATCGAATCTTTGATTGTTACCCCCCCTGGAGCACTCGTGCTTTCTCCAGGCACTCCGATGATGTTGGCGCACACAACGCAAAACACTCGTTCGTGGCGTGTGCCAAACAAACCCAACGCGAATCTCTCTTGAGACTCGTTTGGGGCCCTCCCTGGTGAATCGACGCCTGACACACACACACACGCACATCACGTGACTGTGCACAAGTGTAATTTCCTCTTAAAATAAGTCGTTGACAGCGTAGTGTCTTTCAACATAATCGTTTATTATAATTCAACCCTCTGTGTATTTTTCAGTGTACATATATATGACAACAGGTTAAAGTGATATAAGAATATATATATCACTGGTACAGTTATAAAACGCATTAAATATAGTATAACAGATATGCCATTGCGCTCGGGTTAGTTGCAAAAGCATGCAGGATCAGATTCGTATGAGCTTTAAATATCACTACGGTAATTATCAACACTTAACAAAGCACAAAAAACAATATTTAACATGCAACGGACATTCCCTTTTTTATGACAATAACTTATATTGCACCTCAATCCAGTATGAGTCCATTTAAAGTTCCAGTGTAGGCAGCTTTTGGAGGCTGCTCCCTCCCTATGGTCCGGTGGCCCAGAGTTGGGTTTTTGGGGGGGTCAACCACGGCACCCTGAGCAAGGCCACGTAGAAGAAGCCAAGCTGCAGTCACCGGCCACTTTGGTTCCGAGTCGTTCCGCTCAAACTTCGCCGCGCGATTCTCAATTTCGACGTCACTTTCGCTCGCAGTTTGTTCTCCGTTGTACGTTGTAAAATTGTCATTCACGTGCCAAGATATGCGATTAAATAATTGTGACCCCCCCCCCCCCGTCTCCGCCCGTGCTCGCGACTGGTTCCCGTGGCGTGGCCGTGCCCCGCTGGGGAGACGCGCGACACCTGCGAGCGCTGGTAACCGGCTTCCACCTCCGAGGCGAGCGGGGGATGTCGCATCGCTCGAGTCGACAACGTTTGAGTCGGCGACAAAGAGAAACGCATTTAGATTTTCACAGCAGTGGTTTTTTTGTTGTTGTTATTTTGTCTTCTTTATTTAAATGGCATTTCCGATTGAAGTTCGGTTTAAATTCGCGTTGCCAATCGGTAAATTAAGGTGGCAATTATGCTCGTGGTGGCAAACACACCAGTTTTGTTTTCAGTCAGCTTCGTCAAAATACGTAGAGGTTTTTTTTTGGGGGGGGGGGGCGGGGGGAATTTATCACCAATTATATTGCAACTGTGCTGTTGGAATGTAGCCACGGGGGCAAATCAACATTGTAAGGGGAAAAACTCTTTCAGTCAGCAGAGCCTCGCTCCTGCCGGGGACTGGCTCGCTGCAAAAGATCACGCCATGGATGGATTTCTCAAGCCACTTCAATTCGAGGCCCGCACCCCTTTGCGATCTGTTAAGAACGGTCCAATGAATGCCATTCATTGGATGGCACGGTATTTACAATGTGTCGTCCCCGCGGCGGGGTGAGAGAGAACCTCATTTTATCCCACGGTATTAATTTTTTGGGTGCAGTCATCGCGGTGCCCTCAGCCGAGACCATCAACTCGATGTACGCTGGAATCCTCCGGCTTATTCAAAGGTGGCTGCGACTGCCCGCATTTAAAGCCAGGGAAGACCTCGGCAGTTTTACGTCAGTTCTCCGACACAGCCCAGCCGTCGTTACGAGGCCTGTGAGCCACCTGGCCATCGTTCAGAGTGCTGTTTTGCGCGAGTGTGATATAGGTACACACAACATACCGACTCCTGTGTTCAAACACCATGGGGGGAGGGGGGTGGTGGCCACCCGGTGGTTTGAGCACCACGCTATGAACCCAGAGACCTGAGATCAATTCCCAGCCGCGGTGAGTGCCGCGTGGTCTGGCTCTGGGAACCCACGCACACTGGTGAGCGCGGTGAAGTATGGTCAAACAACGGTCACGGCCCGCCAGGGCGAGACCTTCACGACGCAACATTGGAGCGACATAGGCCAGTAAGTAAAAAAAAATTGTAAACGCCACAGCGAGAGGGATGTTTGACAATAGAAGAGTCAAAGCGGGGGACATTTTTACGTGAAACGATGCTCAAATATTTACGGTTAAACTTTTTTTTTTATGTTACCAGGTAAGGTCCACTGGGTTATGTAGCTCTTTTTCAGAGGCGACCTGGTGACAAGTGATAGCTCAACCAGTCGGCACATCTTGTGGAAATCTATAGCAGCCAAATACCCGGAGAAAAATCCACAAGACCACAGGGAGAACATGCAAACTCCAAATGTACAGGCGTCGGTGTCAGGATCGAACCCACAAACGCCTGCATACCGGACGAGTTGGTTAACATCTCGGCACCGGTGCCACCTCCGTTTTCTCTCATGCCATCTCGGAGACTCGACAATTCAAATGCACCCACTTAGCGCGATGCCAGCCACACGCATGGTGCGTTTCATCATTTGGTAGCACTCACTGAACACGGCTGCACACAGATAGCCCCGGGGTGTTCCGCGCACGTACGAGGCACTGGCACTTAATATATCGCCGTCCGGATATAAATACATCCGGATCGAGAGCGTCGGTGTGTCGTGCATACCGCTGTCATAGGCCACTGCCCAGTCACTGCGCCCAGACGAACATCAGAATGCGATGGAACAAAAACATATAATTAAAAAAAATAGGACGGTTATATTTCCTGTCACTGAGACGATAAGAAAATCTTGACATTTCTGCCATCTGGTGTTTCTCTGACAAAAAAATGGGGAAAATAAGAGTTTGAGCCTCGTCGATGCGTTTAAACAAAATCAGGAATGTGCCGATGCGGTAACATTTGAACGAATCATCAGTTACCCTGTGATTATTAGGCTGTGGGAAAAGGAAGCCACTGTTCTGGAGTATTAAGGCTTGAATTGTCCACGATATCAGGAGAATGTTTTTCAGGCCACATTTAGAAATCAGAGGAAGTTCTTTTGCAGTGACTCACCGAGATTTATCAGAATAGGCTATTGCATCCAGTGGACGGGATGGTAGGCGTCTCAAAGACGCGTCGGCGAACAGACGCAAGTGGAGAGGCACTTGCAAGGAGATATCATCGGTGTAGGAAGAGGCCATGCCAGCGCAATAGGCCCAGGGACCAGAAGAAATGTGTCCAGGGTTTGATCACAGATCTATTGTTGGAACAAGTAAAAGTAAACCATTTTTTTTGGCACGTGCGATGCTGAGAAATGTAGCCTCGGATATGTTTTCTTGTAAAAAAAATAGTACAATGACTGTAGTTTGTGTGAATGAATGTGGAATGTACTTCCATAAAACTGCTAAGCAAAACAACGTTTACGAGTCACACCAACCAGGGTGATGCTCATTTCCATTTATGGCTTTGAGCCAGTGGTGGAAATTCCACATTCCTATGTCAGGGTTTTCTCCACAGAACCACGACTGATTCACCACGAAGTGGTATTCATTTCCTTGACCTTGCGGGTAGTGAATGGTCGAGTCAAAACTTTACTGGGAATTTAACTCAAGTTTCCAACATTTCAATCGCACGCCCAAAACACACCACCGTGCAGCCAGATGCGCTCTCATTGTTCGGCAGAAACGTGAAAGAAATTTGTCAAACTTTTGTCCCTTTCAAACCGATTCGAATTATTCCGAACGTCTCGCAACGGCAACAAATTTGGAACCCGACCGTCTCTCGTCACCAATACTTCACGCCGACAGTGACATCTGCTGCGTTTCCCGCAGCTTTTACCGTCGAGCGCAAACGGCGCTCGCTGGGGGTCTCTCTCGTCGTTGAGCCGATGTTTGTCGCTACGTCGTCAAACCTCGACTAAAAAACTCGTTTCTTTAGAACTCTTTGTGTACACGTTGTTGCCCTTGCCCCGGCACCCATGATTAGCATGGTTGGCTATGTACGGTGCGAAAGAAGTTCAACACACACACACGCGTGCACAATCGCTTAAGCTCAACTATAAACGTCTACTTGCATGTACGTGTGTTCAACTTCTTTCGCACCGTACCTAGCCAACCGTGCCACTTGTAACCAATGTCCTGCCCCGGTACAGCCACTCACTGCACAATGACTTGCACGGTACTGATGCGGACCGAACACATATTTGCCGTACGAATGTAGCCCTCTCCGTCGCCGCCGCCGCCGCTGCTTGTAAATAGTTTTGAGTGGGAGCTACGCAAGATTCCCTGCCGAGGTCGTCTGGTGTTCATCACTCTCCTCCGCCTTATCACCGTCGCCCGGGGGGGGGGGGGCGGGGAGAAAAAAAAACTACGTGGCACATATCACAATCCCGAGAACGCGATGCGCCTTGTAACAGACGCGGCCGTCCACCCCACACGCAGCCCCGACGCCCCTCCTGAGACGGTGACATCACTACGCCGTGTGCGGAACACTTGCTCAGCATTTCACTCTGCCCTGTAGTACGACAACAGAGCTGCACTGCAAGTTTGTAGACATGGGGCGGTGTATGCAAGTCACACGGGGGGGGGGGCTACTCTGTGTGCAGCAGAGGGCAGTGAAGCAAAATCCATTGTTGTTGTACTGCACTATGCTCCCACATATATGCTCCCTGCCATCATCACCAATCCACACCGACCAGCATGATGAAGCACGGTCAATTAACCTCCATGACCTGCATATGGGGAGGCCCTCATTCCCAGTTATGATTCAATGAACTGGCATGATTTGGGGTTAGGAATCACTTCTGTTTGGTCTCATATGTAGAGTAACATTGGTAGCCTCGTGCAAATGTCTCGTATGTTCTGCCCAGTTTGTTGTCTCTCGACGATTCCATGAGGCTACAGGCAAATCGTTGTATAATTTGTGTGCATTATAAACGATCGATTATAATACGCGCAACGCAATGGCAGCATCACGGGCGTGCGAAATGTATGTTAATCGATGTGTGTTGTCGATGACGGGTTGCATCGACCTCCAACCGGAATTTGAACTCCCGGCACCCGAGGCAATCGAGCGTCGCGCTTGGGGCAAGTTTTCCGCCTCCGAGTCTTGAAGAACGGTACAGCATTTAAGAGTCGCCGCGGCTCGTGATCGCGAAATCAGCGACAAGAGAGGGGAGCTGAGCGTGCACTGAAACAAGCCACGCTATACACACGGCGTTAGAGACAAGGCTACGTACTAATAGGGGTTTTCCCCTTTTTTCTGGCAACAAAAACTGACACCTTTTGCAAGGAATCATGCTTACATTAACCACAATACTTGCAGTTAAATGCAAACAAAAAACAATACTCTGATAATTTATGCATTGTCTTTGAAACTGATTGGTCCACACCAGAGACAGCTTTCTTTTAGAGCCTAGTCGCATATGGTGTTCGACCAGATGACGCCAAAAGGCACACAGTTCAAAGACAACGCACTACCAGAGTAATGAAAAGGGGAAAAACCCTATTAGTATATTTTGGTACTGGCAAAGGAGGTCCCATGATGAAGGCAACGAACGGTTATCCTTGCGGCCGTCTGGAACGCTCCTCCTTCCGATATTAGAAAGGCCACTGGAGTTGTGCACTTTTACATCGCCCAGTTTGAAAACACATTTCTTTAGAACAGCTTGTTGTGTTTAGTTTGTTGTCCTTCCCCCGCACCTCCGATTAGCGCGGTTGGCTACGTACGGTGCGAAAGAAGTTCAACATACGGACGGACAACCACACCGGCAGTCGCTTCCACACATCGCAACGGGCCTGCAGCGTTTTCTATAGCGCAGTCGGTGACACATTTTCCCAGCGGTGGCGTTTTAATGAACGTCGTTTTATTTCTCATCGGTTTGAGTGATGCAATCTCCTTTCGACTCCATTTGACCGAATTTTGTCATCACATTTTTACAACATTCTCAACCCTGCCGAGCCATGTCAAGCCATCGAGCCATGGCCAGGCAGTGTAGACACTCTTTCGATATCTAATTTAAACTTAATAACAATGAAATCAGCTTATACATAGTTATCTGTCTCTCTCTATATATATTTACTTTATAAGGATCTCGGCTCAATAGATCCGGGATTTAGTGAGTGTGAACAGAGGTTGGGAGTGGAGTGTTTTGAGTACCAGGTTCTATAAACGGACACCAGCGCGCACACACACACTCATGCATCAAGGGAACAGGGAGGATTATTAAGTAAACATATTTCAACCTATGTTTAAAGTGGGGTTTTTTTCTGCTTCTATTCATGAGTGTAATTATCACAGCCAGTTATAGGCGTCTGCCAAGATGTTTGAGTCTGAGCTTTGTAATGTTAGAATGTGTTTGCTGGGCTTCTTTTGCACGTGAGAATCAGAAATGTATTTATACTGGAGGAATCCGATGAGCTATTAAGCTCTTTTTCACATATGTCCAATAATAAAATTATAATAAAATACAATTGTATTTTATTAAATACAATTGTATTTATAATGTTTTATTTTTATTATTTCCCTTCTACGTGACTTTACCAAAAGAACCAAGAAGATGAATCCCTGCAGTCACGAAAGCTTTAAATCGAAAAATAAAATTATGATTTCTCAAGATCGAGGATGGACTTTTGGACATTGCGTATTTTAAAAGGGGCTTTACAATTAAACCTGACGATGATGATGACGATGATGACTGATCATTTTAACCGAAACCATGGTGATGAGGATAATTTCTGATTTAGGCTGTCACAGCTCTACCGATCAACTACAGTATATATTCGGGTTAGCTGTATTAAATATACTATTATATACTAGAGCTAACCCGAATATACTATTGGGATAATGTTAATGTCAATGCAAATTCTTATTTACATGTTGACGGTAATGATATTTAATTACATTACGATGAATAGAGTGCCAATTATGAGAGAGATTATGACCGTAATTATTGAAATGATGATGACGATCACGATGACAGCAGTTATGATGGAAATTATATTATAACAATCGTTATAAAACGATCACGCTGACAACGACGATGGATAACAAGGCAGTAGCAACGCCAACGATCAGCGGCAGTGCCAACGACGGTGGCCCGATACGACAACGGTGACGACAACAACAACAGCAGCGCCGGTGACAAGCGGACTTCCCAGTACCGTCACCGGCTGCAGTAAAAACAACAACAACAACAGCAACAACCCCAAAACAAACACACGGCGGCGCGCGATCGGCACTCATACGAAGTGCGTCATCACGGCCGAGTGGTGCCGCATGCCCTGCATGGCGGCGGCGTACGGTCCCTGCTGGAAGTAGTGGTGGTAGCGCTGCAGGTGGAAGGCCGAGAGGGCCGGGCCGTGCACGCCGGCACCGTGCGCCTGGAGGCCGCCGAGCCGCGCGTAGGCGTGCGCCGCCGCCGCCGCAGCGTGCACCGAGGAGGCGGACGGGGAGATGGAGGAGGAGGTGGAGCAGGCGGAGGAGGACGAGGACGACGACGAGGAGGAGGAAGAGGAGGAGGAGGCGCACGACGGAGAGACGCGGTCCGGGCGGCCGGGCAGGGGCGCCGCGATGGGCGCGCCGGACGGAGAGAAGGCGTGGGACACCCACGCCCCACCCAGCGCCAGCCCCGCCGTGGAGGTGAAGGCCGAGCCTGGAATCGCACGCGCGAAGCCGGGGGAGTTAGCGCACGGGGAGTTGGCGCAGGGGGTGTCGGCGTAGGGGTGCAAGTGTAGGGGAGTGAGCGCAGGGCTGTGATACACAGGTGAGCACAGGTGTACGACATACAGGTGTGCGATACACAAATGTGAGTGCAGGTAAGTGTTAAACAGGTTGTGAGTGCAAGTGTGCGATACACAGCCCCAGTAATAACCGAGGCGGCCTGCCGGATTCAAACCGCGGACCTCTGTAACAAGTGGCGGGCGCCCTACCACCGGGCCGTGTCAGGCGAGTGAGCGGCCAGGTGCCTGAGCGAGTGAGCGAGCGAGCAAGTAAGTGGGACGGGTGAGTGAGTGAGTGAGCAGGGGGTTTATTGAGCGAGCGAGTCAGCGAGCGAGGAAGCAAGCAGTTGGGACGGGTGAGTGAGTGAGTAAGTGAGCAGGGGGTTCATAAAGTGAGTGTGTAAGCAGGTGGGACGGGTGAGTGAGTGAGTGAGCAGGGGATTCATAAAGTGAGTGTGTAAGCAGGTGGGACGGGTGAGTGAGTGAGTGAGCAGGGGATTCATAAAGTGAGTGTGTAAGCAGGTGGGACGGGTGAGTGAGTGAGTGAGCAGGGGATTTATTGAGCGAGCGAGTCAGTGAGCGAGCAAGCAAGCAGGTGGGACGGGTGAGTGAGTGAGTGAGTGAGCAGGGGATTCATAAAGTGAGTGTGTAAGCAGGTGGGACGGGTGATGAGTGAGTGAGCAGGGGATTTATTGAGCGAGCGAGTCATGAGCGAGCAAGCAAGCAGGTGGGACGGGTGAGTGAGTGAGTGAGCAGGGGATTCATAAAGTGAGTGTGTAAGCAGTGGGACGGGTGAGTGAGTGAGTGAGCAGGGGATTTATTGAGCGAGCGAGTCAGTGAGCGAGCAAGCAAGCAGTTGGGACGGGTGAGTGAGTGAGTGAGCAGGGGATTCATAAAGTGAGTGTGTAAGCAGGTGGGACGGGTGAGTGAGTAAGTGAGCAGGGGGTTTATTGAGCGAGCGAGCGGGCGGGCACACGAACCGCGTGGAGGTGCGCCGCACTGCGCGTCGTCCAGGTCGTCGTCGCCGCCGCTGGTGGAGTAGGGGCGCACGGGCGAGCGTGCGTACGTGTGCTTCTGGATGAGGCTGTCGACACTCTCGCGGCCCGGACCTCCCGCACACGCGCGCTCCAGGTACACGCTGCTAGCACACGCGCACAAAGACGAAGATCCCCCACCCCGTGTTTTCCTTAACGAACCGTCGGAGCAATGTTTGCACCTAACACCGGGTGCTAAATTGAGGCCGGGTCGACCTAGGGGAGGCCCAGAACTGGTTCAGATCATCGTGACTGGTGTTGGCCGTGAGCGGGTATCGAACTCGGGTGGCCAGGTTCGAAGCGCACTCCGCTAACTGCTGCGCTCCACGCACGCACAGACACAAACACACGTGTAGCCTGCACAAACTATTGGGGCAAATGCTGTTCGCGAGCACCGACCAAGACTTGTACGGCACACGAGGGGGCAAGTCGGCAGCACCCTACCCGGCCGTCTTTGTTTCCCCATTGCCGATGTTTTTAGGGACCCACACCAGGTAATCATTTGATGCTCAGTCTACCTTCGGGACGCTCAGGACTGGTTCAATTATGCGTCACCGATGTTGTCTGTGAGCGTGAGCTGCTCTCCCATACACAGACACACACGCGCTCATGCCTACACACACGCGCGCAAACACACACACGTCAATCAGTAATCTTTACGACCAAGTGAGAGTCAACTGAGACCACACGTCTCTTTTTTAAAAAAAGCAGACATAGAAAAAAACGTTCAATGGCTGCCATAAAACTTCAAATGCCAGAAATAAACGCTGACATTTTACGAGACAGTAGTTTGATATTCATGGTGAATTTGTTTTACACTAAAGTAATACACAAACTTACACAAATATGCATATGCATGCATCTACACATGATAAGGACAAAGATCCCCCGTATTGCCTTAACAGACTGTTGGGGCTCTTAGTGAGCACCTATGAAGGCCGACACTTCAAACGGCAGGGTGGGTGGCCAGCACCACACCCGGCCGCCTTTGTCTCCCTAGTAGTGCTATTTACAGATCGTACCGGGTACTCATTTGAGGCTGAGTCGACCTAAGAGAGGCCCAGGACCAGTTCCGATAATCGTCACTGGTGTTGGCTGCGAACTTGCTCTCGTCATAGGAATGTGGAATTGTGACCAATTGCGCCTACCACAGGAATGTAAAATAATTATTTCAACGGCAGCCGCTTTCACGATTTGATCGAAACGCGCAAATGAACGCATCGCAGATAAAAGAATCAACGAACGACTCTTTTTTTACAGACCTTTGCAAATCCACCGCCGGACGAAGGCCTCCCTCCCTGTTGCCACGTCAATCATTGGGGATCGTTTTGCCGTACTTCACTACGCCGGCCGCACTAGTGTGCCTTGGTGAACTGGTCCCACCCGGTGAGCCGTCGCGTGGAATCGAACTCGGGGTTCCCGGGCTCGGAGTGCAGCGTGCCCAACCACTGCACCCATCCCGTCCCCGCTGCTCACTAACGTACGCACCACCCCTCGTCAGGACTGGATCCGTACGCCGGCGCTCATGACATTTACCCCCAACTCTCGTTGGTTGGCCCACAAGCGAGAGACAACAAATAAATTCGCGTCTTCCTTAAGGACAGATGCAGATGCGCCGTCATAGCGCAGTCATCAAATTATCATTTATCTTCCCACCGGCTAAATTAGGGGGTAAACACTGGTCTTTGTGTGTGGCAGAAAGCTCGACTAATAGCATTGCGTCTGTAAATGTGCCCCCAGAGACCGCGGCTCTGAATTGCTTTCTGGAACTAAAAACAAGCTCTGCTCCCCTAATGCAATCGCGGCCCGACATCCGACTCCACAATAATCGCGTTTGCATTCTAATGGCCATCAAATTGACTTACTCCAAAGCCATTAGTGCCTCGGACAAATCTGTAAGCAAAAATAACATTTAAGAGCTTCCGTTATCGTTTCCCTCTTTTTCTCGGTTTAGTGTTTTTTTTTTTCTCCCCCCGAGCGCGTGCGTGCGTGCAAGCGTGCGTGCGTGCGTGCCAATTGGAGACGCGCAAGGCGTGCGTATTGATCGCGAGTGTCGTACGCGAGGCGAGATTAACAGAAAGAGTTGACATTTCAAGGCGCTCTCTGCCTTCCTCGGGAATATCGCTCAACAGCAGCAAAAACTTAATTCAATTTCATTTTCAAGTAAAGGTCAAAGTGCTCCGGTAAGTGTCGTATGTGCGCGTGTGTGTGCTGAACTTCTCTCGCACCGTACATAGACAACCGTGCCAATCGGAGGTGCGGGGGAAAGACAACAAACTAAACACAAAAAGCAGTAAGAAAGAAATGCGTTTTCAATCTAGATGATTTAAAAGTGCATAGCTCCAGTGGCTTCCTATTATTGGAAGAGCGTTCCAGACGGCCGCAGAAGCATATCTGAAAGCGCCTTGCGATGTCGTGACCGTCTTTGTACGATGGTTAGCCAAAAGCGAGGATGACCGGAGTTCGCGTGATAGTTTATGCTCCTTGATGAGATCGGCAAGATCTTGTGGATTATTTGTGGCAAGAACTTTGTGCGTAATAAAGAGTTTGGCGGCAGTCATCTTCATTGTTGGTCCTGACTCACAGCGATGGCAATTCCATATTTTTATGACAGGGACCAGTCCATTTTTTATTAAAAACAGCAGCCAACGTTGGCTTTGTTACACCAAGTGAAGCTGTTTCACAAGGTGGTATATCTTTTACACACCCTGGACGGATTATGATGATGACGATGTGGGGTTACCCTCATCGGAAAATGAATTAATTGACCATAAATGTAATTAATTAAACCCAACCAAAAACTTAATGTTACAACCGCGCTTATCTCAGCTATAAATTTGGCAACAATTCATTTTTCAACTGTAAATGTTTCATGATCCGTGACAGACGGCCACAGCTGGGGGAGGATTTCATCCAGTGGTGGATTGATCACCGCTGATGATAATGACGATTATACATTTTCCTACTGATATAAACATTCTAGATTTGAAGCTTTCGTGACTGCAAGGATTCATATTCTTAGGTTTTTTCGGTAAAGTCACGAAGGTAAAAAATTTAAATTAATAAAAGTAAAATAAAAATATTATATAAAATAATATATATATTTTTTATTTTACTTTTATTAATTTTAAGTTTTTACCTACGTGACTTTACCGAAAAAACCTAAGAATATGATATAAACATGGCCCTTCCATAGCAATGTAGAGCTCCCATCCCACCTTTGACTCGAGACTCAACAGAGTTGAGCGTTACCCTCAACCTGTTTGAGCAGGGAGACCCTCTTACTTTAATCCCTACAAGTATACAGTACACACACTTTAGCTGCAGGCCAGGCGTAAGTTTGAGTCATTATCCAATAATTCACGCTGTGGATAAGATCAAAGGGTAACGAACTCAGGCTCGTCATACAAATAATTTCAATCGTTTCATCAATCAAATAATGTCCAGCCAACAGAATAGCACTTACTCTGTTGAACTAAATAATGGTTTCCAGCTCTCTGTGAAATCCACGACTGGAAGAAGGCCTCCCAACTCATTGCTGGTCTGACTATACTTCACCATGTCAGTCAGCGTGTGTTTCTGAAGGAGGCCCAGACCCTCACGGATATCACTCGCCACTGTCAGCCTTGGCTGGGAATCGAACCCCAGGTCGCAAGTGCACTCACCGCCATGCCACCGTTCCAAGTTTGTAAACATATCGTTGCTTTGCATTACATGTAATTCCTCAATGTCAGTTTGGAATGATGGCTCATGCGTCCGCCCGTACGTACATATTCTATCTGAAGGAGTGGATTTATGTCTGCGACAGAGTGCCTGTTTATGTTGCTAAAGTGTTTTAATTGGACGTTTCAGAGCACCGGGCATATGATCTTTGTTCCCGGTATGGATCTCCGTATCAAACACGAGCGATGCCTCGTGAGCAGCTATTCAATTTCGCTGACGGTGGCTCATGAATAATGAAAAAAAAAACGTGCATTTTATTTGGATTTTTTTGTCCAAACGGTCAATATCGCGGAGCATTGTTTGCCCCTAGTCCATTGTGGCTCCTGCGTGCCGCGCCGCGCCGGGCCGCCGAGAGACGCGCGCATCTGCCGCACGCGAACGACGGGGAGGGACACGTAAAACCATTACGAGAGTAGCCGGTGCGAGTCTGGCTGGAGCCGCCGTGACCTCTCCACAATGGGCAGCCCCAGACTCCTCCGGGTGTGTGCGGGGGTGGTGGGGGGTTGCCGGGCGCTGCATTCGCGCGCCCTCTCGGCTCTGCGCGCCGAGAGGGCCGCAGAGTGTCGGCCCCAACGCTGGCGATCGCGCACGGCCTGGAGCTGGCCACGTGGCTGGCTTGGGATGGGGGGGTGTGGTTCATAATGGCCGTGTCTGAGACTAAAAGCACTAAAACTGAGCTGTGTAGCTATTCTTCACAAGCGACCTGGCTATCGCAAATGATCGCCCAACAAAGTGGGGCTTATCGTGTGGAAATTTACAGCGGCCAAATACTCTGCAATCGTAACTTTGATTCTCAATGTGGAGAGGAAAACCAGAGGACCCGGACGAAAAATCCACTCGACCACGGGGAGAGAGACACGCAAACTCCAAACACACAGGCGTCAGGGTCGGGATCGGGATCGAACCCATGACCTCCTGTGTACGGGGCGAGGAGGTTAACATCTCGCCACAGCAACACCAAGCTGGCATCGGAAAAATGGTGAATTTGAATCCTAGACAGAGTGTCTCTGTGTCCTTCTCACTCTCAGGGGGCTCATGATGGTCGTGTCTGAAACACTGAGCCCGGCATCGTGAAGACGACGGGTTTGAGTCCTGGGCTTGGTGTCTCTCTGGCATGCTCTCTCTGCAAACTCGTGATGGCCGTATCTGACACATTGAGCTGGCACCACTACGAGACTAGATTTACGCACTCTCTCTTCGTGGGCTCATGGCCACCTATTTTAACAATCAACACACCCCACAATTGTCAAAGTATTTGTCAACTCACCATATTCCCATTGGTTGCAATGAATCAGCAGTGGACTTTCTTTGCTTTGGCAGGAGTGAGTAGGACAACCGCTGTCAACCCCCCAAAGTGGTACTCATTTTATATACCACATAAGCATCGTTGGCTAAGACGACCCTTGACCGGGAATTGCCGGGGTCATGGGTTTGAGCCCTGGGGCTGGGTGCCTCTGTCCATCACTCATCATGAGAGGACTCATAATGGCCGTGTTCAAGAAAGAGTCAACGCTTCTGGGATCTCGAGTGGCAGAGCACAGGGCTGGGTCTCCACCGCTGGATGAAGAACTCACCACGTGGGAGTTGTTTGACCATATTTTACTTTTATTAATTTTAATTTTTTACCTACGTGACTTTACCGAAAAAACCTAAGAATATGATTTACTGCTGCCCGAAAACCCAACTCAGGTCACGGGGTTCAGGGTGCATTGCGCTAAGCGCTGAACCACCACTCCACCACTCCGCAGATATATTCATTTGGTAACGAGTGTGATTGTGGACATTCCAACACCATCAACAATATGCTTACCAGGGATGTAACGCAATGCGTTGATCTGTCGATCGGAATGTCTCCTTACAACTCACCCATGCATGCATCGGACCGTGCGTGCAAGAAGCAGTTATTTTATATTCGTATATGTTGGATGTTATGAGTTCTCATAAGCCCTGCAAGTGCCACTGTAATAGCTTGCCACGTTACGGCGCTATACAAGTCGTCACTATAATTATTATTGCGACAGATGCTGTACTGCACCACAACGTTAAATGAAAAAATGTATACATTTATCGAATAGCCAGGCGGGGTCAAGTGGTGTTACCGGCCCAAAGACTCACCTTTCCAGGTCGCTGAGACGTGAGGAGTCACGAAATCCCTTGGCGAATGGGTTGCTGTCGATTTTGAGTTTCGTGATCTGTGGGGACACGCCCAGTACTAGGTTAAGGCCTAGTCAATCCTCGGAGAGGCAATCTATATCAGGTGGACGTCATTCACTAATGATGTGTGACGTGATAAGAATTGGATGCTGGTAATTATCACACCACTCACAGCGCCCTTTGAAACGTCTGTAGGTCTTTTTTTGAACGCATGCACATGCGTACACAAAGACAAACTTCCCCCCTGTAGCCTTAACACACTTTTGGGGCAAGTACTGTGAGCGAGCATCTCTGAAGGCCGGCACGGCACACGAGGGGGTGGGTGGCCAGCACCACGCCCGGGTTGCCTTTGTCTCCCAAGTGGCGATGTTTACACACCGCACCAGGTAATAATTTGAGGTTGAGTCGACCTGAGGGAGACCCAGGACCGGTTCAGATAATCGTCATCGGTGTTGGCCGTGAGCGGGAATCGAACTCGGGTCGCCGGTTTCGTAGTGCACCAACAGCTGCACCACTGCTCCCCACACACGCACACACACACACACGCGCTCACACACGCGCACACACACGCTCACACACGCACACACACACACACGCGCTCACACACGCACATACACGCACGCGCTCACACACACGCTCACACACGCACACACACACACGCACGCACACACACACGCACACACACGCACACATACACACACGCGCTCACACACGCGCACACACGCACACACACACGGACACACACACGCTCACACACACACACGCACACACACACGCACACACACACACACGCTCACACACACACACGCTCACACACACACACGCACACACACACGCGCACACACACGCGCACACACCAGCTGATTCTGGTAGGCGGTGACGGCCGTGAAGACAGTTTCTGGAAACACGAATGTGCGGAACTCCTCCGACTTGAGGTTGACGAGGGACGAGGTGTGGTCCATCTTCTTGATGATGTGCACGCGCGGTTGGTACTTGTGCATGGAGTTGAGGATTATCTGGAGACGAGCAACGGAGGAGAGTCACACAAATGGCGGAGGCAGCAGAAGCATCAGCAGCAGCTACAGAAGCAGCAGCAGTAGCAGCAACAGGGGCAGCACCCGCAGAAGCACCAGTAGCTGCAGAAGCCGCAGCAGCAGCAAAAGCAGTAGCACCAGCAGAGGCAGCAGCAGCTACAGAAGCAGCAGCAGTAGCAGCAACAGGGGGAGCACCAACAGAAGAACCAGTAGCTGCAGAAGCATCAGCAGTAGCTGCAGAAGCAGTAGCACCAGCAGAGGCAGCAGCAGCTACAGAAGCAGCAGCAGTAGCAGAAACAGGGGCAGCACCAGCAGAAGAACCAGTAGCTGCAGAAGCATCAGCAGTAGCTGCAGAAGCAGCAGCACCAGCAGAAGCACTGGCAGGATCAGAGTAGCAGCAGGAGCAGCAGTGACAGGGTTAAAGGGTGGTCTCAGTAACAGTGCTCACTCAGCAACACTCCGGGGTGAAAGGTCCTGCCTGTTTAGAGAAACATTACCCGATTCTAATATATGCTGGTCACACACGTCTGGTTCACAGCACAATGCACTCACCACAAATACAACTACAAAATCACGCACACACGCACACAGACGCACGTACACTCCCGCCCACACACATATTTACGATAAAAAATAATAAGTAACTTAGAGCTTTTTGTCAATCCACTGCTCTGCTGTTTTGCGGAGATTGCTTGGAGATACTTTAACATGAAGACCAGAGTGGGTAGGTGAACGGAGTGGTCAGGACCAGTTCAAATATCATGGCCACTTGGAATTGAACTCAGGTCGCCATGTCCAGTGCGCAATGTGTGGAAACCAACGCAGCACCAGCTGCGAAAATCGAATCCAAACATATGAGCACCATTGTTATTTGGAGTTCCCTCTTTGGCCAAACTGCCACTTATGCCAATAAAAAAGTTGGCATAAGTTGCAAAATGAAACACTTTAATAACTCATTGTAACATTTCACATCAACCGGACAATACGTGGCATTACGTAATGTGGGGGCGGGGCGGGGGGTGAGCTGGGGGGGGTGAGCTGGGGGGGTGAGCTGGGGGGTGAGCTGGGGGGTGAGCTGGGAGGGTGAGCTGGGTGGGTGAGCTGGGGGGGGTGAGCTGGGAGGGTGAGCTGGGAGGGGGTGAGCTGGGGGGGTGAGCTGGGAGGGGGTGAGCTGGGGGGGTGAGCTGGGGGGGTGAGCTGGGGGGGGTGAGCTGGGGGGTGAGCTGGGGGGTGATCTGGGGGGTAAGCTGGGGAGTGAGCTGGGGGGGTGAGCTGGGGGGTGAGCTCTCTGCACAGGATATTGTACACAGCACAACACAACGTGCCGTGTACCACGTATCCAGATTTATCGTGCGTCAGTAAATTGCTCGTGACATCGGCTCACAATGCCTCGGCCTTGTGGGATCCGCAGTGTCCTCAAGCGAGCAGATGCCATTTCTTTGATCCCATTTCCCCGGCGCGTTATCGGATGATACGGGACTGGACGCGCCTGCTCTTGATCCAGCTCAGGAATAATCCCGCTAAAGGATGCCCCCTCCCCCCCGGCCGCTATCCAGGCGCGCAAGGCGGCGCCTAATGGGAAACGTAAATATTCCTGCAGAGACGCGCGCGCGCGCTCACAATCGTGATCTCATTACAGCCTGAGACAGCGGGGAGGGGGGGGTCAGTGGATGGGTGAGGGTTAAAATCCGCGCAAACGTCAAGCGCCGTGATTGAAATGCTGTTCATTTGTTACCGCCCGTCAAGTCTCCGCGGGCAGGTTTTACGTTTCTGTAATCGCGCACGGAGCCGTAATTTATTGCCGCGTTTTAATTCTGGCGGCGCTCGGCGGGAGATATTTTTTTCCCGAGTGCTCGTGGATGAATGTCAGTGGTAAGTGAGCCTGATTAAGGACCCACGTCCCAATTGGTAAACCGCCCGTGCTAATGTTGCTTATGAAGTGTGCGTCGTCAGATTAACTTAGCACTCGCATTGCTCACAGGAGTTCGAATACAAATGACCATCGGCACCGTTATTGGTTACGTTTAAAGTGAGCAACGTGTTATTGTGGAGCTATAGAGTCTACGGACTTTGACAAGGACACTTTCATCATCGGTCAGAATCCACCAACGGTGATGTGATACAGCAGGTAGGTTTCTGGGATAACTGTGCGGAGTTTGATTTTTCCTCCCGTCAGCCGAAATGAGCACCGGCCCATGCTCGTTTCAGCAAAGGGGACGCACTAAACATTCGTTTGGTCTTTATTAATTGAAGTATATTCCAGTTGTGACTTTCATAATCACGTCACGGCAATTAATATATTTCCATTTGGGACACTACCAAAATGCAGTGTGTGTCAGACAGCCGGCCTCTGGAAAGCGACTTCACAGATCAACTCAATTGCTTCCAATCCACACTTGGTGTATCTATGTAAGGGGCGCCGCGGTGGAGAGATGTTAACTCCCTCGCCTGATATGCAGGAAGTTGTGGGTTAGATCCCGATCTTGACGACTGTATATTTGGAGTTTGCATGTTCTCTCTCTCTCTGTGGTCGCGGGGATTTTTCTCCGGGTCTTCCGGTTTTTCCCTCCATATTTATAAACATGCAAACACAGTGTTTGGCTGCTATAAATTTGGCTGTTATAAATTTACACGCGATTAGCCACTTTGTTGAGTCAGCTACTATTCGTGGCCAGGTCGTATCTAAAAAAAGAGCTATACAGCTCAGTGGACCTTACCTAGTAAAATAAAATAAAAAAAAGATTTCATAGTTTTATGCATGCTGAACTTCTTTTGTATCGTACGTAGCCAACCGTGCTCACCGCTGGCGCTGCACCCGCTCACGTGCCACCCTGCTAGAGCGGCGTTAATCACGGGGCTAGCGAACCAATGCTCTTGTAAACCTCAAAGCTGGCAGAATGGCAAATTAAGTGAAAGCAAAATATGTTAAAAACAGGTCTTTTGTTCGAGTCCAGCTCCATTGGTAGCTGGACTGAGACCATCAGCTTCTTGTGCGTGAGAACCCGGTTTATTAACTGGTGGCTGCCCAGATTGAAATCCACAAATTAAAATTGCTACCAGCTCGGTGCTCTGACATGTATCATCTCTAACCCCTTGCCGACTACATTTTTTTATATCTAGATTGAAAACTAATTTCTTTGGAATTTATTTTTGTTTTTAGTTTGTTGTCCTTCCCCCGCACCTCCGATTAACATGGTTGGCTACGTACGGTGTGAAAGAAGTTCAACATACAAATATACACTCACCACTCCCCTCCATCGCACCCCTTGCCTCCACCCATGCCTTTCATGCACCCCCCCCACCCCCCAGCCACCACCTCCCAATGACATTAAACTCAAGCTTTGGAAAAACATATTTTTCCAGAGCTCAGCCTCGGACAGCTCCCGGCTGAAATGAATACCCTGGCCAAACACGGTTGCCGATGAGCCGGAGAGTTCTACCGCGTGGCGAGGGCAGCGGCACGCCCTGGGAAGTCGGAGGGCGGGCGGCACTCACGTGTCCGTGCTGGTCCAGCTCGTTGTTGGTGAGCTTGAGCTTCTCGAAGGAGACCATCTGCTTGTGCAGCTGCTCGCCGGCGAACGGCGAGTCCGGGTGCACGTACAGCCTGCACGCACGCACCATGCGCCACGCGCACACAGACAGAGGTCCCACACCGTACAGCCTACGCAAGACCGTTCGGGGGCCGGTGGTGGCGTTAGCGAGCGCCTATTAAGGTGTATGAATGGCCAAGTCGTTGAGCGGTAGTTTGTGATGTTCTGTCTCTCGGTCCTCTTTATCCCCACAACAAGCTAAACACAAAAAGCAGTTCCAAAGAAATGAGTTTGCAATTTAGGTGATTTAAAAGTGCATAGCTCCAGTGACTTCCTAATATCGGAAGAGCGTTCCAGACGGTCGCGGAAGCGCATCTGAAATCGCCGCGCGATGCGGTGACCGTCTGTGTTCGATGGCTCGCCAAAAGCCGCCGCGAGGATGACCGGAGTCCACGTGTTGGTTTATGCTCCACACGTCTTAGCCTTTTTTGCAACTCTTCTCACGAGGGCCTCTGCTCTCCCGAACGTTGCTGGCTCATCTCGAGGTAGCGCAATGAAGCAGCGTGAATGGGTGTCCCCTGCACGGGCGGCACAGTGGGGCGGCGGGAGGTGGTGCGGGCAGTGTCGAGCGAGCGCGCGTGTTGCACCTCGCGGGTAGCGGAGGGTCGGCCTTGCCCGCCACGAGCCAGGAGGAGCGGTGGTACGCGTAGCGGTAGCGCTTGTTGTCCACGGGCACGATGTCCATGAGCACGATGTACTTCGCGTCGGGCTCCACTCCTCCGAAGGACACGCGGATCGTGGGGAACATGCGCCTGTGCACAAAAAACAAAGGTCCCCCAGCGTAGCGTCAACAGACCGTTGGTAGGGCAAGTGCAGTCAGCGAGCGCCTATGAAGGCCGGCAATGCTGGCGCACGAGGGGGTGGGTGGCCGACACCGCGCACGTGACGCCTTTGTCTCCCGAGTGGCGACGTTTACACACCGCACCAGGTACTGGTTTGAGGTTGAGTCGACCTGGCGGAGACCCAGGACCTGCTCGGATAATCGTGACTGGTTTCAACCGTGAGCGGGAATTGAACGTAGCGCAGTGTGCTAACCACTACACTACCGATCCACACTCCAGCACACACACACACGTACGTGCATAGCTTTATTACATAGTTCAGATCTAACAGATGTGGGGGGGGGGGGATCGTGATCTCGAAGTGGGGGGGAGGGGGGCATTTGAGTTTCCCCAGTAATTTATTCCCATTTATAGCATTGGATGAAACCCCGAAAACCCATCGACCCGTCGGACAGCTGTAACAGCGTGAGCTCGAAAAACCCACGCGGTCGAATTTCTCAACGAACATTTCCCGGGTCGCTGGTAGCCTCCAGTCGGTAGCAGCCCACGAGTCGCAACAGTCACAGCAGGGGGGAATACTTGGTGTGGTGTGTCAGGGTTGGTGGGAGTGATGGGAGTGGTGGGGGTGGTGGGGGTGGTCGGAGTGGTGGGGGTGGTGGGGGGGGTGGGGGGTAGGACCTGTACCGACACGGCCGGGCCGAGCCGAGCCGAGGCGCTGCTCGTACCGGCCGGATTTGGTGATGATCATTTCGGTGCCGAGCTCGTGGAACTTCTCCCACAGCTCCTTGGTCTCCAGGGCGCAGGTGACGCTCGCCAGCTCCGCGCTGCTGGGAGCCGGCGACCCCCCCGGGGGGATCAGAGCCTCCATCCCCGGCGCCGCCGCCGCCGCCGTCGCCACCACCACCGCCGGGCCGCCCCTGCTCCTCGTCGGGACATCCGCTGCCCCCGCCGGGTCAGCCACGGACGACGTGACGCCGTCGTCGCCCTCCTCGTCCTCCTCGTCCCGCCTCGGCGAAGCCTCCACGAACTTCTCTGCAGAGAGTTGCCGTGGGGGGGGGGGGGGGGGGGGTGTGGGAGGTCAGGGTCGGTGGCGTTGTTGCTCGGCCCCAGGTGGTGGTGTGCGGGGCACTACCGAGCGTGCAGGCGGTGGAACTGCACCGGGGACCGCGGGCCAGAGAGGACTCAAGTGCCGGTAGGGCCCCTGCACCCCCGGCACACCTTCAGACTAGACCGGAAGTATTACTACCGACACCGTGACGTCGAATCGAAGGATTCCTCCAGTCCTTGATAATGATTCTGAAGCACGGGGGATGGGGGGGGGGGCAAAGTAGGGGGCCCAGGGCGGTCGCCCCGATTTGCCGTGTACCCTCAGGACGACTCTGGGTGCCGGGCTACAAAGAAGGGGGAACGCTGGAGAGGGAGGGTACCCCCCCTCCTCCTCCCGGTTTTATTTGCTGCACCAGGGCCTATGCCAACCCCACTATGCCACTGCGTCGTATAGTCTCGTAAACATTTTGGCTTTTCTCACGGAGAGATTATTCATGTTGTGAGCATGTCACTTCATATTGATGCTGTTTGACTTTGCATGGGTGGAGCGGTGGCACAGTGGTTAGCACACTGCACGATCTACCCAGTGGCCCGACTTCAATTGCCGGCATCAGCGGCCACGATTCCTGGCCCCCGGCCCCGTCATCTATCCGCACTGCCCAGCGTGGTGAAGTATGGTCAAACAAACATGGCAAAAGGGCGGCCACGTACCGTTAGAACTGGTCCGGTGGTGTTGCTTTATTCGTGACGTGGTATTTCATCGCATTGTTGGGTTTTTATGACCGTAAATGTCGTGTTGGTGTTTTCCTATTGTGGCAATTACCTTTTTCGGTGCAAGCGTTATTCCTGTTGTGGCGCCCGGTGAGACTGTCGTTAGAGCGCTGGTGCCCATCATGGGAGTGGAACTTACACCACCTGAGTCATGAATGAAATTGCGCGTCTGCCCGTTGGTAACTTGCGGAATGAAAAACACTGAGGATTCCGATGTTTGTTTACTGCCATGAACACAGATTGATATATGCTATCTTTTCATGCCGGCTTAGAGAATTTATGTTGAAGAATTCATACATTCCCCTTAAATGTAACCAGTGAAATATCACTGAATCTAAAGACTAATTTTCAGGTGGACCCCACATTTGGATATATGGCCAATTTCACGAATGTGTGTAGGACGTCACATGGGTTATATGTCCACACCTCTTAATGTAATACTACGGTAGTGATGTAACCTACACGCTATGTTGACAGCCTGAATGTCACCTGAAAGTACATTTTTCTCACGGATCTGCAAACCCGTGTCGAATAACCATGATTATGGGAACATTTCTGCGAAAAAGAGAGCTCTATCTGTTTTGGTTGCTTCTTCATGAACCTGAGCTGAGTGAGATTTCGTGGCACAATTAGCGGCAACAAATAATTAAATAAAACGCACAGCTAAACGTCCGTCTCACTCCGTATGATTAACACCGCAGTCCACAAACCCGCAGCCCTTCCAAAAAGCGTGCTTTACAGCAGCATTTGTTAATTAAGAAACACACCCCTGAACGAGTTTGACCCCGACAAGTCTAATCAGTAAGGCCGTGTCCAATTACACGAATGCCACTGGGTTTCTAGGTGGTATCAGAGGCAGAAGCCCTCGAGGAAACCCGATGGGACCCAATCGGTGAAGTACAACACAGATGGCACCACCACTTGTACACACAGCAGCGTAGCGTGGCTTGCGTGAAGCCTACTACGTGGTATGATATCTCCCCTCGTCGTAGCCCAGCGCCCGGGGTCCCTTTCCTTCTGCCCGTGGGCCCTCGATGCATTTCCACCGCTTCAAGGAAGTCAGCGGCATTGCACGTCTCGGTGTCGACTGGCGAAGGTCGCTTGCTCGCACGCGCCGTTAGCGGCCACTCCACGACACCAACCTTCACCATGGCCAATCCTGCGGGCGATTGAACCGCGGTTTCAATCGGAGGTGGCAAAACGCGAACAGCCTCAACTCGGGAGCCTGCGAAAACCGCGAACGTGTTCCGTTGTCTCTAAGCCAGCGTGTCGGAGTTGGGGTTGGCAGACCACACGCAGGACACGGTGGGTTGTGGAAACCTGTACAGTTTCCACAACGCGGTGGGCCAGTGGGCGACAGTACAGCAAGTAGGTACTTGAGCAATCTGCAGGTGCCTTTGAGGGCCATCATCTCGGCATGCGCGGGGATCTTCTTCGAGCGCTACGGTTTTCCTCCCGCACTCTCCTGGACATCTGTGATAAAGAGCTTTATAGCTCATTGGATTCCTCCAATATCTCTTCTTGGTTCTTTCGGTAAAGTGACGTAGAAGGGAAGTAATAAAATAATAAAAATAAAACATAATAAAATAATTCTCACGACGTTTCGGCCACAACACAAGCAGCCGTCCTCAGGTGAAGACCAGGTCTGTCGAGGCGACAGCGTCTAAATGACACTAAATGACGCTTAGACGCTAAATGACGCTTAGACACTGTCACCTCGACAGACCTGGTCTTCACCTGAGGACGGCTGCTTGTTTTGTGGCCGAAACGTCGTGAGAATTATTTTATTATGTTTTATTTGTATTATTTTATTACTTCCCTTCTACGTGACTTTACCGAAAGAACCAAGAAGATGAATCCCTGCAGTCACGAAAGCTTTAAATCGAAATCCTCCAATATAAATAAATATTTTGATTCTGTAACCAAGCTGGGAAACGGCCAAATGTGAAAAGCAGGACTCTCCTGAAAATTAGTCTCGAGACTAAATGAGTGTTCGCTGGATCGTTTAATATCTACAAAGGCACAGGGGAGGCTGCAATGGCGAAATAAAGGATTAGTGATAACGGAGGGCACCTTGGGAGCAAATCAACGGAACGTGCCCGACCTCACCAGATATGGGAAGCTAAGCGGCGCGGAGTCTGGACTGCGCTTGGATGGGTGGCCACCGCGCGCGAATGTGTTGTGGACATGGTACGCCAACGTGTACACTCCACCACCTTCACCGACCTGCACCGACCAGCGTGGTTAAGTGTGGCAAGAATAACGCCCACGATCTGCACGGTATGGAGGAGGCCCTCATCCAGTTGTGGATTTACAAAAGGGCCGTAAGCCTGACAATACTTAAACATCAATACGTGCCTTACATCGCGCACCCATGATGTAACTATTTCTCTGTAAAATTTTGATTCAAAGCTTTCGTGACTGCAGCGATTCATATTCTTGGTTCTTTCGGTAAAGTCACGTAGAAGGGAAATAATAAAATAATAATAATATAAAACAATAAAAATTCTCACGACGTTTCGACTGCAACACAAGCAATCATCATCAGGTGTGAAATCCACAGCAAAAAAAAATGCAGTCAAAACGTCGTGAGAATTTTTATTGTTTTATATTTATATTATTTCCCTTCTACGTGACTTTACTGAAAGAACCAAGAATATATTTCTCTGTAGTGCAATCTTTTGGTCTCGGGGACCCCCTAAAGGCGTTTGTCCCTCTGAAGCTTGCCAGAATTGAACCTGCATAGTGCTTGGATAGGTGACTAGGGTACCGCAGGCAGGATTGATGGATCACGTATAGATCACAGTGCGTTGTGGACAGCCATACAGGGCAGCGAGGTGGTGAACGGTGGGTGTGAGTAGAGCAAGCGGGCTCTTAATCGGTGCGGAGACGTTTAACAATGGGTTGTGAAGGTTCGTTTTTACATTAATTAACGCGAGGCCACGTGTCGTCAAGACGTTCGAAATTGTATATTGCCGTGTGTCTTCGCCCGAATTTAATATGATCTGGCTGCCGCCATGACTCGGTGTGGAGCGGTAAAGGTCACACAAACACACAGGCCGTGTTACACCACCCCCTGTCAGTGACTCACTAATCCCACAGCACGCACGTGGTCGCAGACGCGGTTACACGCACGGCCCGTTTGTCAATCCGCTGCTGGATGAGAGCCTTCCCATCGCCCCTAACGGCTCCACCTGCCCAGATTTCTTCACCGCGCCGGCGGCAGCCCGAGGTCGATTTCTGCCGATGATTATCTGGGCCCGGTCCTGGGCCTCCCTTAGGTCGACTCAGCCTCAAATGAGTAGCCGGTGTGGTGCGTGAACGTCGCCACTAGGGAGATAAAGGTGTGGTGCTGGCCACCAACCCTCTCGTTTGCCGTGCCGGCTTTCATAGGTCCTCTCTAAGAGCACTTGCCCCAACAGCCTGTTAAGGCCATACGGGGGACCTTCATCTTCGTGAAGAATGAGGAGCATGCATGTACAGCACAACAGTGATTTGTATTGAGACACTGCCTCTCTCTGCTGACCACCCCGTTTGCAAATCCCGCAGCTGCCTGTGACAACGTGGCATGCAAGGCCGTCACCCATCACAGCGATATTCAGGCTCAGACCTGCTTAGCTTGAGAGATTGGGCACAGTTGAGGACACGCTATCTTTAGGTGCCGTTGCGTGCGTGTGATACATTTTACATTTTAAAGACAAGGTAAGAGAAAACAATAAATATTAAACATATATTGTAAAACGTATATTAAAAACAGATGTGTAATTATATTACGCGAATAGGTTGCCTCTGCCATGAAAGTCAACACCACAGTGTCTTGACAACAACAGCACGCATCGCATTTACAGGCATTATTACGAATACCGATGAATTTTAACCTTCTAGTTTCACGTTGACATTCTATACATTCATGGGCAATGCACTTGTACAAAGAGCCAGGTATGATAGCAGTACCATTCACTTACCCAGGTCGTAGCCGAGTCTCAAGACTTGTTCATCAGGGCCTGCAGCGGCGTGGATTTGGTCGTGACTTTTTATTTTATTTTGCGAGTGTTTGACTATGATTTCCCAAGGCATCTTTGAGATTCTGAAGCATTGATTGTTAATGCCCGAGCTTCGGTGAGGCAGACCAAGCCACCTTGAGTGTTATTATGCTTCAGTGTTGATGCCCAAGGCTGGCAGATTCTTTCTTTGAGAGCAACAGGAGCAGCATT